ACATGGTTTATATAGAAAGAAAAAAACAGTTCGACGACAACGTTCTAAAAGTGGAACAATCAGCAGAAACATTCTATTGGTTTCCATGGTGATTGCTTCACTTTTACAATGTTGACCCAGAATTGCTTGGAGTTGCAGTCAAACTGCAAAGTTACCTGAAGCTGCTATTACATTTAATCTAAGGATAGACTGACAATTTCTCCTATGTATCTATCTATCTATCTATCTATCTATCTGTCTGTCTATCTATGCATCTATCTATCTATGTCTGTCTGTCTGTCTGTCTGTCTGTCTATCTGTCTGTCTATCTATCTATCTATCTATCTATCTATCTATCTATCTATCTATGTAATCTATCTGTCTGTCTGTCTGTCTATCTATCTATCTATCTATATATGTAATCTATCTATCTATCTATCTATGTAATCTATCTATCTATCTGTCTGTCTGTCTGTCTGTCTATCTATCTATCTATCTGTCTGTCTATCTATGCATCTATCTATCTATGTCTGTCTGTCTGTCTGTCTGTCTGTCTATCTATCTATCTATCTATCTGTCTGTCTGTCTATCTATCTATCTATCTATCTATCTATCTATCTATCTATCTATCTATCTATCTATCTATCTGTCTGTCTCAACGTACATCCATCCATATCTCTCTCTCTCTCTCTCTCATCCCGCTTTCTTTCTATATCCATCTATGTCTGTCTGTCTTACCATTTTGATAAACCCATCTATATTCGCATTAAACGTACTTTACAAAATGTGAAGTTAAAATCAGTGGGATGTAACAGGTAGCCTTCCATCAGCCGCAGAACTGCAACCCCCACGATCCTCTATTAGCCGATAGCAAAGGATCGTGGGACTTGCAGTTCTGCAACGATTTCTATTACTACCTGTTTCACTGAACATAAACTGTGTACGGCTTTGGGGTGACAGTGTGTATTGCAATAACTTCGATCTAGCGTACAGAGTATACAGAGCTTCTCTGGAGCTGGCCAAGGTGCTGAACACACAGCTCATTACTGCAGAATAGACTCTATTAATCCCTATCCGAGGTCCTGAACTGAAATCACTTCACACTGTAACTCCAGATTCAGGACCCACAAGTTTGCCACGTGCTGTTTTCAGGGGGTCACAGCTGGTGGTCCTATGCATCAAATATCCCACAGTGAATCTGTTACTGCAGTGGCAATGACCCTCCCACTACCCACCTCCCTCTGACAGGACAGTGAGAATGGTGACATGTATTCTGAGAATGGACCTGCTGCCCAGTTCTGAACTTAAACCTCCCGCAATTAAGACAAGAGCCTCAAATGTATTGCTCTGTCTGATGTACCTATGGAGGAAGCCATTACACTGTCCAGGTTTGCCAATGAGGCAATCCATTGCTCTGTCTATGGTCCTGGGGCCCTCATTGCACTGCTGAATGCTCTTACAGTGAGCCCATTGCAGTGTTGGTGGTAATGATCAATCTGAGGTTTAGGTGTCTGACCAGTGAGTTCCAATTGGAGATGCTGATCAGGGAATACATTGCTCAGACAGAGGGCATGTTTAATATAAGGTAGGGGAGTCCACACCATTTTCTGTATAACTCGTGATGTATTCACTTGGCTAGAAGTTTCGGTCTTGGCTCTAAGCCGCATGGTTACACTATGGATCAGGGAGTAAACGTTCGAAATTCGGTGTCTCTGGTACAGACAGTGGGCACAGAGTACTGACCCGGCCGGATTGTATGATTGTGCTGGGCTGATGGCCAGGGGGGCAAGCTGGTCTGATGGAGGTACTGGCCAGTGAATGCATTGCTCTGTCAGACACATTGCTCTCACTGATGATCGAACTGAGCGAGTCTTTCTGAGCAGAGCAGATATTCCTTTTCCTAAGGTACCGACCAGCTGGCGGCTCGCCCTTTCACCAACCGAACCGTGGGTCCTGCTGCTGGAAACATTAATCGGGGGATGGATTTCGCTGTCCGAAGTGCTGATCGGAAAGCATATCATTGAGATTAATCAGGGCTTGTGTGTGGAAATGCATCGACTATGATTATCATATTTTTTTCAGAAGTATGTCATTGTCATGACAACGTAAAAACTTAGCAAAGTCTCAGCATGTCAGCAAGTCCCATCTGTAGCAATTTACAGTAAAATTACACCTGAGGAAATGATTTCTATCACCTCCATACCAAGTGAACTCTGTATCTCTTCTCCTTTACACTGTCTCTTTGGGAGTGCTCTCTCTCTCTCACATCCTCTCTCTCTCACACATCTCTCTCTCCCACATCCTCTCTCTCTCTCTTTCCCTCTCTCTCTCTCATCCTCTCTCTCTCCCACATCTCCTCTCTCTCAGCACTGTCTCACTTACATTTCACTCCTCTCTCAAACTCTTTCTTTCAATTCCTCTTTCTCTCTCACATCATCTCTTTCTCTCTCTCTGTCATGCTCTCTCTCTCCATCTCTCCCTCAAACTCCCTATCTCTCTGTCTCTCTCTCTACAAGTCTCTCTCAGTTTCTCTCTCCCTCTTTCCCTATTTCTCTCAATCTCTCTTTTCCTATCTATCTCTCCCAGTCTCTCTCTCTCTCCTTCTCTCTTCCTCTCTCTCCCTCTTTCTCAATATCTCTTTCTCTCTCTCTTTCAAACTCTTCTTCTCTCTCTCCCTGTCCCACTCTCTCTCTCCATCTCTACCCTCCTCTCTCTCTCTCCCAGTCTGTCTCTCTCTCCTTCCCAGTCTGTCTGTCTCACTTACATTCCACTCCTCTCTCAAACTCTCTATTTCAATTCCTCCTTTACTCTCTTACATCCTCTTTCTCCCCCCTCTCTCTCCCTTTCTCTCTCTCTCTCCCCTCTGGTTATTTATTCTCTCTGCCTTTTCCCATTTATCTCCTTGCTAGGTTTATTCTCCCCTGTCCCCTTCTCCTTGTTTCTCCTGTTGCAAATTGGAGCTGGGAGGGCAGAGAACAGAGATAAATAAACAGTCACTTAATGAAGATAAACCGACTGGTCAAACACATGGGGTCTGGCTGCAGTTACTGCTCATCCCAACCCAGACTCTGGGCTGCTGGGCTGGGGACACAGTGACAGCACAAGTTTGGAAGGAGGGGGGGCGGGGGGGTTAGTAACTTGCACTGCTGAGGCAGTAACTAGCACTGAACTAGAGAGAAACCCTGAGATTGTACAGGGAGGTGCTGCAGACTGATCATCAGACACTGTAACAAGACTGTAACAGGATCTGGGGTGATATCTGTGATGTTTCCTGTAGTTACCTCTAAGAAAGAGAAGAAAGGCCTTAGACAAACTCCCTCTCATCTCTCTACACCCCCCAACCTGCATGTCACACAGGAGGCGTGAAAAACAACAAAAACCCAGCCTAGGGCCCCACTTTTCCGCTGCACCCCATCTGCTGTCTGGTTGATCATTATCTGGATTTGGCTTGTCTTAGACTGCCGGGGGGCTGCTGGGGAGGGGAGAGCAGCTCAGAAGACTTGGTGGAAAAGATCAAGCACAGGAGGGGGGTGTGAGAAGAGGAGGGGGCCGATTTTTGCTAGTGGCTCAGAGAGAGCAGGATATTTCGTTTCCCGGCCATGTTATCAAGTTGTTTGTACAAGGAATAAGTGGGGGTGAGGAGGGGGGAGGGGGTGTCTTATCAAGAATCTGATACATTGAGTAAAGTAAGTGCAGGGCCTGGTTTAACCGATACAAGCAAACTGGAACTCCAGGTATTGTGATCTCCAAATCCTATCACCCTCAGCCATCCAATGATGGCCCGGAGGTATTGGGATTAGTCTGCTTTGTATATTAGGGATGCCCTGACATGCAGTGAGTTCTGCTATAGGCAGAGTTCTACCAGTGAAGCAATCTCCATGGTAACAATGGAATGTCCAAGCTGTCTGCGTCACTTTTAGAACTTTGTCCCAGAAATGTTTTATTTTTTTATTTTATTTTTATTAACCACTTATTGACCTGATAACCCTCTGACACCATATACAGCTTGCCATTTGGCTAGTGCTAGACTGCAATGTTCATTACCCTCAGCCAGTCCGGAGCTGATGTGTTCGAGGTGGTTTGGGTGTATACTGGTGGTAACTTTAAAGTTTGCTGGTGCTTAAAGGTTATGTAAAAGTTAATTATTATGTCTGTAGGTGTATGTGTGTATATGTGTGTACAGGTGTTCGGGGAGGGAGGGAGACCTTGCACTACGTGTCTGTGGATTGTGTGTGTGTGTGTGTTTGTGCGCGCTACGTGTTTCTGGATCTTATTGTGGGTTTTTTCCTGCTTTTATTCAAACTGATCCTTTGTTTTTTTCTTCCTCTCCCCCCATCTGTCATTTATTCCTGCTCTCTTCATATTCATTCACTTACACCTGTACATTCCATCACTAATTCTTTATATTGTATCTCTTGCACTATTCATTCCCTCCTTTATGGTGTACATTTCATTTCTTGCACCATACATCCTCCCCACACACATACACACACACACACTAAAAATGACATTTTGGATCTGTGTCGGTCGCTGTGTCCATTCCGTGATTTCTTGTGTTTTTCCCTTATCCATGTATTATCCATTTTCATTCCTGCACTTGATCTATACATTCCCTCCCTTGCACTGTTCATTCAATCACCTGCTCCATTAATAATTCCCTGGTATAATTGGTCATTTGAACACTTTTTGTTTGCATAACTTGCTGATTCCTCATTTTAATTCCATCACTTTCTGCATCTCCCAAATCCATTCCTTCTCCTGAAATTCCTCTATAATCCTGTGCAACCTTTATACTTCTTGGAACTTTTAACCATTTCGTGTTCTCCTTGTGTCACTATTCTCAAACTCTCACCTCTTGTAATCACTTCACACATGCCCTTCATCATTATCTCACCTTTACTCACTGACATTCCCCCATGCCCTGCCCCCCCCCCCCCCACACTCTTCCCTCACCCACCTACCTGCCTGCAGACTCAGCCATGGATTGTAGCTGTGTATCTGACATTCTCCTCACACCATCAATGCCAGCACTCTGGACTCCAGGTAAATGATTCATTTCTTCCTAATACACAGACTGTCCCACCTGTTCCAGGTATAATGACTTGGGGACAGAGACACTACACTGAGATGTAGGGAGAGCTGGGAATCGATTTGCAAAATTTAGAAAAAAAATTACCATATAAGGAAATAAAAATATCAGATCAGTTATATAGAATAACCCTTTAAATACTAATTCATAAAGTGTTAAAATGTCTAAAAAAAAAGCTAGAAAATAGAAGAAAGAATCTCAAAGTACAGGCAGAAGCAGCCATAATTATCTATCTATCTATCTATCTATCTATCTATCTATCTATCTATCTATCTATCTATCTATCTATCTATCTATCTATCTATCTATCTATCTATCTATCTATCTATCTACCTGTCTGTCTGTCTGTCTGTCTATCTACCTGTCTGTCTATCTGTCTATCTGTCTGTCTATCTATCTGTCTGTCTGTCTGTCTGTCTGTCTATCTGTCTGTCTGTCTATCTACATTTTACCTATATAACCATTAAATAGCCTAAAATACAGCAAAAGCCGCATGTTGTCTGTTTAGGACATTATAATCATATTATACATTTAACAATATTTAAAGTTTTGTCTGATTCCTCTAACTGCAAGAACACATCATATCAACTATTTTTCAAAAAGCCATTTACGAAAAACAAATTCGTGTTAACCCAGTGGTTCCCAAACCAGTCCTCAAGGCACCCTACCAGTCCAGGATTTAGGGATTATCCAGTTGTGTCTAAGATATTTTTTTTGAAAGAAAAATAAAAAACACCTTAGACACAACTGGGTAATCCCTAAATCCTGGACTGGTAGGGGTGCCTTGAGGACTGGTTTGGGAATTAACATTAAGTTAAATTTAGATATATGTGTCCCCTGTTTGGGTTCTACTGGGTTATTCACGGTGGTTAGGAATTTGGTGACTTTTTTATTCCAAAACAACCTTACGGAAACCGCGGCTTCATTTTTTAATTCAGGCTGCATTGGTCTACAATTCACTAAGCTTGAAGACTATTGAAATGCAAATGGCAAAATGTAGGCAAAAATAACTGCTCTGGAAGAATTCTCAAAGTAAATTACAGTCACAGTGTGGCCTGAATTTTGCCATCAGGATTTTTATTAATTAGAATTTGTAGTTATTAGTTGTTTTGTTAGTGAATAACTATGTTTGAATTACATTTAAAGGGACACTAATCTCAATGAAGTGGTTTGGGTGCAATGGCCCTGTCCTTATAACCAGTTTTTAGAAACGTCAATGTTTACATAGTGGGGTTAAATCCACCTCTAGGGGCTGTCTTCTCTATCTTTTCTATGGGGAAGTTCGGATGGGTGCATGGGGGGACCTATAATTTGGGATAGATTTGCATTCTCAGTGGTATTGTGTTCCTTTAACTTCTTCAAACTCAGAATTTTACATGAACACAGGTAATGACTTGCAGGGATAGGCAAGGGAAAGCATTCTATCTGAGAACAAATGAGAATAACAGTTGACCATTACTTATTTTTTTTCATACAAAATTTGTTGAATTTGTAATGGCTGATTTTTTTCAACCTCTTATACATTTTTGATTTATATCTGTAAATTACTAATTTCAACATAAAGGCAGCCATCTTGTATCATAACACAATTTCAAAATTTACTCTAGATTTTAATTTTCTTTGCTGAGAACATCAGTAAATATGATTGGTTAATAAAAGTGACCCAGCAGCCAATCAGAAGCTGGAATTCCCTGAGTTAAAGGATCATTATAATGTCAGGAGAACAAACTTATTTTCCTGACACTATATACTCCTTAGGCCCCCATCCACCCTCAGGGCCCTCCTCCCTTGGCGCTGAAGGGGTTTAAACCCCTTCAGTTACTTACTTTAATCCTCTCCTCCCCCGCCGACGTCAGCTCCCGAGTGGAGCGGAATGCGCATGCGCTGCAAGAGCCGCGCGCATTCAAACAGTCCATAGGAAAGCATTTCTTATGGACGTTCTGCATGCTAGATGCGAATTTCGCATCCAGTGTCGCAGAAGTGCCTCTAGCGGCTGTCAGGAAGACAGCCACTAGAGGCTGGATTAACCCTGCAATGTAAACATAGCAATTTCTTTGAAACATCTGAAGCTTTAAAACCTGGGGGACCTGGCATTTCTCCTCTCAAATGTTTTTTTAAAATTGTCAACTCAAAATACAGCCATGTGCCCTGGAGTCACACATCCTCAAGTATAGATCTGTTAATATATCTCCACATTTACACAGAATGTATAAATCTCATTCAATACACAGGGGCTTATACTAAACTGAAATGTTATGTGAATTCAAAGTGAACAGCAATTTTAAGGCAAAAACAATCAAATTGGAAACATTCTCCAATTCAGTTGTGTTCTAAGCTCAGCTATTTGGGCCTTTTATTTGTCTTTTTGTAAAGTTTCACCTAGCCATCTTTACTCCAGGTTTTGCATTTCCTGATTGGGCTTACAAGCCAGAGTCCAGCCCGGGCTCCAGACAGATTCAGCTCTGGCATTTCATTCTGGAGCTGCTCCAAAAAGAGGAATATCATGACGTCATCGCTTGGCAAGGGGACTACGGAGAGTTTGTCATCAAGGACCCAGATGAGGTGGCGCGCCTGTGGGGAATCCGCAAATGCAAACCACACATGAACTATGACAAGCTGAGCCGAGCACTCAGGTAGGTGTGAGGGGTGTAGAATCATTTTGATGAAAAAAAATATCCTAATACAGCGCAATTAATTGTCATAATAACACTTGAGTGAGTAGCTCCACCATATCACTTTCATTTACTCAAAATAAAATTTATTTTTCTGATTCTGTTTAAATGTTGTTTTTATTTTCTGTCTTTCTAAATTGTCACTTTTTAAAGTTATTTTTGAATAAGTGTACTAGCAGCTATTTAACAGCATGGGCCCTCTTCGTTAAGGCATACAAAGGCACAAACAAAACGTAACTGTCCGATGGTGGGCAAAGCCTTCTCTTTCACACAACCATTCATAAGATGTTAGATGACCTCACACTAGCTTCAGCCACCAATCAAGTTAGACAGTAGAAAAAGCCATTTATTTTTTAATAGTGTTGCCGAAAAGGAAAATAACAGTAGATTGAAGATATGGCACATTAATAAAATCATATAGTCAGTAGTAAGAGAAAAACATTATTATGTTAAAAAAAAATCACATGCTCTTGGGTGTTATAGACACCCAAGACAATTCACTTTTGCCAGAAGTATTTCAATAAACACAAGGGCTCAATGAATAAGAAAATTGCAAATCTGACTTTCCTATAAACAGGAGCCCCAAGCCCGTACTTTCAATCTCTGGATAATGAGACTCATAGTACAGCAGTCACTGGAGATGTAATTAAGGACAGTAATTAATGCAGCTTATTAACTACAGGTTAATGTGAGGGCATACTAATGCAGTTTTGATGTATAGATCATGCCCCTGCAGTCTCACTGCTCAATTCTTTGCCATTTCGGAGTTAAATCTCTTTTGTTTCTGTTTATGCAGCCCTAGCCACACCTCCCCAGATTCTGACTCATGCAGCCTCCATGAAAAAATAGTTACATTTTCAATCAGATTTACAGCAGAGTGTGTTTGCTTTAGATGTTCTTATCTCCTGCTCTGTTAATTGAACTTTAATAATACACAGCTGTTGTAGGCTCTAGCAAGCATTTATCAGATCAGCAGATACAAAATAACAAATTAAATACACTCCAATAAAAGAAGCTAAAAATTTAGATTCACTCTCCTGTATAAAGTAATTCAATTTATTCCACCTGATGAAGGGTATGCGCCTGAAACGTTGCCATTTTTTTATGGATGATGCAATGAAGCTGTAGAGTTTGCTCCCTCTTTTTTACATTTTCACGTTGTAGGTATGAGGTGAAATTTGCAGACTGAGAATCATATGAAAGTTTTGTTTAATGAGCCCTCAGACACTGTGATGTCCAGAATATGTCTATAGTAAAAGTTGGAGGAGTTCTTGGTGAAGAACAGTTGAGCCAGTAGTATTCATCTGTTCTTTGATCAAACAAGCTTTGAGCCAGCCCCAAGGGGAAATACACAAAGAAATTTACATAGGAGTGAAACCAGAGCTTCAGATTAGCAAACGATTATGGATTATCTTCTAGTCACTTGGATGCACTGAACACATAGTTACCAGCCAATTTAGCAATCTATGTGTGTATTGTATAGAAGCCAGTAGGCATGCAGAAGATAGCAGAACTTTGAATGGACTCCCAGGTGCAGATGACCTCTGGTTCCCCAGCTGCTGTAATCTATAACTCAGCCAAAAATAATTAAATCCTCTGGCATGTCAGTTTCTGTGAAATTCAACCCCCACCCTGCCAAGCCAACAAAGTTTCATGCCCAAGGCAGCCAGAGTTGGCCATTCTTTGGTATTTCAGATTCCACTGACTACAGTTCCCATCATGCATAGACGGCATAGTAAAGGAAAATAACATCCAGCTGCAATGGTTTATAAATGCCAATAGGCTACCCGAGACTATTGGGATTTGTGGTCTGCAGCACTAGAAATGACAGGGGCCAGTGGTAAGTATGGCTGCCTGAGAGTGGTGTGAATAATATAAAGAATGAGACAGAATAATCGAAATGGAGGCAGGGGTCACACAAGTCACAAATTAGAAATGTATGGGTATCCACAATCCTTCCATGTGCATGGAGCAGCTAGTTTAAGTCCATGCGGTCCCCAAGGTGCTGGTGGGTATATAGGTAGGGGGGGGCCTCATTCCTCTACCGAAAAATCACTTTTGACATTTAATTTCAAAAATCTCTTCTTGCCTAACACGTGGGTGATATGTTTGCCCTATAATACGGCACGGGATCTCAAGAGAGGAGAAGAGGGTGGTGTGTGGGTTTATATAATATATCTATCTTTACAAAAATAAAGCACGTTCATGGGTTTGTAGCTATCTATTATATCATTTTACATACGTTACCGTGTGTATTGTGGAGTTTATTTACTTAGGAGAATAAAAGATCTGTCTAATATAATATAGAAAACATATAACATACATTTTAGTCAGACTGAATTTGTCTGATAATTTATCTTGCTGTTTTATGCAGTACAAAGCGTGGTATTTCTCCATAAACTACTTTCTATAATACTGCACTATATAAACTCTCCATATTATCCCTTCTATTGATTGACCAATATTACCACCTAATTCACTGTGTAATCACTTTTAACCCTTTCTGTTGCTCCACCTTCAATGATATCTAAGCACTATATGGCCTTACCGAGTAACCCCTACTAATGCTTGGCTGATAACACCACCTAATGCACCGAATAACCCCCTATTATTGCTCTGTCTGCAATGTGATTTAATACCCCACATAATTGCCCATTTTACCCGTTGTTGCCTCTAATGCTATCTAATCTCTATGAAATGCCTGATTTAGCCCCTTCCATTGATCCACCTATATTGCCACATAATGCCCTATGAAATGCCCAATTTAACCCCTACTTTTGATCCACTTAAATACAATGCCCCATATAGCTCTTTGTTTAATACCCTTGTACTGCTTGGCTTATAATTATACCGCCACCTAATACCCAATGTAACTTCTCATTTAAGCTTCATTCTATCCCCCCCCCTCCCCTCTAATGCACCTTTTAAATCCCCTACTGTTGCTATACCTATAATTCCTCTTGTAAACGCTCATTTTTATGTATTCTGTTACACCTGTAATCTAGTCTCATATCTAACCCTTCTTTTGCTCCACCCATAACATAACACAACCTAATGCCCTTTATTTAATACCTTCAAATCCTGCCTAATGTCACCTAGAACAACCACAGCCTGCCTTTCCCCCCTTAGCAGGCAGACCCTCTTCATACATTATAACAATAGCTAAACACCTGACAGCTAATGACTGTTCCTTTATTTTTTTCTACATTGAGCTGAAAACATGCTCTTACAGCCACCATACTTGCAAAGCATCAGGGGAGATGTAGTCCACAACATCTGGAGTGCTGAAGGTTGCCTAAAATGCCTAACCCTGCTCTATTATACACAAACTCACAATGTACTATCTTTGGAAGAATGTCACAAAAGTCCAATCATATTCACGATGTCATTAATATGTGGTGTGTCTGAATATATTAAAGAGCAACACATCTTCCAGTAATGTGTATGAATGTAGCACTGAGCCATTCTATTGCTCGATGCAATTCCCCTAAATTTCTTTTTCTCCCTTGAAGGTATTATTACAACAAGCGGATTCTACACAAAACTAAAGGAAAGCGTTTTACCTACAAATTTAACTTCAGTAAAGTCGTGTTGGTGAACTACCCTCTGTTGGATATGGCCAATTCTTCTCTCCTGCTTGGGCAAAGCGCGTTTCCTGGAGCCCACTCACATGATCCGTTCACTCCAGAGGTAAGTGGGCCAATGTCACAGGGTTATAAGACAAGGTCAGTCACAAACAGACCCTAAGCTGCTGTCAGAGACAGATTAATTGCTGATCATTCTGAGCCGCGACAATATGGCGGCCACTGCGAGAAGTACATGGTCTGCGCTTTATTCCCTAAAGATAAAGATAACAAAATGAAAAAATAGATCAACTGCAGAATTTCTACAATTTGCAATTGCAGGAAAAATGGATTGTCAGCTCTTTGATTGAGCCAATGTGCACTGAAGACATCACATAGCTTATCTCATTGAGGGTGCCCACTACTGGCAAGCTACGGGTCATCTCTTACCAACTTGGTAGAAGAAACCTTGGGTGATGCTTACTTGGTGTCCCACATTGAGTAGACAGTTTATTTTGTATTCCGCAACACAAGCATTGTATCTATCAGTGTTATATCGCAGTAATATATATATATGACTTTTCAGACTAACTCTTTAATTGATCTGAGAATTGAATCAAACTCTTTTAAAATATGTTGAATTAAAAGAACACTCCAAGTACCATAACCACTACAGGCCACTGTAGTAGTTATGGTTACTGGAGTGTCCTGGCTCCCTTACAGGGTAAGTAGTAGATCAGTTTAACAACTAACATGGGGCCCATCGCGTCCCTCCTCTGTACAACTGAAGCCTCTAAGCCAGGCAGTGAGAATTCACAGCTGGCGCACTCAACTTAGCTCAAATGGCGTCTGGCAGACCCTGGATGTGTTGTCAAACTAGAGAGGCTTGTAGTTGTTATGGTGCTCACAGTGTTCATTTAAGTATTTATAGTCCCCCCCCCCCACTACCCTGTGGCATTATGTCAACTTGATCACACATAACACAACTTCATGTATTGTGTAAAATGTAGGATTATTTACTAAACAGCGTGCAGCAAAATTCAGGCAAAAATAATTCATCTGCAAAATTGCACGATAGGAGAATTTTATTTTATCCTATATGTCTGGAAACTGGTAGCCAGTTTATTAGATCTCATTGTTTAGCTTCGTAAACTCTGTAATCGGTAATCTTCAAGCTAATAGCAGTAATTAATGGATGTTTGAGGATGCCTTGGATACGTCAAGTGGAATAGTTCATCTTGATGTGAATTCTTGACATTTATGAGCTTGTTTGTATGTGCAAAGCCTGGCCAGTGTGTTTATTTCAACAAAGAGAGCCACTTCATTAGATAAGCCTCTTCACGTCAATCCAATTCTCCAGGGTGAAGCCGTATTACTCCACATTCTATGTGTCATAGGACAGGATCAGAATTTGAAATATTCAGTTCGTAGATGGGCAAGAATAAAACGAGCTTGCACAAGGTCCAATCTTTGATATCTTTGGCCCATTCCATTTAATTTCAGATGCAGTCCCATACCCTTGCAGTAGTTTTGGTATATTAAAATTATTACCTGGGATTTTTTGTCTCTGCAATACTCTTTAATGTGCCTTCTTAATTATTGTATCATCTACTAATTTCACTTCTCCCTAAGTCCAACCTCTAAAGTTGCCACAACTTCTCTGTATCGTCCCCTGACAAATAACAATAATATAGTGATTACAGAGGAATCTTAATACAAGTCAAAGCATGACATATGCTCCCAGTGAAGTGAGCAAAGAATATCTCCTCCTTTTTATAGAAGACAGAAGGAAGTGTTAATTACATCAGTTCACCTCTAGAATGTAAACTCATTGAGCAGGGCCCTCCACTTCTCTGTTCCTGTGCGTCCAGTTGTCTGGTTACAATTACATGTCTGTTAGTCCACCCATTGTACAGCGCTACAGGATCTGATGGTGCTATAGAAATAATAAAATAATTATAATCCAAACTTACCCCTGCCCTTAAATGTGCAATTCGTTTCAAAAGCTTTTCACAATTTAAAATGCCAGTTTAATGATGTGTGAGAGTTAACAGATAAAGTAATATATGTATTTAAAGTAGACATGTATGCATGCATAAACTAATTTGAACCTGACTAGACGGATGACAGGAATATTTTGTTACAGGCTTTGCAGTCTCTCTTCTCTCAAACTGGTCGTGCCCCGCTCCTGGACCGCCCCCTCACTGTTCCAGATGCAGACAAACTTCGCCTTGAAGCTGCTTTTCCTTTTCTGAATTCTGGTAAGACCAAGTGAAAATCTTTTTTTTTTTTTTTTTATTCTTTTTGTTTTTAAGTACATTGTTTACACTGAAGACTAATCTGTTAATCTGCATTAGTTTTAAAATAAAAATGGAAAAAAACAAAACACAAACTCCTCAATGGGTTATTTGTTAAAGGGACACTATAGGCACCCAGATCACTTCACCTCATGAAGTGGCCTGGGTGCAGTGGCCCTGTCCCCTTGGCCTTTAAAATGCTAAGACAATTTCAAGTTCAATTCCGTTAAGCGACGTTAGACGTCCTCATGCAAAATCTGAGGACGTCCAAAGTCTTGAAAATCCCCATAGGAAAGCATAGATTCAATGCTCCCAATTGGGGAAGCTCTAAAGCGTGTGGCATTCGCCACGCATGCACATTATGTTCTAGCATTGTCGCGTTGTTGCGGTAGGATAGCATTGATCCAGTGATGAGGGACTTTGGTGCTGGTAACTGTATAAAGGGTTTTTAGCGCTTTAATCACCGGTTGGTAGTGAGGGAGCTAAATTAAATTAGACAGAGGGATGCTTGAGCAGTTTTGTATTCCTAATGATATAGTTTTGCTCTAAGCTTCAAACCTTTTTCAAAATTTGGGAATAAAATTTCAAAGATCACTCACTGTATTATTTCCCAATAATATTTGCAAACCCAACTCTGAATTGTCAACGTGCGCATCTGGGTTAATCTGAAATACTATAAAAAGAGGCCCAGGATTAGTTCAGGAATGATTAGCAGACATTCAGCTAACACAGAAATCTCCAAAGTGTGCAGTTTCACCATTAAATTGTTGTATGTTAAGTGTGCATTCCAAATTCGGCATGGATTTTGAACCTTTTCATGTTAATTTAGTTCTGACATCAAATTGAAGAAATAAAAGGGAATTTGGGTTACACATCCAGAACATGCATTTTTCTGCAATGGTGCTGCTGTTAAAACCAAAATATAAACAAAATAGAGATTCAGGAACAGCTCCCACACAAAAAGATACAGTTTTTCAATCTTAGAAGGATACTTAAAATCACGTTGGTAAACAATTCAGTTACACCATATGGCCACATTCCCACAGTAACCCAATATCGGTGGGTACTACACTAATTTTAACATGGTTGTATTGCAGTTAGCATGTTTATCAAACTGCTTAAAGTGGCACAGTCATCGCCTAGGGACTTTTCAGAATTTGCTATGACCCCAGTAGTGACTTCTTCAGGCCGGAAGCCTGACATCACTGCTTAACTCTAGTGCATGGGCAAGAGTACAGCTTTGAAGTCTATGGAGAATCTGGTAAGACTGCGGGATTATCCAAACACAGAGCAAATTCCCTGCAGCCGTCACTGGTGACAGCTGGGTGACTGACACTTCTAGACAGCGGTAACTCCGCCCCGTGTCTAGAAGTATCAAGCGTAGATAATATACAGAGACAGAGTAGTCACTACTTTCAGTGAAATTCCAACAGTCAATATGAGCATTTAATAAAGATTCTATTTTTATGAAATACTCTTTTTTTTTTTTAGATAGTGGGGAGAGAGGGAAGGGGGTCAAGGGGTTACAGTGCCGCTTTAAACTGCTTCCAAAATTGATCAAAAATTTGACGCAGATGTCCTTCGTGGATTTTGCAATCAGAAGTACATTTGGACTTTGGTGTCCTTAATAGATTCCTATTAAGCAAAACAGGTGCATAAAATCCGCCAGAAAAAACACCTGAAGCTAGTCTCCCAGGAGCGTCACTTACCTGGAAACGTAACACGATAGGTAGGCTCTTCAAGCACAGATTTCATACGTTTTGGTTTCATTTTTATCGTAGGACGGGGGGATTATGCAGACGGAAAGTGACAAAGTTTGTTTATGCTCCTTCAATGATGTTACCTCCTTTTGTCATGTAAACTCAACAGTTATGGTGGAAAAAACAAACAAATGCTGGAAGTGATGACTTACAATCAGAAGTCATCAAGATACATTAATAAACAGTGCAGAACTTGCCAACTGATTTCTAATTGTAATTAATTTCTTCGTTTCCAATTCGTGCTACTTTCTACGCCAACCAGTAGATCAACCATATGTTTTTAACCCCTTAAAGACCAAACCTCTGGAATAAAATGGAATCATGACATGTCACACATGTCATGTGTCCTTAAGGGGTTAAAGAGCACAAACAAATCCCGAGAGAAGATGGTTATTTCTGTAGTTTTTGGTATCTATAGTTTCTGTGACGGTTTATGTTGGTACTGATGAGGTTTTGTTGACTAGATTTCCCAACATGTCCAGAGAGACTGTGGCTTCCTAGGCATCAAGGGAATTGTAGTCCAGGTATATATATTATAACATTTGTGAAATGACCTCTCTCTTTTTGTTTTTCTTAGGCACCGGTTACACAAAACCACCATCCTTACTGCCCCCCTATAACCGCAACTCCCCATTTCCAGACTACTCCTGGGGATTTAACCCATACCTTTCCAGCAACTTCCCACTCGCCGGCTCTAAGCTGCCCACTTCTCTCTACCCCCCGCAGTTTTACCCCAGCTCCCTTTCCCAACTGCCACCTCCAGTTTCCTTACTCCCTGGAGACTCTATAGACAGATCTGTCTCTCTATTGCAAGGCATCCCGCAGAGGCTTTGCAGCAACTTGAACCCCCACTTAGTGTCCCCCAGAGGAAGCGGAGAATTAGTGGGGGCACCAGCAGCCAGGAGAGAGAGAGCAGAACCAGAAGGGAAACAGGAACCAGAGTCTGATTCAGATCTGGAAATTACGGACGTGAGCGACTGCAGCTCAGAGGCAGAGGGGTGCGGGTACAGCCCCCCATGCCCAGGACCAGCACTGGTCAGACCACAAGCAGAAGCTGAACTCCCCAAAGAGGAGGGCAAGACGGCGGAAAAAGCAGCTACCGTGTCCAGCTAGAGATGGGCACACGTGAAAACTATATATAAATGTATAAATATATGGATATAAATATATATATATAGCTCTATGGATATATATGGAATAAACAGTGTTTCATTAACCCCTTCATCCCACAAGCCACTCGTTATGCAAATTATGAAATGTATTTACCAATTTCTTGCACTTGCAGCCCAGCGGATCCTCTCTGCTGCTTTGGTAATGCTTCTGTGCACTCAGCCTATCACTGGCAAGGTAATTAACTATTCCCTTCAGCGGGTAATACCACCATGGGCCCCCACGGACACTAAGTGAGAACGATTTGACATTGAATAGTGGCATGGTGACAGAGGACTCCAGGTACCATACTGCTTCAATGAGATGAAGTGATTATGGTGCATACACTGTCACTTTAATATGAAGTTTCTTTATTAAAAAAAAAAAAAAAAATACACAACAGCCATATCCTGTACAGACAGAAACTCCCTCCACCAGGCCTGAGTAAACCATATTACTCTTCCTCATCTTGCTGAGTGTTATGGGAGTATGACTTCAAATTTAAAAAGAGGGAGATGGCACTTCACAGCCTTTGTGGCCTGGCTAGTAATGGATGGGTCTCTCACGTGCAGGCACTTCCTGCGCTAGATTGAGTACTCCATCTCCTGGTTTTGTGAACCTAGCATCATACTCAAGTCACCAACAGGGTACCACTGGTTAAACACGATTAATTGTCATGATGGAAATAAGAATTCGCCTTCAGCAGAGAGTAGCCAGTCTATACATTGCTGCCATGGTCATTAGCCATGAATGTGGCTTGTGAAAGGATGAAGGGGTGTCCCCAATCTTTCCTGTTGGAGTCCTGTGGACCAGCCTCCCTCTTGCAGGAAATGGGGAAACAAAAAGGTCATTTGGTGTTTATTTTTCTATTGGGATTCTGTTTTAGGCACACAACAAGGCTCACAATCCACCTGGCACACAACGCCACTTGCAGGAGCACATTTATAGAGTTGGACTAAGTACCTAAAATATAACAAAAAAAGGGTGCTGGTCAATACTCCTGATGTCGGACTACTCTAACCATCTAGGACAACAGGACACATTGTCCTTTTCTGCTCCACCGACTTCTAAACTACAATACCTATCATCCTTAGATATGTGATTAATGGGAACTCCCGTGAAAATGAAAGGCTACATGTTTAACAAGCCCTCTCATATAGCCAGGTAGCAGATAGTGTGGTTCTGCAAGCAGGCTGCTGTTGGATGTCATAATGGGAGTTGTTGTCAGACAGCTGTAGGTCTCCATTTTCGCTGACAAATTGAGTAGCCTATTGTATAATGAATCAGATATCACTGTGATAGTAAATCAGTGCTTTGTTTCACTTAAACCAGCTTGATCTAAACTTTAAAAAGAATCTACCATAAAAAAAAAAATGTGTTTTGTACCTTTATATATGCGTTTGTGCTGTGTGGTTGAGTGTCGAGCAAGTTCAAGCACTATGTTATAAAATTTTTTTTTTATTGAGATGTAATCCTTACCTGGATGCTTGTAAAAGCCATCAACTGCACCCATAAATGCTGTCTGAGGATACACCTTGCTCAGTTGCGTACATGGATCAATTGGCCTGTTATCTATGTAATAATGTATTCCCCCAATCTACCGCTTCGTGTTTCTCCTACTGTTTGTGACACTATGTAAAGTGAAATTCAATCAACATGTTCGTGGCTGGTGAGATAAGAATTGTACAGGTTTTGCCATCTGGAACATATGGAAATACCGTCAAACAATTACAAGGAAATGTACATCTACACGAAACAAAAGGCTGTGTTTAAAAACAAATTTGACTGCACACACTCTTTTCTTTAAAAGGAAAAAAGTTTAAAGTTGAAACTAGCGCTCCCCAGTGGCAATATTAACTAACTGTATGAATTCCACTGATTTGTGGAGCAAAAATAATCTTGCCTATTAACAAATAGGACATTTTGATTACTCTAATCAGATTAGTGAATAAACCCTTAAATATTAATATACACATTCATGCATACATAGATACTTATTTGCCTTTAAATACAGCTTAAATGTTGGGTGTACATTTCAGAGAAATGATTTTGCTAGATTTTTGGATATAATTATGCTGTTTCATATAGACATTTTTTTTCCCTCTAACTAAACATATTCAAATGTTAATTTCCTCTGTAAATAATGATTTTGTGTATTATCAGTCCTTCCCATGAAACGGATTAACTTTATAAATAAGTGTTGAAGAAGCACCGCTTTAAATTATGAAACAATTGGTCTGTTCTAAAACAGTGGATATGACACTTGATTAACATTGCAAAACGTGTGCCAAATTAGCAGTTCTTGAAAAACTCTTCAAGTTAATTATTGTCACATTTTGGCTATTTTACCAAGAATTAAGCAATTTAGTTTTCCAAATCACTGCAATTCACTGTGAGCAAACCAAAAGGCCTTTATATTACACTTTTTTTTTTTTTACATAGATTTCACAATAGTTACAATATTGTTTGGCTGTTAATCCTTCACAGTGATGTACATGATCTGATCTGACTTCCTCGAGGTTCCTGTATCTGAGACCAGTACTGCGATAGCCATAACAACATCTAGACTAAATGCAGTCACATACAACATTGTGGCACTACACAAAGAATAAAACTGAACAGATGAGAAAAGGTTATCCAATGCATAAGCCATTCATGAAAAATGTAAAATTCTATTTCTTAATCCACACTTCTCCTAAACAGTTTAGAAATATTTCCAAAATGAGACTTATGGAGCAGCAAACTCCATGTTTTATATCATAAAAGCATTAAAAAAACAAAACAAAATCACACTGCCTTCTGGATCATATTTTAAGCAATAATATAAATGGTTATATCACATTAAAAACTAGTATATGTTTTAAACCCTGGGTAGGGACCCTATGATATTTCAGATGGTCCTCGTTATTTGGAAGAGTTATAAAAATCCCCCATGATAAACTTGAGAAGAGTGGTTTTGTTCGGTAATATTCTTGTAGATTCTAAACAAGGAATGCCAAGGTAATGCCATCTATGTGAATAGGCAGTCAGTGGCTTAGCATAACTGCAGTTCTTGTCTGTTGTCTTTTAGATAAGCCAACTAATTTGTAAGATGATTTGTTGCTCCTGCTTGTCAGACTATTGTAATTTTTGAATTCGTAATTTTTTTTGTTTTAGAAAAGGATGGAGAAAGTACACATTTCATACACTTTTTGACACTTGAGAGATGAACTACTATTTCTATGGACCTTAATGTTAATTTCCTTTAAGGGGATGTGTAGTCCAAATTGCACATATATCTATTTTAAGTCCTCTGGAGCATTGACGGTGTACCACAAATTTCTGGTTTCTTTGTGTATTTGAACATCGCGCAATCCCACTAACCTTTGCCGTAATGTCAAGATGTCTGTTGTGATTTTGGGGGCCGGGGGGAAAAATCCAGGTGATATTTTTTTGTACCCAAGTTCAAAAGGACAGGGCACAAAATATTCCAGAGCAATAAAGAAATACATAAAAAATGACTTAATAGTTGTGAGTTCTTTGGGGGACAAGTTATTAATTGTATACCTTCTAGATACTGCAAAACATTTAATTCCACCAAACTGAAATGATTGTAACCACCGATGTTTCACCAGTGGTTCCATGTGATGGAGAGACTGACTCGTTCCGTAACAGTCTGTGGGACATCAATACGTTACTTGGTTCACCTGAACTGAAGCTACCAAAGTCCACACTATCTTTGCCACCATCTTATCATCTCCTGTCTTCAGGAGTTGGACAATATTGCCTAAAGTATCTTTCGATTTATATTCCTCTGTCCCAAATCACCCTCTCCTGGGTTATATACAGGATTTGTTTTCCCCACTTCTATTCTGTTTAGCTCTCTGTCCTGCCTGGGTTGTCCTCTTCCGGTCACACTCATCACTCATCCCTCTGTTTGTTCTTTTTTCTTTGTTGATCTGCATGCGATTATGCATCTATTCTTCCATTTCACCGATGTAAAGTCTGCTTGTATATTATAAACATATTTTCAATTACCATGCAATTTAACTACTCCCAAGATTGTATGTTACATGCAGGCTTTAGATTATTTGTTCTACCGCAAACAAACATTCTAGTTAAACTAGAATTCCTTTTATGTCCCATAAACATTTCTGAGTTGGCAATGGTTGTCCAGTGCAGACGACTTGAGCCACTTTGTGAAAGATGACTACACGGTTGCATATAATAAACATCTGTAGTATCAACACAACAAGCTCATCACAGCATGTAACGGGATTACCATCCCACAATGTCAATTCTGAAAACACTTTATTTCTTTGTTGCTTTTACAGTTTTTAGGTTGTAGACAATGGTCTTTGGCATACATTGACAAACAAAATATGGAATACAAATAGCCCCCCACCCCCCCCTTTCCTTTTCAAATCCCCCTGTTGACATAATACACTGACCTTTTTTCAAAACCACCCATCCAATAAAAAAGAAAGCTTCAATTTATATATATATATTTTTGTTTGTTTAAATAACATAAAGGATGAATTTTAAACAAATTAGGACTAAGAAAAATACATAGATCCAGGACACGAAATCCCCACATCTTTGAATACAATAGAGATGTTCTTTATTTTCTAACACTTAATAGCATTTCCAGCCCTGTATGTATGTGGGTGCACAATATGCACATACAATAAATCTCCCTATTTGCAGCTCTCTATACAGTGACAGTACAGATACTCTATACTTTTTTACCTCCACCATAAGTTGTCGGTTTGACTCTGAGTAGATGTGGTGGGCCTTTTGGAAGCAGTGAGATGGCAATGAATGGTTTCCTGGATCAGGTGGGACCCGTAAATGAATGATCCCTGCAGATCTCTTCATGATAAACATACTGTGACCTTATATCTTATGCCAGTAGCAAACACGTAACTTTTACGATCTTAATTCGAAATGAATTGGGTCCATCAAATTAGATCCCACAACACAACTGTAGGGAAACAGCTCAAATTCGCTGCTAGTATATAGACAGTTGATCAAAAACACTTGATCTTCTACTCACACACTGACATATCGCTCATCCTTAATCCTACCACTCACTCGTAACTAGTGCACAGATAGCTGGAATATTTACTCTTAATACTCAAAGCTCACTCAGACACAGACAGACAGGTACTTCAACGTCCACACAAAGACACGAAAAACTCATTCCTAATACAGAGGCAATCAGGACACATCCTGCGGAATATCCCTAGCTAACAATAATACAAAAGTATTTTGACGTGGGTCTAATGCACTATTAACCTTCTTCCCACAGACTCCAGTATGTGAAGATACCAACTTAAATCTAAGTTATCAGCTTAGCCTCATCTCATCACTCTTTTCTGAATCCCTTAATTTTACACATCCCAACCTGATCCAGGTGCCAGTCTCTTTGTAGGTACCGCACTCCCTCTTGAAACCCAGGAGGGATAGAAAAAAAAAAAAAAATCAGAGCCTTAAATAGGGTGAGGATATCAGGATTATTCATTAACCCAACTGATAAAGGGGCCTAGAAAGAATCACATATTTATTCATTCATACAAGCTTGTCATCATTTTACTGTACAGCTAGGATAAGAATCTCTATATCTGATAATTATATATATATATATATTTAAAAACAGATTACATAATATATAGAGAATTCAGCAGCCCCCCTCCCCCAACAGTCCCTGAAAAAAAACCCATATATTAAAAAAAAAAAGAAGCAATAAGGCACTTTTGTGGCATTTGATATCTAGAATGGAGTTTTCTCCTGTAATAAACAGTGAATGGTCACCCATCCTATAATAAAACAGCTGGCAGTTCATTGGGTAGGTAATACCACCATTCTCCGCTTCATCCCCTGTTACAGCACCCTGTGGGGATGCCTATTTGTTAGGTAGTAGGATACAGTCAGAAAGGTTTTGGTTGATGAGAGGGGCAACCTGCGGATGAATGCGTCAGGGATTGGCACATCAAGGAAATGGAGAAAACCTGTGGAACAAGCAAAATGAATATGCTGTAAGGTACCAATATCAAGGTGCCATGGGCACTCTCTGCTGAATTCTATGTGAGCACAAACACAAAAGCACAACACACACACACACAAAAATAAAACAGAAATGTTCCCAAGTAGATGAATACTTAAACCTTATGCTTTCACCATTTGTTTTCCTTCCAAGGCATCTGAAACTTAAACCTTTGTGGATCAATCACACAGTGACGTTCCACACTCAGCACAGCATCTGGCCAACACTATCCCAATCCACTCCCTAGTACAGCATTCCCAGTGCCATTTTACATCCAGACCAGTGCTGTGACACTCTCTGCCCGGGTCAGCACGCGCAGTGACACTCTGCACCTGGGCCAGCACACGCAGTGACACTCTCCACCTGGGCCAGCAAGCGCCAGCACACGCAGTGACACTCTCCGCCCAGGTCAGCACGCGCTGTGACACTCTCCGGCCGGGTCAGCACGGGCTGTGACACTCTCCGGCCGGGTCAGCACGGGCTGTGACACTCTCCGGCCGGGTCAGCACGGGCTGTGACACTCTCCGGCCGGGTCAGCACGGGCTGTGACACTCTCCGGCCGGGTCAGCACGGGCTGTGACACTCTGCACCTGGGTCAGCACGCGCTGTGACACTCTCCGCCCGGGTCAGCACACGCTGTGACACTCTCCGCCCGGGTCAGCACGCGCTGTGACACTCTCCGCCCGGGTCAGCACGCGCTGTGACACTCTCCGCCTGGGTCAGCACGCGCTGACACTCTGCACCTGGGTCAGCACGCGCTGTGATACTCTCCGCCCGGGTCAGCACGCGCTGTGACACTCTCCGCCCGGGTCAGCATGCGCAGTGACACTATCCACCCGGGTCAGCACGCGCAGTGCAGTGACACTCTCAGCCCAGGTCAGCACGCGCAGTGACACTCTCCGCCCGGGTCAGCACACGCTGTGACACTCTCCGCCCGGGTCAGCACGCGCTGTGACACTCTCCACTGGGGTCAGCACGCGCTGTGACACTCTCCACTGGGGTCAGCACGCGCTGTGACACTCTCCACTGGGGTCAGCACGCGCTGTGACACTCTCTACCGGGGTCAGCACGCGCTGTGACACTCTCTACCGGGGTCAGCACGCGCTGTGACACTCTCTACCGGGGTCAGCACGCGCTGTGACACTCTCTACCAGGGTCAGCACGCGCTGTGACACTCCACTCCTGGGCCAGCTCACAATGTGACACTCTCACCTAGCCCAGGTCCATGAGATTTTCTCACATACACAGCAAGCACCAGGTCAAACTGTTCACCTCCCTGTTCCACATGTACATTACCTGTCTCATGTGAAACTGCTCTGAGACACAGTAAATTTGGCAATTGTCCTCTGCAGATGGTTATAGTCCTCTTCTATCATCTAGAAAGTGGAAGAAAGACATATAATGGGAGATAGCAGAAGCAATAATGAAAAACAATTACATGATTTCATACAAACTGGAGGAACATGGTGGGGGGCGATCACAGGGCCATTCTTTACTCACTAACCTTGAGCTGTTGGACCCTTTGCTCTAGCACTTGGATGTGTCTTCTAACTTCCTCAGATTGTTCCTGAGAAAGTACAATGGGTGCACATAAAGAGTCCCCACCATCTAGTTGACTTTCTCTGCTCAGTTCAGCACCTATCCATGGGAAAAAACACAAAAATACATAACCATAAAATTCCATATTAAATTACATATACACTTACTGCCCTCTACAGGTCAAACTCAGAACTGCAAATGTAAATGGGACTTTTTACTTAAAAATTCATTAGACCCATCAAAATTCAAATTTCTGAATAGTTCTCTCTACCAAGGTTTCCAAAATTCCTTTTCTCCTTAAAACGAGGGACGCAACTGAGATCTTCAAGCCAAATCATGGTCTATAATATCTTTCTAATGGAGAATTAATGAGCACAAAAAACTTTGCTAATCTTGCATAAAGAAAAAGATATTAAGCCACTCAATAATAAACATAAGATAACATATTCTGTGTACATGTAACATGAGTTGTGTTTATTATTTATTTATTTATAAAATATTTTACCAGGAAAGATACACTGAGATTTCTCTCGTTTTCAAGTATGTCCTGGGTCTACAAATCATTGCATTGCTACATTAGGGTACAATAAAATACAAAAACAATATTAATACACAATAAATACAAAATTTAACATAGAACAGGTAGGAAATATATAATCAACCATGATAGGTGCATTCTGTTTTGAGGTATGTAGAGAGGGATCTCTTAAAGGACTTTAGGCTTGGGGAAGATTTTAAAGTGTGCGGGAGGTTGTTCCACAATTGCGATGCTCTGTAGGAGAAGGAGGATCGGGCCGCTTTCTTTTTGTATTGAGGTAGACCAAGTAAAGTGTTGGTACTGGATCGGAGCTTATAGGAAGTAGGAACAGCTTCGGAAAGCATTTTGTTCAGGTAGGGCGGGAGTTTCCCAGAGAAGCTCTTAAACACAAGTCTGGAAAGATGAAGAGTGCGTCTGGATTCCAGCGACAGCCAGTTTAGTTCCTTTAGCATGTCACAATGGTGGGTCCTGTAATTACATTGTAGCACAAATCGGCAGAACGAGTTATACAATGTGTTGAGTTTATTAATGTGGGATCGCGATGCAGACGCATATACTACATCCCCATAATCAATGATTGGCATCAGCATTTGCTGTACAATCTTTTCCTTTACTGTAGGGCTTAGGCAGGCTTTGTTTCTGTACAGGGCACCTAATTTTGGATAAAGTTTAGATGCAAGCTTTTCTATGTGCAGGCCAAAAGATAGATTGGGGTCTAATATCATACCCAAGTATTTGAAAGAGTGGACTGCGGTCAGTGTGTCATTTGAATTTGTTTTGATGGATAGGTGGGAATTGTGTAATTTGTGTAATTTAGGTACTGTTCCAAAGATCATTGTGACAGTTTTGTCAGTGTTCAGGAAGAGTTTGTTTTTTGCGATACACTTTTCTACCTCTGTAAACAGGTCTTGGAACACAGCCTCAAGCTGCGGTAGATTGGATTTGCTCGCATAGATTACTGTGTCATCTGCGTACATGTGTACATTTGAGGATTTGCAGACATTAGGCAGATCATTTATAAATAATGTAAATAGTAGGGGGTCGAGAATGGAACCTTGGGGAACACCACACGTGACTGGGAGAGGGAGGGAGTCACTGTCAGAAATGGACACATATTGCGAGCGATCCGATACATACGATCGAAACCAGGTTAGCGAACGATCACCAATACCTGAGTTTTTGAGTTTGTGCAGTAGAATATCGTGGTCTACTGTGTCAAAGGCCTTAGCAAAATCAAGGAAAATAGCTCCAGTTAGGTCTCCTTGTTCCATGCCAGTTTGGATATCATTGCAAACTTTGAGGAGGGCAGTTGTAGTGGAGTGATTCTGGCAAAAGCCAGATTGATCAGGGGTCAGATAGTTTAATTGTTGGTAGTACTCGCATAGTTGCGTATGGACACATTTTTCAAAGATTTTTGACAATACCGGGAGCAATGATATTGGGCGATAGTTAGAAACCAAAGTAGTGTCACCACTTTTATGGATAGGCACTACTCTCGCAGTCTTCCAAAGTTTGGGTATGTATCCAGACACCAAGGATTCGTTAATTAGAGTTGCGACAGGTTTAGCAATTGCCGGCGCACTGAGCTTCAACAGCATTGCTGGGATTTGATCAGGTTCGGATTGGTTTTTCATTTTTAGATTATCAAGATGTTTTTTAATGACACTAACAGGTACAGGTCTAAAAATGAACTTGTCTATATTGGGCCTTTGCAAATTTAGTGGGACCTGATCCACATTTGTAGTTTCAGGATGCGTGTCATTTATTAGCTTGGCAATCAGGGCAGTAGAGCATCCGACAAAATAATTGTTAAAGGCATTTGCTACATCTAAGGGAAGTTGCAGGGTTTGGTTACCCACTTTGACAGTGGAGGGTTGGGAGTGGATTGGGGGAGTTTGTAGTTTATTTATGACTTTCCAAAAGTTTCTAGGGTTTGAGATGTTATTGTTCAGATTTTCATAGAAATATTGGGCCTTGGCCAATTTTGTCTGTTTTGTGCATATATTTCGCCATTGTCTATATGCACAGTGATCATTCTTAGAGCCAGTACGCTTAAACTTTGACCACAAAGAATCACGAAACTGGTACATTTGGATGACGTCAGCTGTGATCCAGTTCATATGTGCTCCTTTTACCCTCACCTTACGCAGCGGGGCATGCAAATTCCAAATTTGTAGGAGTTCAGACTGAAAGAATTCAACAGCACAGTCTAGATCTGGGATAATGTTTAATCTGTGCCATGGGAGGTTCTTGATGTCATTAAGAAAGGCTTCGAGATTAAAATTTTTGAAGGACCTATTTATTTTAACCTTGGGAGAGGATTTAATAGCCTTTATTTTGCGCACGCAGTACACTAAATAGTGATCACTGAAAGTGTTTGGGAGAACACCGGCCTCCTGGATTCGATCAGGAGAAGTGGAGAGAATCCAATCTAGCAGGGTATGGTTATGGCTTTTAATGTTTATGAGAGTTGGGGAGGAGAGTAATTGCGTTTGCTGCAAAGTCTTAAACAGCGTGCAAAAACTATTATTTTTAGGATTCAGCCAATCAATATCTCAATAAGACCAACAATTCACTTTTAGGGTTTTGAGCTATGGTTTCACTAAGGAGATGGGCTATGTCAGAAAGGGAATGCACAGAGGAGCTAGGTGGGCGGTAGATTCCTGCAACAATGATTGATTTACTGCACGGGAACTCAATTGTGCCAGAAAGGAAATCAAAGGTGGCAGGAGGACTAAGGTTTTGTAAAGGGGTAAACTTTATGGAATTGTCAACATAAATAACAATGCCTCCTCCTCTCTTTGCTCTGTCATTTCTAAAACATGAATACTCCTGTATTGCAATGGCGGTGTCTGGTATTTTAGTCGTTATTCTCAGAGCACAATGATTTTTGGTTTGTAATGGGAACACCAGGCTTGCAGTGCATATTCATGGTGGGGTTGGAGGAATATGAAACAAATTGTACAAGTTAGTATGATTGTTTAGGTACATAGAATATCTCTATAAATAATTATGAGTTGTACCTATTTAACGCACTGTGGACAATCAGTCCGATAATTTTTAGGCTGAATTTGTAAAAACTCACCATTCTCTCCAGTGTCTCTTGAAGAGTCCTCATCATTACCATTGGTGGTCGATTCCGCCGGTGCAAGCTCCTCCCCTTTGGCAGAGTTTAACTCTATAAATGACAGTGAATCTGCATCCAAACTAAGGCGTATATTCTTCACTAGTAACCGTTTTAGCACCAAAACTGACGACAAGAACAAAAAAAAGTACCGTTAATCAGTCTTCTTTTACTGGAACACCAACGTTCAACTGTAAGAACTATACAGAATTCCTCACCTTCTTCTAAAGCCTCACTGGCTAAGTTCCCACCAGTATTCGTGGATTCCTGGCTCATTTTACACACAGCAATATTATGAGCTAGAAGATGCTCCATTAGATTTGGTGTGTCCCCAACAGTCTCTTCCTGCCCTGATTCCACAGGAGACTTTTTCTTGTCTGTCAGAGAGTGAATATAATTAAACAGGGCATCATGAAACAAAATTTAGAAGAACAAAACGGTCTTGTTTCACCTGCCTGAAGAACATCATGAAATATTATCTAGGTATATTAAATATTATATCAGGACAACAATAGAAGGAGTATGAGGTAGAAGAAATAGCAGATGTTTGTGAAGGTTGCTTGATGTGTTGTGAAGGTGTAGACTTTATTTCTGGTATATGGTATGTAGTTGTATGTAATTTTTGGAAACACGTTTGTGTGCATTTGGCCAATGTCATCATGGAGAGTTGGCTCTCTTACCATCTTTGTTCACCGAATCTTTAAGGGAATCTCCGTTCTCTCTTAGTACTGGCTCGTTAAAACTGCAAAACACAAAAATACGGTCAACTGGACGGTGGGGTGTTGTAGATAAGGGTTGTGCAAAAGGAAACTAAAGCGAAAAAAGAAATTCAAGGCAATACCACTGCGGCAGTTCAGGAAGTACGCCGCTACTACTATGACATACAGGACACTGCAATATGCCTGGAACAAAAGCCTACGAAGTAAGATAACCTTACTTCAAGAATCTGCATGCAGAGTATATTTCAGCAGTGCACATGTTGAATGAATCGCTACCACTATTCACTTACTATGATGGACTCTGTGGGATCATTCCACTAGAATTTCCAGATCGAAGTCCAGATCTGGATGGAGCACAAAAGTCTAAGGAGCCTGTAGTTTCTTTGATCAATGAAAACCAACTAAAAGGAAACAGAATGGATGTTTGAGCAATCACAGAAGCACTCCTAATACCCTCCCACTAGACATTTTTATTTTAAACCAAGACGTTCACTTCTACTATCCATTTGCGTCCTACGCTGCACCATTTACCAGAATTACACTCGCAAAATCCCATGCTGCTTATTATGCACACAAACCCCCTGGCCTTCACTCACAAATTTGGTATTGTTCCAGAGCTCCCACAAAATTATCTCAATCTCACACCCCTCCCTCCATGACCTTACACTCTGATATGTTTCCCTTTGAGTAAACATATCCCTCAGTAATTTCTCATTTACAACAACAAAATGATGGGAGGACACTCATTGCACTATCCCTGCTTGCACTCTTTGAACTTGTCATGTCTCAGTTCGATACGTTCTGTACCCCCTTAACCATTATCCCATAAAGACTCACATTTTCTTCTCGGATACAGTAGGTGCCACCAATTCATAGATTTGTCCCTTTCCGTCCCACTTAAATATCACAAAAAAGGCTTTGTTGTCTGCAAGAAAGACCAACGAGATAGGATGAGGACAAAGATACACAGTTCAGGTTAAAAACTCACGAGTTTATAAATTGTTCAGCGATGATGTGAGCTTTTAAAACTAAAGATCTTAATCCCTCGGTGACACAGCTTCAGAAGCCTGTCATTTTTGTGATGTGTGTGTTCAACCACCGTTCCTGTTTACATCAATTAAAAATAAATGAAGTTATGAATTTAGTACAAAATATCTCTAGGATTTCAGTTTATTTTTGATAGGTAAGTCACAAAATACAAGGAAAAAAAAAAGTTTGAATGTGGAGGGATTTTTTGAATTTGGTATGTTTATCCTGTAAGCTTGATATTCATCGCAGAAAACTAAATTGCCCCACACAAGTATTTGCTTACATCACCGGCCATTTATCTAAGGTTATTTTGACACTTTTCACGGCACAGCGCTCAATTTGAGCACTGCAAACAGAACATCAGTAAGTCTGGATCCACAAATTTTGGCGCCAGCTGAAAAGTGGGAGACCCATATATCAAATGATACCCAGTTACAAGCAATGAAACAGTCCCTGCCGGTAAAATACCACATGACGGAATAGCCCTAATGGGAAGGAATACCATGGCGGAATAATTCTGTAATACGTCGTTAAGGTTACAAAAAACTAAAAGAAAAAGGCCAACACTGCTGAGATGTTGATCTGCTATAGTATCACATTACCTTAAAGCCCATCTAGATGATCCCCGTCGATGATCCCCGGTTAAATATAATTAATTTTGCATGTTTTCTAAGTTGGTATATGAAAATTAGCTTCCAAAAGCTGCAGATTAAGTGTCTGCAGCTACTGCAAGCCCTCAATTTTTTTCCTGGCAAAGACTTCCAGCCGGTAGATTGACCAATCAAAGGTTTCTCCTTGAGAAGCCTTTGTGGTCAATTTGCAAGCCTGCCTTCAGCTTCTCTGCACACTCTGTCTGTGTGTGTTAAAAACATTTACATGAGCACATGAGCTCTGTAGCAACCAAGCTGGAGTTTGCATGTTCTTTACATGTTTGGTGTCATCTTTTAACATACAGCCATGAAGATTACTGACCTGTAGCCACTTCGCGAGCCATTGCCGAATCTAACTTAATAATGGGAATCAGCATTAACTTTCCATCTGGGGTAGGCATAATGGTCCGACTTTGGCATTTCAGCACCAGTCGCTCATCCTGTTTCTGCAGCAGCATCAACATGTCATCTAGGAGGAGGACATGGACATCTGCAAGACAGGATGTTATTGATCAGGATGGAAAAAGGGAGAGAGGGGCAAACAAGACAGGAAAGGTTAAGGAAAAGAACAGGTCATTGTAGGAAATAAAGGACATATGATGAGATACTTTTTAAAATAATAAAAACTAGCATAATATTGAAAGTATAGAAGACAGATATGAGTAATTCACATGAAATTGGACCCTCACCAATGGCCTTGTCTTTGCTTACTCGCCATAGCAAAGAACCCTCGTATATAAGATTCTTTTTACTGATATCAATATTCTGGAAAAAAACACAAATATGTTTTGTCAATGAGAGACTATTAATAAAGAAAAATGTTTAAAGCAATGCAGGAGGGTCATCGACTGGAATATTCAACAGTAGGGTTCATTACCTAGAACCAGCTAGAGTGGAGTAATGTTTACCAGGAACTAGTGAGACAGCAAGGTCTTTTTATCAGGAACTGGTGAGACAGCAATGTCTTTTTACCAGGAACTGGTGAGACAGCAAGGTCATTTTACCAGGAACTGGTGAGACAGCAAGGTCATTTTACCAGGAACTGGTGAGACAGCAAGGTCTTTTTACCAGGAACTGGTGAGACAGCAAGGTCTTTTTACCAGGAACTGGTGAGACAGCAAGGTCTTTTTACCAGGAACTGGTGAGACAGCAAGGTTTTTTTTACCAGGAACTGGTGAGACAGCAAGTTCTTTCACCAGGAACTAGTGAGATAGCAAGGTCTTTCACCAGGAACTAGTGAGACAGGAAGGTATTTTACCAGAAAATAGTGAGAAAGCAAGGTATTTTACCAGGAACTGGTGAGACAGCAAGGTCTTTCACCAGTAACTAGTGAGACAGCAAGGTCTTTCACCAGGAACTAGTGAGACAGCAAGGTCTTTTTACCAGGAACTGATGAGACAGCAAGGTCTTTTTACCAGGAACTGGTGAGACAGCAAGGTCTTTTTACCAGGAACTGGTGAGACAGCAAGGTCTTTTTACCAAGAACTAGTGAGACAGCAAGGTCTTTTTACCAGGAACTGGTGAGACAGCAAGGTCTTTTTACCAAGAACTAGTGAGACAGCAAGGTCTTTTTACCAGGAACTGGTGAGACAGCAAGGTCTTTTTACCAGGAACTGGTGAGACATCAAGGTATTTTTACCAGGAGCTGGTGAGACAGCAAGGTTTTTTTTACCAGGAACTGGTGAGACAGCAAGGTATTTTACCAGGAACTAGTGAGACAGCAAGTTCTTTCACCAGGAACTAGTGAGACAGCAAGGTCTTTCAATAGGAACTAGTGAGACAGGAAGGTATTTTACCAGAAAATAGTGAGAAAGCAAGGTATTTTACCAGGAACTGGTGAGACAGCAAGTTCTTTCACCAGGAACTAGTGAGACAGCAAGGTCTTTCACCAGGAACTAGTGAGACAGGAAGGTATTTTACCAGAAAATAGTGAGAAAGCAAGGTATTTTACCAGGAACTGGTGAGACAGCAAGGTCTTTCACCAGTAACTAGTGAGACAGCAAGGTCTTTCACCAGGAACTAGTGAGACAGCAAGGTCTTTTTACCAGGAACTGGTGAGACAGCAAGGTCTTTTTACCAGGAACTGGTGAGACAGCAAGGTCTTTTTACCAGGAACTGGTGAGACAGCAAGGTCTTTTTACCAGGAACTGGTGAGACAGCAAGGTCTTTTTACCAAGAACTAGTGAGACAGCAAGGTCTTTTTACCAGGAACTGGTGAGACAGCAAGGTCTTTTTACCAAGAACTAGTGAGACAGCAAGGTCTTTTTACCAGGAACTGGTGAGACAGCAAGGTCTTTTTACCAGGAACTGGTGAGACATCAAGGTATTTTTACCAGGAGCTGGTGAGACAGCAAGGTATTTTACCAGGAACTAGTGAGACAGCAAGTTCTTTCACCAGGAACTAGTGAGACAGCAAGGTCTTTCAATAGGAACTAGTGAGACAGGAAGGTCTTTTAACAGAAAATAGTGAGACAGCAAGGTCTTTCAACAGGAACTAGTGAGACAGCAAGGTCTTTCACCAGGAACTAGTGAGACAGGAAGGTCTTTTACCAGAAACTAGTGAGACAGCAAGGTATTTTACCAGGAACTGGTGACCCCAATGAGGGGGACAGTTTCCTGTCTCAGACCTGAACAGAATGGCTAAAGTGCTGGGTCCATGCTGCTACCATTTCTTGCCTTGAATACGGAAATCTTTTTCTCAGTGCTCCTTACGCATTCCCAGCTTGCCCCATTACAGTCTATAATGAATGCAGTCTGCCAGCACATCCATGCCTCGCCCCTCGGTCAGTCCTTACACTGTCTTTTGGGCTCAATTTAAAATTCTGCAGCTTGCTTACAAATCTCTACATAACGCTGCTGTAAACTACCTATCCTTACGGATACACAAGTAAGTCCGTGCTGGCCCCTAGGCTCTGTTGGTGACCTGTGTCTATCCTCTGTTCGTACTCGCACCTTTGACTGTCACCTTAAAAGTTTCTCTAGACTACACCGTTTCTATGGAACTCCCTTCCCTGCCCCATTAGACTCTGACCCAGTCTGATTTTCCTTAAAAAAAGATCATTAAAAACACACTTCTTTAGGAAGGAATGTCTATTAAGCTGTTATAGCTTCCCTCCTGCCTCTTGCTAATAGACCCCTCTTCCACTCCTGCAACAGCGTCTCAAAAAAACAAACAAACAAATATCTAGGACTTCATTGTCAACTATTCTAGTAACCTACTTTTTCCAATACATGAAATACATCCTACACTTATCTCTGGTGCCACATTACCCCACTCCCTCTAGAATGTAAGCTTGTTTGAACAGGGCCCTCTCCACACTCCTGTACATCCAACTCGTCCTGTTACAAGTACTTGTCTGTTAGTTAAGCTATTGTACAGCGCTACAGAATTCGTTGGTGCTTTATAAATAATAATACGAATAACTGGAACTACACTTATGACGGGATAAATTTGGAACGATCAATTCAAATTCGCTACTATAGAAGGTCATTACCTTAAACTCATTAAACACAAGATCATTCACCCTCAGGTTGGAAACATCCAGGCGTCTTTGGTAATCGTTGAGCTTCTGCAGGGGGTACAGAGCAGAGATCAGACACAAATCAGAGAAGAAGAGAATGGATGAAAGGTTAGACAGGGAAAATAAGCCACGAGAGGGTGCAACGGTGGATATTACAAAGTGACAGGAAGCTAGGAGCACTCAGATTGTCACAGGTTGGTCAAACAGCACTAGCGACACTGGTAAGTTACATTGTGAGTGCCATAGGGGCAGGCAATGCATTGCACACTACTTTGCCACTCAAAAGGTTAAGATAGAAGGCCCGGAGAGCGCAGTATGAGAGGTTCATGCACAGCTGGTTCTAACCATATGGTTTTCCATTTCTCGAACTTCCTGGTTGACATGATTGAGAATCTGACGGCAGCACTCGGCAGCCTTCTGCACTTTCTGCTTTTCTTCCTCTTCATCTGGGAAAGTTAAGAATCGAGGTTAGGCATTTAAGCTTTCTAATACAGCCATGTTCAGGAGCTCCCCCCTTCCCCCACCTGCTCACAGCCCTGTCATCCAACTTATCATACATTTAGCTGGCCCTAGCCCTATCCACCATCTAACCCCCCATTTCCTCGCGGTGCAGGTTGATTATTCAGATGTAAAGCTATGTAAAAAAAACAAAAACACAATTTTGGAGCTACATTACGGAAATGCCAACCTTCCCTGGGACCCAGATGTTTGTGTCCCCACTTGCCATCCAAATTCCAGTGCAACCCTCACTTCCCCGAACATCAGCAGTTTCCCCTTCTGGGATAAGGAGAATATGAATGGAAGCTACTTAGTTTCAAAAGACGACTCATTTATTTGAGAGAACGGAGAGCTGCTTGTGGCTTCACGGCACACTCTCAACTGAGTCGTATTGACCTGACTGAGTAATAATGAAATGTGACACTTATATACAAGCTCCATAACTCAACTACTTGTTTGACTCTAAGGCCAAGGATGGCTGAGATACTTCAGTCAGTTCCTGGATAAAACAGAAATATGTGCAGAAATGGAGTCCTTGCAAAAAAAAACAAAAAAAAAACACATTAAGGGGGTAGGTTTCAATGCATTGTCTACTAAATTGTGTGTGTGTTTGGGTGCGTGTGTGTCTGTGGGGGGTGTTTTTACAAATTTCACCCAGAAGGTCCCTTAAACTAGTCTTACAGACTCTTTAGAGAAAGTACATATAAGGAGTGTAAGGCTCTCATTTTAGAGAAAATTTGTGGCTCAGTCCCATACAAATATAAATAAAAATCTAAAACAACAAAGCTGATGGTTAACACACACACAAAGAAAAAACAAAGAGTGTGACATCCACTTCGAGGATTGTCGTTTTTCTCGAGCAGTTGACTGGCGAAGTGAAACTAAAAATTCCATCTGGTCTCCTCACACATACTGAGATCTCACTCCCTTTGCTATGCTACGAGCAGTATAGGGAATCGCCAATCTTCATCTACATTAACAAAGGATGGAGGTCCTTACCGGTGAGATTTGCAATATTCTGGAGCAGCAACGGATACTTGGTTAATCTTTGCATCTCAAATGGGATAATATCCTTTAACTGCAGCCTTCTGCATTGTGGGTGGCTCTCTGCTTCCTACCAGAGAAAGAAGGAGAAAGGTATAAAAAATATGGTAAGAAAAGCAAATAACGATGGAACCACGAGAGGCCAGGCAGCAGACAGATAACAGTAGAAAAGAATGATCAGTCGCAACAATGCAAAATGTGTTTTTTTTAAATATGATTTGGCTCAGATCTTTTTTTTTTTTTTTTTATTCTGCAACATTACAGTGTTAATAATAAAACATCGTTCTGCTAGGCCCTTATATATTGCAGCATGAAAGATTCCCAGGTACTCAAAGTGTGAAAGCCGCAGGCAGATTTATTGAAACAAAACAGACAGCAACGTTTCGACCCACCAAGAGGTCTTTTTCAAGCTTGAAAAAGACCTCTTGGTGGGTCGAAACGTTGCGGTCTGTTTTGTCTGCCTACGGCCTACGGCAAGAAAGATTCCCAGACACTGAAAGTGTGAAAGCCGTAGGCAGATTTATTGAAACAAAACAGACAGCAACGTTTCGACCCACCAAGAGGTCTTTTTCAAGCTTGAAAAAGACCTCTTGGTGGGTTGAAACGTTGCGGTCTGTTTTGTTTCAATAAATCTGTCTACAGCTTTCACACTTTCAGTGTCTGGGAATCTTTCTTGCTGCCTTAACGTGTTGGGATTGCTGGTCCTGTTCCAGAGCACCTGTGGCTGCTGGAAGTGAGTGAAGTTCCTGTGATCAATTTTCCTTATATATTGCATACCTTCATCACTGTAGACTACTGGGCCTGTCTGTATTGGTTGTAGCTTGAGAAAAATGTAACCTTTTTAACCTTTTGTCATACAGGTATCTATAACACAAATGCTTGGTAACTTTAGGAATTTCCACAACAGCCTCAGGGTCAATAGAATACACAGTGGATGGGGTGAGGTTTGACGTTGTGATGTGCAACAAAGAAAATGTAGCTCACAAATATCTTTTTTTGCCAATAACAGTAATCAATGACCTAGGTCAAGGGTAGGCAGCCTCCGGCACTCCAGATGTTTTGGACTACATCTTCCATGATGCACTGCCAGCACTGTAGCTGTAAAGGCATTATGGGAGATCTAGTTCACAACATCTAAAGTGCCAAAGATTGCCTACCTCTGACCCAGATGAAGTATCTGGCTACCAGCTAACAAGGTAGTCACAATGGGGTTTGCTTTAGAAATGTGACCTGCTTGCAATTAATGAAGTGTCTACGGCTAAGTTCAGGTTGGTGTTTTCAACCAGAATCACTATATTAAATAAAGGTGTAGAATAAACACCATATTACGATGTGTTGCTCTGTCCATACAGATATCTGCAAAAGGTACATTCACAATTAGCAGTAAACTATATTGCATCGCCTGGCCATCATGTAGTTCTGTGCTCACGTCAACCCTTTTCTCCAATACCTGAATAAATTGGGTGAAACGAGGATCTTTCTTCTGCTTCTGTTTCAGTTGTTCCAAAGCAAATGGTTGGCGACTGCAGAATCGAGAAGAAATCTTCTGGAACCAGCTTCCTTCTGTGCCATCAAACTAGAGCGGGGGGAGGACACAGACAGGGATATCAACATAACAAAGACAAAGTAACTTTTGCTGCACACTCAAGCTGCGTATTATTAAATGTGAATAAGTGTGCATTCATTGTGCAGAAACAATAGTCCACAAATTACAAACTATCTGACAAAGTTACACTTCCTTAGGATTTAAGTTCATGTAACTTTGTTCTAAACGTTGTTGTGAGATCTTGGTGTGACCTCCAGTCAAAGGACCCCTAACGCATTTTAGCATGCAGAAGTGCCTTATGTGTGAAGAGTGTGTCCTCTTTTCATTTATCAAAAAGTGCATATTTGAATTAACCTTGTTACATCCCCCACTCCACCTACAACTGTCCTGTTACTTCCTGGTTTGGATAGCTCAGTGGAACTAAACTCAAGAGGCAGCAACTGCCCAGAGTACCTGCCTTGCAAAGACTTCTCAATGAGCTGCACTGAGAAGCCTGTGATTGGACAGCCACAGAAAGTCTGGGCGGGGCTAGAAGAGGAGGGCTTGCAAAGGCTGCAGATGCAGAGAAGAGATGTTTTTATATATACCCCAATTTGAAAAAATGCATAACTAAACACATGCATGTTTTCATTGGGGTATATCAACTAAACAGTAATTGGAAGTAGAGAGTAAAGCGGCCCATCATCTCCTGCACTTGTCCTGTTATCCCAACACTCCTCCACAACCAACGAAAGCCACTGCTTCTCACCCGGTTTAACAGTGTGGTTCCAATCTCCTGGATTACATAGTTATTCTCCAGCCGTAGTCTCTTCAAGGTTTCCAGGAACACAACTAGAAAGGCAGGTAGAGGTACAAAACGTCAGACATCCAAAAGGAATCAAGGGGACCATGAGCGATGCAGAGGCACGCTTGAGCAGGACAGGGATTTTGAAAAGGTTTACCATGTGCCTCGATGAGATCATCAAGACTAGGAAAGATGTTTTGCAACTCCATTTGGGGAATCCAGACATCCTGCATTGGGAGGTAAAAGATGTCATGCAACACGTGAAGCATCCGCACATGTGCGTGTTCAGTGAAGATGAGCTCTGTGAAGAGAAAAAGACAATCAGAAAAAAGAAAAACAGTGGAAACACTACATGACCAGTAAAAACCGGATGGACCACAGAGAGAAACATAGAAACATAGAATGTGACGGCAGATAAGAACCATTTGGCCCATCTAGTCTGCCCAATTTTCTAAATACTTTCATTAGTCCCTGGCCTTATCTTATAGTTAGGATAGCCTTATGCCTATCCCACGCATGCTTATACTCCTTTACTGTGTTAACCTCTACCACTTCAGCTGGAAGGCTATTCCATGCATCCACTACCCTCTCAGTAAAGTAATACTTCCTGATATTATTTTTAAACCTTTGTCCCTCTAATTTAAGACTATGCCCTCTTGTTGTGGTAGTTTTTCTTCTTTTAAATATAGTCTCCTCTTTTACTGTGTCGATACCCTTTATGTATTTAGATGTTTCTATCATATCTTTCCTCCAAGCTTTACATCTTAAAAAGAGGACCACAAGAAAGTCAGAGAGGAGGCTACAGTGCTTAAAGGGATACTCCAGTGCACATGCACATGTGGAATACTTAATAGGTATTATTTTCTGCATGGTTTCTTTGGGAATATGAAAAAACAGCCTGCCAAAGCTGCAGACATGCTGTCTGCAGCCGCTGCAAGCCCTCCCCTCTTTCCCAGTCTTTTAGTTTGGGCCAGGAAATTGACCAATCAGAGGCTTCTCATTAAGATTCCTTTGTACTGGAGCCGTTAGCGCTGGTAGTCACAAATATCCGATGCTACTCAATGAGTTGCAGTATTGCTCACTGAGAAGTGTCGAAAGTAGGAGCTAAGAAAAGAGGAAGAAGACCTTCTTGGTTGTCTGATTGACAGGCTGAGAGGTGTTGCAGCAATGTTTTAAAACTGCTGCTTCCTATTGAAATTGATACTTTTATAAACTGTAAAAATAAAAAAAAAGACACTCCAGACACATAAAGCTCAGCAGAGCTAATTAAAGCACTTTACGTGCCTGGCAGTGGCATACACATGACTGGGCCCCCCAGGGGAAGAGGCTGGCCCTGTGGGTACATACCGGGTCGCAGGGGCGGTCGGGCCCCCTGGTATGTACGCCACTGGTGCCTGGAGTGTTTTTTTTTTTTTTTTTAAAACATCCCTGTCACTTGTGGGGTTTTATGGTTACAGCAATATTTATTTCTGAAATTTGTTTTGCTTTCAGATTAATTCTTAGAACAAAGTCGAAATAAAATAATGATCAGAGAGCTGTAGTTATAATATCAATTATCCCGCAGTTTCTAAGCCATCCCATTTCTCATCCGTTGTCATTGATTGATAGTCGGTGTCATTTGCATCTTCTAGCCCCGTAAAATAAATAAACACGTGAGGGAAGATCGGTTTTATCATATGATCCTCAATAGATACTGTGCAGTAATCTGATGTATGGGCACGTATAGGCCTGTGAAATCTTTACAGTAAAGCAGGGCTGTTGAGAACTGCAAATAGAAGATTGCTTCCTCCATCTATTTCTAGGTAAGAAGTAATACTACATAAGCGATTCTCCTATATTGTAAAAGGGAGATACCTCTGTCTCACCGAGCAAATAATCCCACAGAGCACAGGCCCACTTTAAGAGAAAATAGGAAGTGGTAGAAGAGATGCAATTAGAAAATTTACAAATTGTAATAAATTCTACGACAGCAGAGGAAATAAAGGCAGATGGAAGGACGGACATTAAAGACACGTTACCCCGTACCATTGATGACCTCCTGCCGCTTTATTTCGTTTTTCTTCAGACTGAGGAGTGTTTCAGGGGGGACGAGCTCCCTCCAGTTTGGAGGGTCACTCTCTGCCTCTGGAACGCGCGGCTCATTCTCCTCAGACTGGGGAAGCAGAAAGGACAGTGGACCCTCTGTACTCCCCCCAGGCTCGGGGCTACAGTAAAAGAAATGAGGTCACTTTAAGACACATTTTCACAAAAAGAAAAAGATTAAGAAAGTAAAAATAAAAGAAAGAAAGACAGAAAGAAAAGAAAAGTCAATAGGGGTTATATATCGCGGAGTGAAATCTGTACCATAAATGTTACAGGGAGTTAGTCACCTGAAACAAAAATGTTCATTAAAACATACGGCACAAAAATATGCTTTTATAGAACAAAGAAGAGCTACAACATTTGATAGAAGGGCAATAATGCACAGATCCCCTCTCTGCGCAGTCTGGGGGCAATAATCTCGGACAGAGAGGGGATATATATACATATGGTATTTACACTCCCGAGTGGTAACTGCCATCATTTGCATGTGATTTCCAGTAATCCCAGGTAACACTCAGACATGTATTCTGCCCCCCCCCACCAGCTGACACATTTATAGTTGGGATCAGGTAAATTAAAATCGTTTTTTTGTTTTGTTTTATACCCTTTTATTTGCCGTCAGGGGAGGGGAGGGGGACACTATAGTTTCAGGAATACAGCTTTGCGTTCCTAACACTAAAGTGTTCCTTCAATACATTTTGTCTGTGATAAACTAGAGAGAAGGCGGCTATTTTAAGAAGGTTGTGCCCAATAAATGTAAAATATACATTTATGCTTCTTTTATAAAGAGTAAGTAGTTTCCCTCCACCCATCTCAATCTGAAAGTAAAATAGAGATCTGGTCAGAGACAGTTATTCCTGCAGGGAGAAGTGCAAATTAAAATAGGCCTCTCCCAAAATGGGCTATAATAATTGTTTAATATCACAGTGTTTGTTTTGCACATTAAAACATTGACAAGAACATTGAATGCAGTGTTTTCCATCCCACTCAACCTACGTGAGACTGCCGTGTTTCAGCCCTGATTTGCCCGTGTTGACCTGCAAGTCGTTGGCGCGGGCTGCTGCTTCCAGATCCACGTCACTGCGAGAACGTCCCTGCTTGGATTTGGCAGAGCCGCGCTGGGATCGCTTGCGCTCGTAAACTCGCAGGCTCTCCGAGCGGCCCAATTTACCAGACAGCCTGTCCAGGTCACCCCAGGCGAGGGGTAATGGTAGAAGATAAGGGCAATGACCACGATGAGAGGGAGATAAGATAACGGGGTGGTAAGTATCGGCATGCAGGGAGAAGCAGAAAAGGAACAAAATGAAGAACACATGACATGATCGAAAAGAAGAACAGATAATGAACAGAGATGAAAAGCATGCAAAAGTAAGAAATACCGGTATACCGACTGATCTTGAAATATTCCATTGTTACAAAAGGTGTCACTTAGAGGTGGATGAAAGCATGCGATAAGAATAAGAGATGCAACAAAAATCCCAAAAAGACACAGTAACAGTTTAGGTCATGTAAAAGTTGTACCCAGTCAAGGTCACAGGCAGCTCAAGGTATCAGAAATGTCTGGTCACCATAAGAAAACTCCATAATATATAATAAGTATTAGCTCAGGTTCTCAAAACCAATGTCTTCCTCAAAGATTATACCAAACCTTTCAAAGCCAGAATGATATTTACTCCTATATCATTAACAAATACCAGTACTGTTCAAACTTGCTACCAAAAGGAGGCAAAATGGCGGTAAAGACCACAATAAAACAAAACGCACTGAAAATTACAAACATGCTAACAGGAGCAAACAGAACTGAGGACTACAAAATGTTTTCCTGGATTATGAAAGCGTTAACAAAACAAACAAAAAAACAAAACCTACGTAGAGCAGCTGCAGTACTACAAGGCTGCCTGAAGATGGCGCCATAACACCCTGATCGAGATGGGTAAGAAACATAGAATGTGACGGCAGATAAGAACCATGCGGCCCATCTAGTCTGCCCAATTTTCTAAAAACTCTCATTAGTCCCTGGCCTTATCTTATAGTTAGGATAGCCTTATGCCTATCCCACGCATGCTTAAACTCCTTTACTGTGTTAACCTCTACCACTTCAGCTGGAAGGCTATTCCATGCATTCCCTACCCTCTCAATAAAGGAATACTCAGTAAAGTAAGTGTTGGTAATTCCATTTAAAGAAACATCTGATGTTTTCTTTATCTTCTACTCTCTAGTAAATACAATGTACACTACTAACGATAAATAGGACTATGACTTGTTTGACTTCATTTTGTCTTTGTGCTTGTATTGTGTATAAAAGGGTTCTGATTGGGCTAACTTTATGTGTGGAAAAACAGTGTCAGAAATACATACTTTTAAATGATAAATATCTATGAGCACCGATAAATTTAAAAAAATAAACAAAAAAAGAATATTCAATATAGACAGGTGCAAGATATTTGACCTCTTTCATTTTAGCAGCCGGGAAAGAGGTTAATTTTCTGCTGAAAATAATCCAAGGCGTAGGAACGGTAGTATTTTGGGAATCTCAGATTCCTGTGGTTTAAAATGTCCTTTCATATGCTCTTTGTGGGCAGAAAAAATAGGTACTATGGCAAGCAGGACATATGTTTCCCCAAGGAAAAGGCCCCAGAGGCTCCCACATCACGCACTAGATTTAATGTATGCAGATCAGATATTTCCAAACATGTCCACCAGTTATTATTTATTAGATAAAACTAGCACGTCTCAATCTTGCTGCACTCCAGCAAACAGTGCAACACGTTCAACTTGATTGACCTACACGGTCTGTAGATGTAAATGATACATTTCAAGCTGTACTGTATAACAGCTCAGTATCCCTATGAAAATGTTCAAAACCTATGTCAGTAGACCAAAATAAAAATCCACCATTCCAAAAAGAAACAAAAACGAGCAATATTTTATAGATTTTTCTTCTGCATGAAACGTCTCCTCTAGTACAGCCAATAAAAGTATTCAAACAGTCGGCGGGGGATAGTTTGGATATGCAGGGGGACAGAGCAAGGTAAGTTCAGGATTAATACTTATCCAGGCTCTTTAGAGAGCCACTACCAGAATACAGAAATCTCCCAGGATGCAGTCTGACAAGCATGCACTGACCTTTTCTTTCGTCTGGAAACAGAGCAAGGAAGGGTTAATAATTTGAATATTGCATCCTAATCCCCAAAGATTGCAAGTTTGCTGGACTGGGGCACCTGATCACTTCCTGGTTAGACTCTGCCGGTACCAACACAGGCAGAAACGCAACATGGAACACAGAACATGCCGCTGACACAGTCGGAGGCCGTGCAGGCTCACACTGCATTGCAAAGCATTTGTAAGCGGCAAGCACATTTACTTCTGTTGTAAACAAAAGCGAGTCTGTGGTTAAAACAAGGTTATTGAGAATGGAATAAAAAGCATTTACAGGAAAACGGTTACATGCGCAAGATGAGCACTATGGGGCAGCTTTATACACCGAACACTACAGACAAGTGGCGTAAGCCAACACACAGGTAAGTAAACAATGCAAACGGTTGTTAAAAAAAAAAAAAAAAAAACCAGAGGAAGTAGACAGATGTTAAAAGAAAGAACGCGTAAAAGGGAGGTTTAATCTGTAGATTGGAGAAGAATAGGAAGTGTAGGGGGGAGGGGATGGCATTGACTTCATGAGACCTGGACTGTAACGCTGAGCACACGTAGATCTGCAAACATTTCCTGCACAAGACGCAGCGCAGACAAACCTATACACTAAGCACAAATAGGGCAATGGGTCTCAGTGGGTAGAGGACACAAGTTTAAGGGAGGGTAAAGCTCCTTGTTGTACAGACATGTCAGTTGCCAGATTTTGCCAGGCTTCTGCACAGAAAAACCAATAAATACTGCTGCAGCAATGGGAAAAATAGAGGTTTTACAATTTATATTGGTCTATTCACTAAACCGGGAATTTCGGAAGACTGACAAGGGAAAGCTAATTTTAGGCCAAAATAACACAACTTTAAAATTCTTCCACCCTTTTTCCAGTTCTGCTACTTGATCCTAAAAGTTTAACTTCCCTTACAATTCTTCCAACAATTCCCATTTACTGAGCAAACCCAAAATTACAAGAACACTACAGCAATTCTCAGAGTTTGGTTGCAATTTATGCTGTGGGGCAGCCTGGCAAAACTCACGTAAAAATAAGGCTGGCAAGCTTGTCATGGAGAGGTTCTGTAGCAACAAGACGCAAGTGGAAGCGCTGGAAAAGCCTATATCAACCTGGCAACATGGAGAGGATTGGTTGCTGCAAGACTTGGTGAGATGGAAAGGGTTCTGCAAAAGGTTTGGCACAGGGTTGGTATCACGGCAGTGTTTAAGGGAATCCCCATAATCCTTGATTCTCTCTTGCCTTTCATTCTCGGCGTTGTCCTCTTGCATTGGTTCACCCGGGCACAGTTCCATGGTGGGAGATCCTTTTGAGGCGTCCGAGATATCCAACGAGGTTGACCCATCAAGTGTTGCTTTGGGGAAGAGAACAAAAGATTAGATTTTTAGAGATTCATTCCACTACTGTACTATTTTCTAAGGGTGTTTTAAGCAATCAGTATGCCCATTGCAGCTGGTTCTGTTTTAGGTAATACCAAATCTATGAAGAAGCTTATAACCGGGGAATGTGAAACGAATGTCCTTCCTCGGACGTACCTGTGTCACTGTCACTGGGCTCGCTAGGTGGAGCATGTACTGTTACAGAGACCACGGACTCTGTCATATCTGGGGGTGCTCCGACACTTAATTTAGGTTTAACCAAGTTGCTGCTATCACTCCTGTCAAAAGTCTTCTGCCCATGGCTGATTCTTCTTTCATGGACAACTGGCTTGTCAACTGCTGGAAAAGTGAAAAAACTATTAATAAATCAAAATACAAAAATAATGTACTAGATATCTTTTTCTTCTGACTATGGTAAGTGAACGCAACCAGTCGCATAGAGTGATGCAGTTAACAAATCCCTCCCTCTGTTAATGAAATGTCTTTAATTCACAACTCAGACATACTCCATCCTATCCTGATGAGCTCACAAACACAATTTAACATCCTTAACGGTCTTACTTTAGATAGAGTGAATATTAAAATGAATCAAAAGTTCCATTAATGGTTAGTCGATAAAAGAAGCAATCACTATGATCTCTGGATTTAGAGCAGAATTCAAAGTATAATACACTCAATGTATGAGGATAGTTTGAAGTGTTAGAAGCAGAAAGCCTCAGTCCCAAGATAAAGGCTGTTTATAGGGTGTAAATTAAATCTGAGAGTTCCCATTCCAAACAAAAACAGCAGAGGACATCCCCTGAAATGCCAACTGGGAACATGACCACACTCACGATATTCTTAAAATGTGCTAAACACTCACAGAACATTCTACAATGGTCTTTGAATGGGCTTCCTGATGGACAAGGTGTGCGTCAGTACCAGTACGAATGTTTGCTGGCCTGATGACCTCATGCTGTCCCAGATAGGAACTGAGAAGTCGTACAGTGTGTTCCTTAATGTCCAAAATCAACGTAGATGCAATAGATATCTCACATTTTGGCCTTTCCCACAGAATGCAAACTCATCTCAGTGCAGCAATACTGCCTGTACGTTATTAAATGTTGCCCCGACTGTTAACTCAGAAAGCTTCAATTTATCAACTAATTTCCCCTTGTTACAAATTGAGTAGTCTGTTGGGATTGAGGCTTTCATCTCTTGGCTGGTACATGCGAGCTCCCACAATAAAGTAGGTTTCTTCAGCAGCCAAGAGAATTACTGATTAGTTATAAAACTTCAAAAAGACCCCCATGCTGCCCCCACCCCCATAAGGTGTGGGGTCATTGATACATTCCATCATGCTGCTTGGCTGACTGAAGAAATATTTGTAACGTGAGAACAGGTTGGGTGAAGACTAGTAGGTCTGATGTGGAAGGTACCTTCAGGCTCAGACTTGGACGGTCTGTTGTCAACACCTGTGAAAAACATGGGGGAAGCGGAGAGGGGAAGAAAATTGGAATGAAGACAAGCCAGGGTAGAAAGAGGCCACCCGTACACCCTGCAGATCCCCGGACACCAGGGTAGCTTGAAAGATGGCATGCAGGGAGCCTCCATGTGACAGGAAGAAAAAGCAAGAGAACTATTGCAAAAGAGAGAGAAGGCAGGACAAGAGGGAAAAAAACAAAACTGAGGAATATGTGATAGAGGAGGTCCAGGCAAAAAAGGAACTCAGCAAGAAGGAGGAGTGTGAAAAAAAGGATCCCAGAAAGGAGCAGTTTGACAGTGGAGATCCAGGCAAGTGGTAGTGTTTGAGAAGAGGATCACTCATAAAACAATGTCTTGGAAAATACAACCATGCAAGACAAAGTGTTTTTGCAGAGGACAAAACAATAGGGTGAATGCGATTGAGCATCACCGAACAAAATGAAAATAAAAGGAGAAATTGAGTAATACCGTAAACAAAAAGAAAAGCAAGGAGCAAGGAAGCCTTGTAAATAACAGCCAATAAAAATGAATCACCCGAGTTAATCAAGAACTATATGGAGGAAATGTTGACTCTTCTTGTGTTAAATAAAGAAGAGACTGGTAAGTAGGATAGAGAGAATTAAGTGGGTGTCAGAGACCTGCAACTAATGACCTCAACATCAACTCAATACACTGCAAAGCTCCAACTACTCACTATGAGATTCTCCTGATTTCCAGCGCGTAGGATCCAAGATGCTGAAGGTTTTCTTGGTTTTTACAGTTTCATCTGGTTTTTTGGAAGAAACCTATGAGAATATGGACAAGAAGACCATCGTTAAAACTCAAAGACTTGGAAGACACAGGATTTAATATGGTGAAAGACAAGGCAACAAGAAGTGACGGCTTCAGGGATGGAAACTCATGACCTTCTGAAAATCTGGACCACAACTCTCAAAATTCAAAGCCATATTTTGCTAGGTTTGTGGAACATCGAATGTTAATGACTTCCTGTCCTTTAAGGTTTTGCTAAAGTAATGATCCTTACCTTTTTCCTAAAGAAGATACCCTTTGATTTCTTGCTATCCGCCACCTTGGTCTTCACCCCAAGATGCTTCATATAGGTGACGATGGCACAAAAAACTGCAGAACTGGAGACAAAAAGGGCAATTTTAAAAAGTTTGACAAATGTTTAGAGAACGTTAACCTAATCTCCATTTCATGCCAAGTGTCATTGGATATTTAAAGCTTCAGAAATCCTACCACATTTAGAGCAGAAGTTCTCAGATATGGAGTTAAAGTGCTGCTTAAGAATACAGAACATGGTAAACAACCAATTCCCTGGTAAAGGGTGGGAAGGTTACACACACGCAAGCACACAATCAAAACAGATTGTTACCTTTTGTCCTCGTCGGTACTGATGGTGGGGCTGTAAAGAAAAATAAACAATGTAAGACAAGAAAATGTAAAAGCCATTGCAGCAGATGACTTTGAAATTAATTAACCCTTTTTTGGGTTACAGATGCCGTTAAGCTTTGCCAGTCCCTTGCAGCTTTCAGTCTGGCAAAGGATCATGGGAGCAGTGATCCAACTAGACGTGCAAGAGAAATTATATCCTTCAATATAATGTACAAACACACAATTATTCACTAGATTTGATTTATTATAGCGTTATTGTGTTATGTGGCTTTGAGGTAATCATATATTGTGCAGCAACGGGAGTGGCATCATTGGAGTTGTAGTTCTGACTGGCCTCACCTGCGCTATTTTTCCACCTTGACAAAAGTATTTTTACTTTTGCATACTTTAACGTACACAAACTTGTACAACACCCTTCACACATACACTACATTCATAACAGATTCCTCCAGAACAACACAAGAATACAAACATATACACCTCTCAGTCACACAAACTATACCAGCCCCTCAAACACAGACACCTGTATGTCACACAGAATATACCTGCATCTCTGCTAGTGAACACCAGAAAAAAAAAATAAAAAAAATATATAATTACACACACACACACACACACACACACACACACACACACACACACAATGCACCTGCATCTCAACTCTTGAACGCCTGGAAACACACACACCTATCTCCTCATCTGCAGCACTAAAAAGCAGCCCCTTCACATCTTTTACCCTCAAAAGACAAACCCCACATCTACCTGCCCTCTATATACTATCCTGCGCACACCTGCACTCTTATAGCTCAGCATGACCTTTTTTACATTTACACCCTTTTACCTTCACACATTTTTTCATGGACACCACCTTGTGTACACCACTTTATCTACACTGTAATCCCAAAACACAGCCACGTCTGCACGTGCACCCAGACCTTTATTCCTTATATTGACTCTTTATATCTGCATCCTTCCTGCTCTCTATATTACACAATCAATATGTCTAACTATGAATATATACATACCTACATTCAGAATTGATACACTTTTAAACATGCATATTGTAAGCCTGCAACACATTATATAAATAGAGAGAAATGTTTCGATTTGGCCGTTAAGCACTCACCGGCAGAAGATCATGTTTGCAGTGAGTGAGTGAGGCGCGGTTTATCCTGCAGATCATGGTATATGAGACGCTACAAAATTCTCGAAGTCCCGGGACAATGAGTGAGGGCAAGAGCTGCAACGCAGACATTATATACCCCGCCACAAGCAGGATGATGCAACTCCGTGAAAGACAGGACAGAGGGCGGTTGGGAAGGGGGTCAGCACATATGTTTTGTATTAAGAACAGACGCTGACTCTTTATAGGGTCCAAGACCACTTCCTGAGCATTAACTCCTTGGTGATCACAGGCAACGTCACTCCAATATAAGTCAAAGTATTATTTAAACCTTGCAGCAGTTAAAGTTGGCAATAAATGGTTTTAGGGATACTCCCAATACTGATGTAGAATGAATTTCTGAATCTACGATTCCCACCACTGGCTCATATTAGACAGGCTGAGATAAAAATAGCTGCACATCTGGAAATGGATTCACTCTGGGACTTTTCAATAGGGGGCGGTGGGAAAAATGGGATTCCCTGCTAAACAATAAAACACGCTGTCTGTTCTCGTTACATGGCGTTGAGTGCTGCACAGAAAAAGCTTTAGAGCCAGACACCAGTGCGAGCTATTTACTAAGAGAGATTTTCCATAATAAGAGTAAGCCTGTTATTTTCTAAAAGACAGACGACCAACGAGCAATAGATGTGATAATATAAGATAGGGGGCAATAACAATGCTGCCCTAAATATTCAAGAGGACTTTCAATACCAGCAGACGTACTCCTGAAAATTAAGGAGGTGAAATTCTTTTAGATGGTGAATGATTTCAATTGGAACGTGAGTCAGGGATTTAAGTTCATAACCTTTATGCTGGCTGATGGGAGTATAATTAACAAATCTCCCCCCCACACACACACCCACCCAAACCCTTGTTTTTAGCAGAGCCTTTGAACAGGACACAGATAATAAAAGTAGACTGAGTCTGTAGGAATCTGTACACACAGCATTTCCATTTTGGCAGATCACTCCCTCCCCATATCTCTCACTCAAGTGAACTTGCTGCTCGACCCTGACACCACCCTTCCGTTCAGAATCTCTTTCAAGTTAGTTCCCCTTCCTGTCTGAGAAGCTCGTTTACCAGCCTAAGCTGGTAAAATACGGTAGATCACGGCACAGTTTCTGTGTACAGTACAACAGAGTTACGTTTTATTCCCGGCAGTTTAATGACAACTTACACTAAAAATAGACACTATGTGAACCAAAAGTTGAAAAATACAAGTGGACTATGCAAACCCTGCCCGACCACCCCAAAAGAAAAACACACACACATTTTACTTTATACTAAGTGAATCATTTTTGCAAAGATACGTTTAAAAAAAAAAGTTTATTACCACACAGAGCCCAACCCATGAGCCTGGCGCATCCAAGAGTAAAGGAAACATTTATCCACTTCCCGTAAATCCACGCATAGAGTCTTCCTGTTCTTGTTGGGTTAGACGTTTACACAAGGGCAATAAAGGCACGTTTATAATCACACATAAATGGTTCCTATTGAAAAATAGAAACTGGAGGATTGCTGCAATACTGGGACACTCAGAGTGAGTGAATAGTTTTATTTTTAAATATTATATTATCTTTTATGAGGTAAAAAAAAAATTTCAAATTAAATATTATAATAATAATAATAAATAAATGGCAATAAATGCAATTTTGATTTTCCCTTCAACGTGTGCATTGTAACATCTATCTCAAAAAAGTAAACGCGCATTCGCTGGAAATTTTAAATCAAACTTTGTATTGCATTATGAAATTCAGAAGCAGATAATCAGATATCATCAATACATCTATGTATAATCACAATGTTGCAATTTCTTTAGCTTTTTAAGTTAATAAAAAGTAGCAAAAAGTTTAATTTAAAATTTTCAGAAAGTGTGCAGCTTCTTTTTTGGTATAACTACGGCTCGTTCCTGCACCAGCTAAGCACGGATGAACTAAACTGTGTGCTCGGTTCTTGGGAATATATATAAAAATAAAAATAAGTCGGGTGGGCCCGACTGCCGAGCCAGGAACACGTGCCTAAGCTGAGCACTGTGTACAGAAGCCTGTTTTTATCCAATTTCTCTGCAAAATCATTGCTCACCTCTGCTTAAACACGGACTATACCCTCCTGAGTACCTTGAGAACTATTTATACGTAATATTAATGACGGCAGTAGGCAGATCTATGGTGGACCGAAGCTGCGGCCTGTGGGCGACTGGGGCAGGGAGAAAAGGCTGCTCTCCATGCTCCCTGGTCAGTGTCAGGTACCCAGCATGCCCCTGGTGGGTGTTGTCCAGGTGCCTACTGAGGTCATGGCTCACTTCCTTCATACAGAGAGGAGGGTTCCCGTGAGGTACTCCTATGGCTCTCACCTATGGTTCCCGTGGAGAACTCTTATGGCGCCAAACGACAATCCAGACTACTGCCTCATGGGCAACATGGGAAGAACACCTGGACAGGGCCTTTTTTAGATTTTGGTCAAAACTGCGGCATGAGATCCAGGTATGCACAGCTCCCACAACATACTTACCTCGGAGAGAGGTGAAGAGGAATGAAGTTTGGGAGTTGAGGGGGTCTCTCTCAGGCACAGCACTTGCTGTTCGCCTACCTAGGCCGAAGGCCCCCCATGGGTTTGATCCTAGAAGCATTGGCCACATCGCTGGAAGACAACCCGCAGCTGGATTTGGCGGCAGAACAACTGGGCATTCCATCACGCCTGATATGGGAAGGTCTCGGACTCAGAGGACCCGAGCTCATGGCACATGGATGTTGGCCTTTACACTGGCCTAGGGCTGGGGGGAGGGAACCTCTCCTCGCCTCCGCAAAGCCGCTGCCCTTGGTCACCTTCTTCTCTCAATACTCTCCATGCCCAGTGCGGGAATTGGATGAAAGTGGGACTCCTGGTCTGCACTTAACAGATGCCTCTCTACTACATATCGGCACTACCGGAAAGAGACGCTACCTGATACTCAATGTTCCGGGTCCCAGTGGCTTATTACGCTTGAGACACGATATGAATTCATATAACTTGACTCAGTGTTATGCCTGATTATCCTTTTCTAAAGTTGCACTGTTATATGCTCCAACATGTCAGCCTAGCTTATTATTACATGATGCCAACTACTCTACTGAGTCTCTAAGCTTGTTTTCCCTCTCTTGTTACTGCACTGTGATTTCCGGAGTTTATGTACTATTGCACTCTTCTTGCATATATGACATGTGTTTATTTGCTAAAACTCGCTTTTCTTTCTGTAATGTTCCTTCGATTACCTCAATAAAAGAATGATTGACAAAAAGATATGACCCCTCTCCCCTCACCTGTCAATATATTCTTAATGCCAAAAGCTATGTTACAACTAAGAGCAGGAGAATGCTTTATGGACAATATTTTATATATTTGCATTTTTTTTCCCCAGCATAATAGTTTTGTGTTTATAGAACAGTTTTGGTTTTAGGATTATTATATTTCTCATCAAAACACAGCTTTGTGCTTTCGTGAAAGTTCTGCATGGTTATAACATTAACTGTTCAATTCTGATCTCCCAGCTAACCGTCTTCTGAAGCTTTCAGAATACATCAGATTTAGTCAAACAGATGAATAGTGATGTCCTGAACGGTTCGCCCGCGAACGGTTCGCCGCGAACTCATCATTGAGTAAACTTTGACCCTGTACCTCACAGTCAGCAGACACATTCCAGCCAATCAGCAGCAGACCCTCCCACCTCCTGGACAGCTCACTAAGAATGCAGCTTCACAATGGATGCTGTCCAGGAGGTGGGAGGGTCTGGGAGGGAGGGCCTGCTGCTGATTGGCTGGAATGTGTCTGCTGACTGTGAGGTACAGGGTCAAAGTTTACTCAATGATGAGTCCGCGGCGAACCGTTCGGGACATCACTACAGATGAAATAATTTAATAAGGACTAGCAAATATGCTAATTAAGTTAAAATGGCTTCTAGTATTTATTTCTTTAAGAAATTGTTTAAAAAACACTTTTTTAAGCCCTTGCTACCCTTTTTCCAGTAAAAAAAACGAGCATTTTGGATACAATCAACGGAATTAGCCAAAAAGATTTGGAGATACTCACTGGACCTCATCCAGCCGTGCGAGTAGCTGTTCTGCCAGTTGCTTTTCTTTGGATTCTAGGATATGTCGATCGCTTGTTCGATAAGACTCCAGCTCATTGAGTTCTAGTTCCCCAGGGGTCATACCCAATACCCGCTTTGACCTGCCCAGACAAACAGCCAGATAAAAAAAAAGAAAAGAAAAAAAAAGAAGCACAAACAAGATTAGCGGACAGATGCCCATTACATCACTGGGTTGATATGTGATATAAGCGGATCACAAAAATTCTAAACTAAAATGAAAAAAAATTAAAACCTAATAGTCAGAGTTTGCGCCATATAAGATGTTGAAATGGTTTGAGATAATTTGTATCTCCTTAAACTTTAACAGCATTACATGCAGAGAAAGTAACCAATTCTTATAGAGCTTGGATGCTATTTATTTTACATTACTATAGAAGACTTTATATTAAAAAAAAAAAAGATGAAATATGACCAATAAATAAATAAATAAAATCTGCATTGTAACTTCTGTTATTCGCAGAAGTGGGAGCAATCAAGACTTCAAAGTAAACAAATTAAAAAATTTAGTCTACTTTGAGAATTGCCAATAGTTCACATTTTAGTAAATAGCCCTTGCTATGTTCTGTGATGGTCCAATATGCACCTGAAGTCCTCGAGCTGCCTGCTGATCTCCGGAATCTGGTAGCTCTGAACTTCACGGAGGAATTTCTTCTGTGTGTCTTCGGTGAAAAGCTCTGGCCTAGTGCGATCTGTGACGGGAGACATGGACAAGAGAGCCACTTCATTTAAACTTCTTTTTAACTGTGTCTAGTGCCTCACATATAAACTCTGCAGGATCCTGCACTACTGATGTCTTTTCAATAGTGCCGAGTATCGACGAAGCATTCTAGCTGTCCTTTAACTACTAAGGACGTAACAATAAGCAGATCATCACATGTTTACTTCCATAAGTAAGAGGATGAAAGCAGACATTTTGGTGTAGGAATCACTTCATTCACGTTACTGAAAAGGGGCTTTAATTGGGAGAATCAATGTTTGTTTAGTTTCGCAATATATGGTATACGATAGCCATCTAGTGAAAAGAGTAGCAGGATTTATACCAAATATAAGGCACCTTAGTATTATAGTATTATGGTGTATGTATTGAGCTATTGCACTTTGATAGTTTATATATATATATATATATATATATATATATATATATATATATATATATATATATATATATATATATATATATATATCCTCTAGAATGTAAGCTCACTGAGCAGGGCCCTCCACCCCCTCTATTCCTGTACGTCCAGCTGTCTGGTTACAATTACATGTCTGTTAGTCCACCCAGTGTACAGCGCTACGGAATCTGATGGCGCCATATAAATAATAAAATAATAATATATAAGTAAGTGCCATTGACACCTGAATTTTTTCAGTTTTATTCATAGAGGAGAATGATTTGGCTATTAGCCTGGTGAGCTGGGAATTACAAAACAAATCTTTCATCAAGCATCTGACTGGCCTTTAACATACTTTCAATCAGAACAATTTAAGGAAGTCTACCATGGCAGTGAAGAATAATAGAATGGCAGAGAGACTCCGTTTGCAACGTGGGGTCGGGCAGAGTGAAAGAAAGGAGGATTTAAAAAAAATAAAAAAATCTGGTTGATAATATGTTGGATCTCATTTACAGTGTTTTTTACTAAAGTCAAAATTCAGGGTGAATTCTAACTGGATTTTAAATTTGAGTATCTGAATGGAAAGCACAAATTCATTTTTCCCAGTTTGGCTACTTTGACCTTAAATTTGAAAGTCGCTTTGAATTCTCACTTTAGGAAATAACGCTGTTAGTGTTGCAAGATTTGAGATTTTTTTTTGAATGGCTGATACATTGTAATCATATCCATCTTAAGTCTGCCTTTTAGAAGTCAGTTTCTAACATGATCAGAGAATTAAGTTGTATGGAAATTACTGCTTATTATGGCTTTTTTAATGAAAGGGCGGCAAGGCATTCTGCAAATTCCGTAAACTAAACATATCCCCCCCTCCCCTTTCAGTGAGATAGGCATCATGGGTATTTAAATGAAGATGTGGCACATACGGGCTGCATTGCTGCTAGTGACCAGGAGAGGGCTCCAGACACTCAGAGAATGTGTAAGGTTGGAGACAGGCTACATGAAGATTCCGGCTACTTGCTTATCAGTTTCGTAACATTTCTTCCCGAAGTTATCTGAGTTTGTACAGTCAGATAGAGCACACAGACTGCAGCTTCAGAAAGAAAGAAGTCCCACGGCCTGTTTACATCCTATAAACCCTATAACTAAACACCAAAGCAGGGGGCAATCTCATCAATAAACCTGACCATTTGGATGCAATGATTTAAATGCATTTCTACCCGCTCATTGTCCCAGTTCAGTGACTTTCATTCATTTTACATTATAGCTCTGTAATAACAATAGGCATATTTTATAATCTCAATCTGTCGAACTATATGGGAATAAGGTGAAAGGTGTGCGATGGGAATGAGGTGGAGGGGATAGAGAGGGTGTGCAGAGGGAATGAGTTGAAAGAGTGTGGTGGGAATGAGGTGGAGGGGTAGAGAGTGTGTGGTGGGAATGAGGTGGAGGGGTAGAGAGGGTTTGGTGGGAATGAGGTGGAGGGGTAGAGAGGGTTTGGTGGGAATGAGGTGGAGGGGTAGAGAGGGTGTGGTGGGAATGAGGTGGAGGGGTAGAGAGGGTGTGCAGAGGGAATGAGTTGAAGAGGGTAGAAAGAGTGTGGTGGGAATGAGGTGGAGGGGTAGAGAGTGTGTGGTGGGAATGAGGTGGAGGGGTAGAGAGGGTTTGGTGGGAATGAGGTGGAGGGGTAGAGAGGGTTTGGTGGGAATGAGGTGGAGGGGTAGAGAGGGTGTTTTGGGAATGAGGTGGAGGGGTAGAGAGGGTGTGGTGGGAATGAGATGGAGGGGTAGAGAGGGTGTGGTGGGAATGAGGTGGAGGGGTAGAGAGGGTGTGTGTTAAGAATGAGGTGCAGGATGTAGAGAGGGTGTGTGTTAAGAATGAGGTAGAGAGTGTGTGTGGTGAGAACGATGTGTAGGGGTAGAGAGGACGTGTGGTGGGAATGAGGTGAGGGGTAGAGTGAGTGTGTGTGTGTGTGTGTGGTGGGAATGATGTGTAGTGAAAATGAGTGTGTGGTGGGAAAGATGTTTAGAGGTCGAAAAGGTGTGAGGTGGGAATGAGGTGGAGGGGTCGAGTGGATGTGTGGTGAAAATGAGGTAGAGCGGGTGTATGGTGGGAATGAGGTGTGGGGGAAGAGTGGGTGTGTGGTGGGAATAAGGTAAAGAGGGTGTGTGGTGGGAATGAGTTGGAAAGAGTAGAGAGAGCGTGGTGGGAATGAGGTTTAGAGGGTAGAGAGGGTGTATGGTGGGAATGAGGTAGAAAGGACAGAGAGGGTGTGTGGTGGGAATGATGTAGAAAGTATAGAGAGGGTGTGGTAGCATGAATGAGGTGAAAGTGGTAGGGAGGGTGATGGTGGGAATGAGGTAGAAAAGGTAGAGGGTGTGTGGTGGAAATTAGGAGATATGTTTCTGGTTGGAATGTGGTAGAGGGGGAAGAAACTGTGTTTGGTGAGATTGAGGGGGTAAGATGATGTTGGGTAAAAAATAAATTTACTCTTTAAAAAACCTTTTGACTGTAGTAAAAGCATATATTCAGGAATTAAATCACTGCATTTAAATGGGCGACACACACAATTCTAGACAATACCTGTATTGAGAACATGAAAGAATAAACTCACCCAGTTCGAAGGAAACGCTGGTTGGCACCGTGGTGCGTAGGACCTGGAAACAAGATTTTAAAGTTACAACTCTGATCACAGCTCTGTACAGGACGTAAGGTTACTATGAAACCTTGTATTTATTTCAAATTAAAATGTAATACTGAGCGAATACTAAAATAGAAGTTGCTACATCACTAGCCACAGTGTACCCAAGAGGCAAAGCAGAATGAGGAACAAGAGACATAAACAATACTTAATAAATAACCAAAAATCAAAGGACAGACTGTAGGGCAGTGATGGCTAAACAGCAGATTGCATAACCATGATGATCAGCTAGCTACAGGGCTATTTTTTGGAACACAGTAATCCAGTCTAGTGCTGCATGACAGTCCGCAGTCCAGAGCAGAGTGAATATTTCAATCTTACTTGTAAGTTAAGAGAATACCATAGTGTTAAGAATACAAACATATATTTCAAATGCTACAGTGTTCCCCTGTCATGTTTGGCCCCACCTCTCGGAGAGGGTTTGAAAGGTAAGTGTTTTTATTCAAAAGTCCATCCGATATGTGATAATAAAATCTGTGCGTTGAATACTCACAGCTCCTTTCATCATGAAGGTATAGCAGAATTCCGTAAACAATTTCTTCCCCTCTTTGACCGAAAGGTTCTTTATGATATCGGCATGCAGGTAGCAGAGCTAGGAAGTGATGTCAGGAAAGAGAATTAGTCCGACGCAAACAGCAACAACATATTCAGTAAAATATTGATTATAAAGTGTGAACAGCCTGTGCCCGGATCACATGCATCTCATGCTAAATCTCCACATGCAACTCATTCCTCCATTTAGGACATCTGCACTGTATACCCCACAGGTCTCATATTCACAGGCAACCTGCATATCATGCCACCCTGCCACGGACAGTGTCCCTGCACCTTATACCACTAAAGCAAGGTAGCTGTGCTTCCTATAGGTCCTCAGAGACATAGTGGATCTCCAACCCACCCTTTCCTATAGACAATGTCCCTCCATCCTATGTCACCTCACAGTCAAGGGAACCTCCATCTGAAATCCCTTCCCACAAAGAGTGCCTCACACCCTTACCATAGATAGGGCTCCTGCATTCTGCAAGCCTCCCAGAGAAACCGCAGCTACCCACAAGTCTTTTTACTGCAGACAGGACACCTGCACCCCATATCTATTACCACTGACAGGACAATGGCACCCCAAGTCTAACCACTGCAGATAGGACATCTTCACCCCATGTCTAATAACCGCATACAGGACCCAGCATCCCAAGTCTATTTACAGCACCCAGAACATCTGCTTCCCATGTCTTAACCGCTGACAGGCCACCTGAACCCCATGACAGAACCCCTATATGTGTATATTTTGCTGACAGGAAACCTACACCTCATGTCAAAATATATCATAATCTGCTAATTTGCGTACCACAAAGAGAAAAGCTGCAATCCATGTGTTACCCACAGGAAGTGCACATGCATTTAATTCCCCTTTCAGCACAGTGTTCCCCAGATACCCCCTATGCCTGCAGAGTATCTGCTTTACCTTAAATACTGATCTAGCACTCCAAATATGCATAACAGCTCACACTATAAACACAGCACACAACCTCTGCCACCTCTCAGTACAGCAAACTGTCCCAATAACATTACAGAATCTTATGTTCAAAAAGAAAATTTGCAGGGAAAGTTCTTTAACGTATTGCAATATTTTCCTATTCTAAATAGATTTATGTAGGGTAGCGCCGCTAGACAGCATGCAACACATTGATTTGGCAAAAAAAGGCTCAGCTTATTGCACGACCCACACAGTCTGTCATACAAACAATACTGACAATCACCTACGGCAGCATGGTCGTAAACAATGCTTTGTCAGCCAGAAGACTAGCAAAGCATTATGGGAGATGTAGTCCAAAACGCTTCCACTATGGTAAAGGTTGTCTACCCGTGACCTAATGAATGATCTAGGTATTGATTTTACATCTGACCAGTACATCCCCACACACACCTGTTTTCAAGGAGCTGGGCATCTGAAAGCAGCATGAAAAAGAGAGAAAACAAAATGTAACTGAGGAAGCCACGCCAGTACTGTTTAGAGACTCCTGCATTTAGGAGAGCCTCTGAGCCACCAGTGGATTGTCCAAGTGCAGCATTGAATAAAAGAACATCAAATTATATTTTCATGGTACGGCTGGCTAGTGCTGCTTTTTGATTTGGAATTTTAGCCAAACAGTAAGGGCCCAAAAGTGGCTCACCCTACCAGGTGCATGCTGGGATATAAACCTCTTACAGTAATTTTAGCCAAACAGCAAGAGCCCAAGAGTGGCTCACCCTACCAGGTGCATGCTGGGATATAAACCTCTTACAGTAATTTTAGCCAAACAGCAAGAGCCCAAGAGTGGCTCACCCTACCAGGTGCATGCTGGGATATAAACCTCTTACAGTAATTTTAGCCAAACAGCAAGAGCCCAAGAGTGGCTCACCCTACCAGGTGCATGCTGGGATATAAACCTCTTACAGTAATTTTAGCCAAACAGCAAGAGCCCAAGAGTGGCTCACCCTACCAGGTGCATGCTGGGATGCCAAACAGCAAGGGTCTAGAGTGGCTCATCCTTCCAGGTGCATGCTGGGATCTAAACCTCTTAAAGTAATTTATGCCAAACAGCAAGGGCCTAAAGTGGCTCATACTACCAGGTGCATGCTGGGATATAATTATCTTACAGTAGTGAGTGTTAATGGAAGATAAGCTGGGAGACCATTTCCAAGGTCTTAAACTGGGCTCTGCACTACAGGGCGCCACATGAGACATTTCATGCAAAACAACATTTCATACGGCACCAAGGATTGACTGAAGCAATAACAATTACTCCGGCCATGCACGGTGCAGTAACGGCTATTCTGTGCAAACCACGGACTCCCACCCGGCAAAATGCAACAAGGAGTATTCCAAACAGGCAGGCTGCAGGGGAAAGCAGGATGGGTATTTTGGCAATGTACCCCCTGGCTTCTCTTACCAATGGGCACGGGTCCAACTGCAGCACCACATGATGGAGAAAAACCATGATGTACGCCGGATGATCTTTTACAAGTTCGATGTTCTGGAAAGGGCTGTTGTGGTCTTCCACATTCTATATGGGGAGAAAGAAACCGTTACCAGGGGTGAAGAGAGACCGAGTGTAAGGAAACTGCATGGAGAGGTATCATCATGGTTACTCTCAAAAATCATACAGATTCAGTGAGACTCAAATTAACATACTTTGCGTATTTTAGATCAGCAAAAATCATTACATTGGTTACATTAAAAAGTGATATATTTATTTTGGTAAAAGGGCAGGGTATGGAGAAGTATACAATACATATCCAAAATGGCTGCTGAAGTGGTTATGTTGCCTAACGTAGCCTGGCTCTTTCTACTGTTTTAATGCCAAATCACAGGGGTACAGTTTGATATAAACTGGGGTCTCCCTGGCACCCAGACACCTCAAGTGGATTAAACCATCTAGCATATCAGAACACAAGGTAAATCTTGTTCATCCATTACAATTACTATTTAGCATGAACCCGTAAAACAACCCCCCTCCCCCACAATTACCCCAACCACCAGAACAACTGACCGCTTCAATTTCATTCTCAAAGTCTTCATCTTCTGCTCCGATGATCGAGGTGGCGCCCATAGAATGGAAACCCTGTGCGGTGAAAACAAAAAAATATATTTGGCATAAAAAAAACAATGTGTTTATTCTCTTCCGAGAAAATACAAATTTGAGGGAGAGTCCGACTTACAAGTTTATTCTCTGAAATGTTAACAGAGTTCATAGTAAATTTAAGATTTTAGGTGAAAAACAGCAAACTGAAACGTTATCTTTATGTCGGCTATGTTTTCACTTCCCATAAGCCTAAATCTTAAATTCACTTTAAATTCCCAGAAATTCACATATTAGTGAATAATCCTGCTTAAAGGAACACTATAGTCACCTAAATTACTTTAGCTAAATAAAGCAGTTTTAGTGTATAGATCATTCCCCTGCAATTCCACTGCTCAATTCACTGTCATTTAGGAGTTAAATCACTTTGTTTCTGTTTATGCAGCTCTAGCCACACCTCTCCTGGCTATGATTGACAGAGCCTGCATGAAAAAAAAAAAAAAACTGGTTTCACTTTCAAACATATGTAATTTACCTTAAAGGACCACTATAGTGCCAGGAAAACATACTCTTTTTCCTGGCACTATAGTGCCCTGAGGGTGCCCCCACCCTCAGGGTCCCCCTCCCGCCCGGCTCTGGGGAGAGGAAAGGGTTAAAACTTACCTTTTTTTCCAGCGCCGGGCGGGGACTCTCCGCCTCCGATCCTCCTCCTCTCCTCCCTTTCGGCTAAATGTGCATGCGCGGCAAGAGCCGCACTGCTTTCCTATGGACGCTTGCGTGTTCTCACTGTGATTTTCACAGTGAGAATCACGCAAGCGCCTCTAGCGGCTGCCAATGAGACAGCCACTAGAGGCTTTAGAGGCTGGATTAACCCTATTATAAACATAGCAGTTTCTGTGAAACTGCTATGTTTATAAAAAAAAAAGGGTTAATCCTAGAGGGACCTGGCACCCAGACCACTTCATTAGCTGAATTGGTCTGGGTGCCTAGAGTGGTCCTTTAAATAATTGTATCTCAATCTCTAAATTGAACTTTAATCACATACAGGAGGCTCTTGCAGGGTCTAGCAAGCTGTTAACATAGCAGGGCATAAGAAAATCTTAATTAAACAGAACTTGCAATAAAGAAAGCCTAAATAGTGCTCTCTTTTCAGGAAGTGTTTATGGAAGGCTGTGCAAGTCACATGCAGGGAGGTGTGACTAGGGTTCATAAACAAAGGGATTTAACTCCTAAATGGCAGAAGATTGAGCAGTGGGCCTGCAGGGGCATGTTCTATACACCAAAACTGCTTCATTAAGCTAAAGTTGTTCAGGTGACTATAGTGTCCCTTTAAATTATGCTGAAAACAAGGTGTGGGCAGGCTTTAGAAAAACAACAAATTAACGCCAGGACAGGATGTTGCAGTCTTTTGGTTGGCTGTGAATTATAGGACTTTCAGTTCCAATCATCAGGAATATGCTATATGTTACAAATATTAACACACATGACGAACAGTGTTCAAATGAAGTTCGTAATGGCAGCAAAATAAAAAAAATTCACTTGCTCCAAATGTCAATTTCCTCAAAATACCTTTAAAAATGGACTTCCCAGCCAGATCGAGAAAGGCCTGGGGCCTACTAGGCTGGAACAGGCCTGGCTCTCTGAAGCAGACAGCTGTGTATTATGGACACAATACGGATTTGTTCTCCAGTGTGGAATCGTAATCATTTCTCTCACTGAATTTGTTTTCAATGAATCTACAATTATTGTGGCGCTGTGTTCTACTTGATTCTTTTGGCAGTGTATTATGGACGCCCTTCTTAAGAAAAATGTCAAGCTCGTGATGAAGAAACTAATTGGTTTTTCAGGCTGTTTCATAGCACAAAATCAGAGTAAGGGTGAAATGATTTGGTAACAAACAAAATGTTTATCTTGGCAAATAGTATATGCAAATTAAATGACAGGAGATTACTTTAGGCCTTTTACGTTTCATCCACCTCACCTAAAAGTCTCCTGAATATATATTATTATTATTATTTAAATACTCAGCACTCACCGCTTTGCCAATATTTAGCAGTTTTCTTGCCTTGGTGCAACCTGAGCGTGCAAATATATAATGAAGAAAATTGCAGGTGCACTCATAGGTCTTGTATGAAGGTGATTTTTTAATTTTCTTAACATACAAATTAAATCTGTCCCCATCAACGTTCCGACCCCTGTAGGATCTTTTTTCAAGATGAAAAGATCTTGAAAAAGACCCTACAGGGGTTGAAACGTTGATTGGGACAGATTTCATTTGTATGTTACGAAAATAAAAGAATCACCTTCATACAAGACCTATGAGTGCACCTGCAATTTTCTTATATATATATATATATATATATATATATATATATACACACATACATATATATATACACAAATACATACATACATACATACATATACACACAGTTGGGACTGATATTCTTTTTCAATAAATGCAAATAAATTAATAAAACGCTGCTGTATCTGCATATTTGCAGGGGGACGGAGTGTCATATACGCTGTTAACCTGTGAAACTCTGCCCTGTAGTTATATGGGCTATGTGACTCATCGGCAGTCACAAGAAACTTAATTCATGAAAAGACCTGAATGAAACAACTTTTATTTGTTTTTGGGTTTTTTCAAGCTAACAGATGCAGACAGCTCTACAGGAGAGCCTATACATTCATTTAGAACGTATACAACAAGTACAGGCCATGCATGCATACACGGCATTTTGTATGGGTAGGGGGAAGTATGGTATTTCCTAAAACGTAAGAGTGAGAGGTTGCCATTTATTTGCTGCAAATCTTGAAAAATTTGATAGTGATGTTGAATTTGAACAAAAGTTGCTTTTGGCATATGCCCATGTCCTAAAATAAATCTAAATAAATAAATCCTCCCAGTCTCTATGCTGTATCAGGCATTTTGTAAGAGGACAGTTTGAGATAATTTTAATAGATTTTTGACAGACTGCTGTAAAACTCATTAAGTCAGGGGAATTCTGGGCCGTCATTTAAATTGTTTGCCATTTCCTGCTTTCCAAATTTCAACAACAAAAAAAAGTACACCAGATGCATTCACAAAAATAAATACATACATTATTAATCTAGGAAATGTAATGTATGTACTAAAATAAAATTGTAATTCAAGTACTATTTGTTCTAACTCAACATTTTGCATCACATTTTGGTAGGTTATTAAGGCAATTTCCTTCCTTGGGAGTTGTTTGTTGTTGTTTTTTTACAGAGTTTTTCTATTAAACAATATATAAATAAAATAAATGGTAGTTCATATCCAGCAGCCTATTAATAACAATAATAAAATGAGTACATAATAAAATTTGGAACAAAATGGATTACACTAGGGAACGTTCCAATGCATGCGTACAAACGGGGCAAAACTGGACCCATGATTTTTTAGATCATATTCACGCTATATGTACGTCTGCTGAGCTTAGCGGATAGGACCAAACACTGATAAGCACATACACTAAAACACAACTATAAGCTGTGATTAAAATTGAAGTTTATTTTTGTACTGAATTGAAAGAAATTCAGCCTGATTCAGGGCACGTTTTAATGGAATAAAAAGGGTGCGATATAACGGATCTGCAATCGCAGATCACTTTAATCTGATACTACTGTCTTCTCACATGATAAAAAGGACAGCAAATTCTCTCTCATAGCCAAGGACGGTGCTTACCATTACCTAATTTAATGTTACTTATTTCATCGCCATGGAAAGATTAATGGCTGAATTGGCTTTGCTGCGATTCAGACCAGTGTCCCTAGGGTTTTAAAAGGTGCCTCAGTTAGAGCATGCAGCTACAGAGCTACTTCATTAACAAGGTTATTGAAAGTGGACAATCTAATTTAATGCAATAGCTGCAAGCCTGATACATTTGTATTCCTTCTCTTAGCCAGGACATTGGAAATGCTAAGTGCTAACTGCATATGAGACTTTTTCTACCAAGCATGGAAATTGTGAAAGAGCCTCACTATATGGACTTCCTGGTTTCAATATTAAAGTGTAACATTTCTGACATTTGATGTGAATGTTTTTACACAGCTTAAGATACACATATCTTTCATCAAATATATAGTATAGGAAGGCACACATTATATCAACTAGTGAACACACTTTTAAATGTACCTTCAAAGTGTACCTTCAATTAATCTATACTTTTTTAACGACATTACCTGGTCTCCTGATGCTAAAATCCCCATTCTCCCTTTTTGAATATCAGGAGGAGGATTCAATACTACCTCACTTCCTCCCTCCGACCATACAAGTACTTGTACTGTATGTACGGACAGCATGTGTATGGTGCAGACATCCTTATTAAAGGATTACATCAACCACCATGACCACTTCAGTGATTTGAGGTGGTCATGGTGGTACGAGACTGGATGTGCAGTGCTTTTGCATGAAATACTCCAGTGCATATCCAGAAATATTTGCACTTACGCACACGTGACTTTGGCAGCCTGAAACGCTGTTCCGGACTGCAATATGTCAATTCTGGCAACAGAAGCTGGTTATCCCCTCCTTCCTTCCCTCCCACTGTGTGGCCCTTCCCGCTTCCCCCATTAAGGAAGGGTTTTTTGTTGTTGTTTTCTTTTATTTAAAATTTCATCAAACACCCCTCTCCTTGCCGGCTCAGTGTGCATGCATACACTCTGAGCCGGTGAAACAGTCCAATTACAGACTTCTCTAAGAAAGGCCGGTGATTGGACTGCGCAAGTGCAGAGATGTCGTCGGACAGGGATTGGAGATCAGCAATGGTAGCTTCGCCTGGTGCTGGATGGCAGGTAGGTTTTAAAGCTCATTACAGGTTTTAAGAGGGGGGAGATGGCATATTAGTTATGCCCCATAGGGAACTGTGAATGACCAAAAAATATATGGTTTTTAATTTAAGTTAATTTGCCTAAGACTCATCACAAATTCCTACTAGCTGCATAGTAGCTTCATTTTAGTATTTTCATATTTTCCGAATTACAAATACACTTTATATTAATCCAAACTGTGTAGGCTTTACAGTATCTGTTCAGATTTGGAGGGGAACAAATCAGATTGACGAAACGCTAAAAACAAAAATCAGAAAACATTGACATTTCTTGATTCCTGAAGATATTTTATATTTGCAGCAAATGAATAATAAATATATTTTTTTTCTTTCATTTTTAATTTGGAGGAATTTTGAATATATTATTTACATAATGAAATAAAAAAAGGGGGGGGTGGATGTCTAAGTTCAGCTGACGTGTCCCTTTAAATTAATGAGGTGGCTGAAGTTGCAAATAAAACAACTATTAAATCTTCATTTTCTCATCAAGTTCTCAGTACTTGACATAAATCGTCTCCCTTGGAGGATCCGCCACTAGATTACTCTTTCTTTAAAGGTTACAAATACCCCCAGACTATTTTTGCATTTCTTTTATTTTTTTGCAATTTCTGGATTCATTTTGTTTATTGTACTTCTGTGTATGCAACAGGGAAATACAGATCTTTAAAAAATGTGCAAGTACACACCTTATTTGTAATTATACCATTTGGTCAGAAAGATACTGCTTTGAGTGCTTATTTTTCCTATTAAGCTATTCTGCTGGGATTGACCAAAATAATATTTTTTAGCTAATATTTCTTGTAGACAGCAAATCTTAAAATGTAACCCTTGCATGTCACCTCTTGACTTCTGTAACCAATATGCTACCTTTCCAGCAGAGAGAGAAAAAAAATAATATAGTTTTCCCAAATTAAAGTTTTCCTTACAATTTTGCAGATGAAATAAAAGTGTACTTCGCTTGAGTAGCTTCATACAAAGTGAATCACTGGGCACTGCCCTCAGAATTGTCAAAATTAAAAACATAGGCAAAAAAACACAAAACAACGCATAACGTGGAAGAGCTTCATCCAATTCCGTATTCTTGCGTTTATATAGAACATCGTTTAGAATTTGGAATTTTTGAACTATAAAATGCATTTCTTAAAAGGCAAGGAACGTTTTACAAAAAATTTTAAGCAAAGCGTGTATTACTAGACTGTCTGAAAGAGCAAACACAGCGCTCTGTAGGAGAGGCCTATAATGAAGGACCTGTAAGTTTTCGTTTTTAAAATTAGTCCTGGCCATGTCCCCTTGCACTGCCATGAATCCTGTAACTCTATCATTACATTTTTAAAAATATTTATCAGAGGACAGTGTTTTTGGAGTGTACTACACAGTCCAATATTTTTTGCTGTATTCAGGAAAAACATTGTCAGCCTGGTTCTTTATCTAATTTTTGAAGATGCAAGACATGTAAAAGACACTGTAGGCTTCCTTTGCTTCACCAGGTTCATATTTCTTTAACACAAAACTTTAAAGGAAGAGAACTCTATTACTAAACAAATAGCCATAGCTCTACAAGACTCTCAAAAGGCACCTCCACCCTATCCTAACCCAAAGCAAAGACCACCTATTCTACAGGACCTGCATCACCATTACATTTCTCATTGCACGTTTTAAACATTACGAGGCCCAAAGTATCTTTGTTCTTCTTTTTCCTTAATACCACATGAAGTTGAGTTCTATGTTAATAACGCCTCTGCAACTTTATCTAATTACCTTTAGAACTTCCGGTTTCATTCCAATCTTTCAGATAAACACAGCAAACTTTCATATATACTTGAAATCTGGAGAAGTTCAGTCTGCCAAGCTGCAGAGTGCTCACGCGTACATTATTTCAAGCTAGTGGGTGACGGGAACAATAGCCCAAAGTCAGCTAACTCACAAGCAGTAATTGATACTTTTATTGAGATGATTCTATTGAGATTATAATCCTATTGTTGATTATTTCGATAAGCAGATGGCTTGCAGTGCTGTATTGGTGGCCATAAAAATTTTTTTTTTTTTAAAATACTAGTCCCGGGGCCTTTATAAGGATTTGTGTTACAAAGATTTTTCATAAGATAATAATATCCCAATCTTCTGCACTTATCTCATTATGAACTTGCCCAAAATATCCAAAGCATTTAAAAAGTCAAACAAACAAGAAAACACTCAATTTGAGTGTTCTTGTTGACCAGGGTAATCCATTCAAGTAGGCCGGTTGATCTCCAGTCTTTGATGAACTAAACATCTGATAGTTGTCTCCTGTTGTAGATCATTCCTGATAAATCCATCAGTACTTTCTCCCTCATCTCCAACTGAAGTTTGTATCGCCGATCCGAGGCAAGTAAATATGATGCAGATCACTGGAAATCCCAAAACGACTTTGTTCTTTTGCGATTATCAAGGATTCTGTGCCAGCAGCAGATAAGGGAACAATTTTATTCGTTGACGTGATGGACAATTCATGATGAACAAAACTACCAGGTTAAGATAATGACTTATTTCAAAAGCTTGTTCAAGGTTTCCATGTTTGCAGGCTATGGTAGTAAAGATATAGAAGCTGTACTGAGAAGCAATATAATACATCCCTGTATAGAAGTCATGGTTTCAAGGCAACCACAAAAGTTGAAGAACCTCAAATATCATGCTACACTGTAGGATCCGAGACGGTTAATCTGTTCTTTCATCAACAGGTCAACATTGTAATAACATCTGCAATTCCTTGGGTGAGTTTGCCTCCTCAGAATGGCCTATTTGTCCCTAAGGTTTTACGTCTTACTTAGGACAGCAATGACGATAAGTTGGATATATAAAGTTGAACATTTCAGAGGTTTCGTTTAGATTTAGACTAAGTATATTCTCTGGAACGGTCATAAATATCTGCTACTCCTTTTTTTGTGTTTCTGGATTGGTGCCCAAGCCACAAAGTTAGGCCTAACTATACACCAGGAACATATAAATGTAGTGTTTGTCTAAATGTGGTCGCACAGCCCCCTTTGGTAGAATAAGCATAGATTACCTCACTGATTAGTCACAAAGGACTTCTTTGTAGCTTTTCCTGGTGAACCAACAAGTCATTTACCAGGATCTTGGAACTCATCAGGAATACTGAAACATAGCTTTTTGCAAGATCCAGGCTAAACTGTCATCTCTAGACTGCAACTCTTCTTTTATAGCTCCATGGAATATTTTCATAAATAACACTCCGATATTACATAATTACATATAAAAACACAAATCAAGCAAACTGTGTATTGCCGTTTGTAACAGTCTCCAATTTACTGCATGAACATTTAATAACTTTTTTTTTAATAAAAGCTAGAAGAGAGAACTATCCACTCTCTTTGGGAAATCTGATAAATAAAGATTAAGCCTGAATTCTGAATGGAATGTTCTATAAATAATTGAAGTGCTTGTGCCACTGAGTGCATCGAGTGGAAGGGATTCCTAATTGATGGGTCAATTCATGTAATGGTCTGTCTATTACTCTTTGTGTGGACATAACTCACCCCAGAATGTCCATCTTCTGGGTCCATGTTGTCTGTCTGGCAGAGGTTAACCTTGCAGAGACCTGAAGAGAGAATTAGAATATGTTAAATTATATCATGAAATAGATCAAGAATAGAATTTTAAAAAGGTATATATTGACTAGGTGCAGTGGTAGGCAACCTTCGGCACTCCAGATGTTGTAGACTACGGATTTCTTGATGCTTTGTCAGCATTATAGGAGTTGTTGTCCCCAGCATATGGAGTGCCAGATCGATTGCCTACCCCTGCAGAGGATTCAATAAGCTGTAGATCGTCAGGAACCCAACGTAAATTTTACATTTTAAGTACAAATAGCTTAACTGGAGACAAAGATGACTTTTCCAATTCAGACATTTTGGCGTAAAATTTAAACTCCCTGAATATCAGACAATTCACACTTTAATGAATTACCCTGACAGTACATAGGGAAGCGCCACCTCATGGCACATGCAAAATGTACAGAGTGTTAAAATTTCACAGTTATTTATTGAAACCTGAATCTTTTAGGAATTTTAAGGGACTTTCAAATTTTAGGGCAAAATGGGAAAACTGAAAAAAAAACCTGACTTGGAGAATGTGACATTCAAGATATTTAGTCCTAAAACTTTAATTTAACTATGGATTCACACTTTGGTGAGTAATTCTGCTAGGAGCGTTCAAAGTGTGGCTTTGTGTCTGCACTGCAATTTTGTTGCACAGATTAAATTGGCCAGTATTTTGTTACATAGCTGTATGTTTCATTGTGATGGGCCCTTTGAAGCGCAAGCCTTCATCTCATTTTGCTCAGATGTGTCTAAACTGGTCCTCAATTAATTGCGCATTGTGTCTGACACAGCGCAGTACCAAGGAGCGTGCACCAACGCAAAACTGTAGAGGACTAACGTTCACGGGTGGAGTAACCAGGGCTTCAAAAGGGCTCTAAGTCAGAGAAGATTATATCTGACCAAAGCAGGGGTCATTAGACACTAGAGGCCCAAACTATGCCCCTGGTAGTCATAGTATCACATGCTGGAGATTAGGCAGCAGAGGGGGAGATGTGATAAATGCGATAGAAGGGATGACTGAGTAAAATATCCAACAAGTTAATGACATGGGAGAATAGAGCACAGGGAGGAAAGGAATGTCAGGTATGCAAGCAGGCCCCCACCCCTACTGCCACCTTCTTTCCACCTCCTCTGGACAAGGGGAGGCAGCAAAGCCTCAGGGTGCGAACTCTTGGGACAATAACCACCCCCTCCCATTCTCCCTCAGACACTCAGCTAAATACCAGCTGCTGTGTCCGAGTAGGAGGGTAGAATTGGAATGTGCCGTCTGATCTTGGCTCCGTTACATGCTGCCCGTTTCATGCCCTCACATGCCAAGGCTGTGGTAACTGTTTTGACGCTGGGTTAACATTCATGAACTGAACATACAGCCCTGGCTGTAAATTAGTTATTGAAAACAACTGTCCCAAAACCTGATCTGATCATTTGGTGTATAAGTCCCAACAGGCCACATCCAGCTGAAGATAATGGGAGTTGCAGTGTAAAACACAGCGTTTTCTGACAGATTTCCAATCTATGCTTTAAACTGAGCAGGCTAAACCATAAAAGCATATAAAATGCCATAACTACCATGTTTACATTAAAAGTGCTGCCCTGCAGTATGTTTAATGTATAGGATGCAGGACTCCTCAATGATAACTTAGATTCAAATAGAAGGTTCTCAATGCGACATTCATAACTTCAGCAATGACCGTATTTTATTTTTGTTTAAATTAATTTTCATTCTAGAATTTTAAAACCTTTAAGCCTAAAATATCACAGGTCTAAACTTCCAATTAACCCCTAGCCACGATCATAACTACATGCCAAAATATTATCATGGTAAATATTTAGGAACAGGAAAAATCATGGGACAAAAATCTCTTTTGTGCGCTGTGCCTAAACAGCAGGGAAATGCAATATTTAATTATTTAAAATAGTAGCGAACATTAAACAGTTGGCTTGGAAGATGTAGACTGATTTGCTACGCATTTCTACAAATGAAATGACATCAACGGTCCTAGCTATTGAGGCAGCTGTCAGCAAGAAAAAGCATTGCATTAACAAATAATGCAAAGTCCAAATTTCAATTTAAAACAGATCAAGTCTAATAATTCGTATGAAGACTAAGGAGGTATTAATGCCTTGCCGCTACCTCTGTATTTTGTGTTGAAATTGGCATTTTTAGAAATTTCCTGTTTCGCCCCCAGAAGAAAATATTTGATGCTATAAAAATGTGCCAGTCGGACTACGAGTTGGAGTATCCCTTTAATTATAGGGAGAATCAAAAAACAAACAGAAACGGCTTGAATATTCTTCAAATTATGCCTCCACATTTACTCTGCAAAAATTATAAGTAGTACCCGCTTGTTTGAGTACCACTTTAAAGAAAAACAAACATTCAGACTTTTTTTAAAAATCTCTTTATACATTTTTTTTTTTTTTAGTTTAAATCCATTACCCCATATTTTGTCTTCTAGCTTCAAAGATCTGCTGTTTTTGTAAACGAAAAGCAGAAAAGGTTTTATTTTTTTCACGCTTGACGTGACTTGTGGAGAAAGTATCCACAGGTGCACCTCTCACACAGAAACAAGCACATTCTGTATTGAAGTGCCTTAAGTAGTAAAGCAGAACCTCTTAACGATTTGATATTTTGGACATAAATCTGAAGATGGATCTGAAATAAAGTGTTTTGCTCCATATATATATATATATATATATATATATATATATATTTATTTTATCAGTAATGACACTTGATGGGAGTTTTTTTTTTTTATAGCATCCGATTTAAAAAAATATATATATTTTTTTTTCACAATTATAGAGTTTATATTATGTGCATACCACGGATATTTTAGACTGTCTATTTCTTCAGCAGTGTAAGAAAAAAAATATGGGGGGAAGAGGGGGAGTGCACAGGAAAAGAAACAACATTCTAACTAAAAAGTGTGTTCTGGTAAGTATGCACAGGCACATCCACACATTGTTTGCACATACAAACATTTGCACATTTTGTGTACTTGAACACATGAATTTCCTGCTGAGAGAGAACAAGTATGGGAGTTATGCAGTGTACTAGGTGCAGATAAAAGCTGCAATAAGCAGGTATTTGCCCAGCCCCCGCCAGTCTCTCAATTGTAAACCCCTCTGACTGTGCCTTCCATGCCTCCCCTTCCCATTGGCAGACAGCCAGAGTTACTCACACACACTGTCCGCACAAACACAGCCAGCCGTGGCAACAATACATACACAAGTGTGATATTAAGGCTTTAGGAGGCGTGGGGGGAAGGGATACAAGCAGGGATTTAAAGTACCACTACTAGGCCCAAGAGCCAACACTGTACAATGCAATAGAAACAAAATAACAAAAACATCCCAACAAATTTTATTTTGGAAATGCAGGAAACATGAGAAAGTATATAATCAGAGTTAACCTCTGTCTCGGTTGTTTACTGAAGTGTTGTTTCTGTGAATTAAAAAATTTAGCCCGAAATAGCTAGATTAGAAAACACATCCAAGGCCAATGTTTTGAGTTACACTGGTACACTGTTTTTTCCACCCTTATTAGCTTCGAATTCACTCTGTATTAAAAAAATTAATTATAAAAAAAAGTAATTTTTTTTAAAAATCACTCTATAGTGAATAAGTCTTGATGGCAAGACGGAGGAACTAAGTTACTAAGTATATTTCTCTAACTAAGCTCGTTCATTGATTGCAAGCTTTTTTGAGCAAAGCCTTCTTCCACTGCTGTCTGTGTTAATATTTTTTATCAATTACTTGTTTTTCAAAAATCCCCATTTAAAAACTGTAAAACGCAGCAGAACATGTTGGTGCTATAGAAACGCCAATAATAATCGTTACTTCCCTCCCAGCCACTACCATATAAGCATCTTTTCGGGTTTTGCAAAGAAAGTAGTGGTGCTGCTTGGAAGGGACACTACAGGCACCCAGACCAATTCATCTCATTCAAGTTATCTGCGTGCGGAGTCTCTATACCATTAAACCTTGCAACTTAATACATTACAGTTCTAGAGAATCTGCAATGTTTACATTTACCGCTAACAGCAAGGCGCTTTTAAGTTTAACGCCGTGGAACAACTATGGACTTCCTCATGCTCTGCATGAAGACATCCAGCCTCTTGCAAGTTTCCATAGGAAAGCATTAAGGCAATGATTTCTTATGGGGAAGGCCTAATACACGCGCTGTGTTTGACGCGCATGTGCATCAGGTTCCTCTTCGTTGGAAGAGGGTGAGAGAGTGGCGCAGAGGTGCAGGAATCAGGTCAATGTTTTAAATGTTTGGGTTTTTTTTTTAACCCTTTCATTGCCATGGGATGAAGGGGGAGTACAGAGGGACACTAGTTTTAAGAATACAGCTTTGTATTTCTAAAATTGGTGCTCAAAAAGGATGGTTTTTGTTCAAGATGGCAGGGCGCGTGTGCAGTGGGAATATATGGCAACAGTGTTCCATAATTTGTCTGTCTACTGTATGGGTACACACGGTTGTCCTGAAATGTGAATGGTGTCAAATCCCAGCGCGCTAATGAGAGAATGTCCGCACAATCACGGAACAATGAATAATGGCATCACTAACATCTAGAGGTGCTGTGCAGATAAGTATGTTCTGTACTTCCCTCCGCTTCACTCCTCATCCGTGTAAATGTTTCAATACTGTTTCCTGGGGCGAGGGATTGACACACTGTCACTATGAGAGAAGGGACAGTTTCTCTTTAAGAAAATCATTTGCATGAGTCTTCCCAGAATCCTGTGCTGTTGTGAAATCTGTGATAAAACAGGTCCTACAAGCATATCTAACACGGATAGCTGTGGGCAACAATACTGCGTATCTTCTGTACTGTGCATAGCGTAGGGATGGGATAGATTTCACTGCATTCAAAAATTTGCAATTTTTTTCTCCTCTTTTGAAAATGAATATCCCTTTGCTAGGAACTTGTGGAAACACAAAAAGATATACTGGTGCATGAAACAGATAACAATGCAGAAATATTTATTTTCTGGCATCTGTGTTACATGGAGAAGCTATCTTTACCACAAACACATCCTCAAAGCTACATTTGTGGTATCTGTTCAAAAGCAGAACATCTCGACCTCTGCACTACTCGTCAGTAATGTGACCCAGCCCCTTCCAGTAAATGGCATTGGTAAACTGGCTAAGAAGAAACATATTGGGGTTTATTTATTGAACTGAGAAATAGGACACAAAAAAAAAAAATTAAAGGAGAATTTTCTTATTTAGTGCAGACTAACTGAATGGTCTCCATTTCATACAGGTTTTCCAGCACATATATTTTGGTCAAAAACGTTCAATTCCCAAATTATTTCTACGCAGTAAGTTGTGGTGAATTTATATTCAATGTCAAATTTAATCAGAACTAGTAAATATAGAGTAAATATAAGGATGTCTTTATTTTTTGTAAACACATTTAAAACAAAAGGAATATGGTCATTTCTGGGAATTTTTTATATTAATTTTACGTATCCTCTATGTTGCAAGAAACACCCTGGGTACCATAAAAATGTAACTGAAATGATTGTATCTGACAGACAGCATACAGAGGAAGTGAGAAAGCATTTAGGGCCACCCAATGTGTCCTATTATCTTCAGGGACGCGGTCCACGATGTAATAGAGCGACCGGGCCCCTTAAAAAAAATAAATAAAAAATACGGCTGTAACGCAATTGCTGCTGGGACTTCCTCCCAGCTTACTCCGCGCGGGAAGGAGAGACAGCCTGAAGGTCGAGAGGCGAGGCAGCCGTTGCCCATCATCCCCAGCCACCCTCCTGCAATGCAAAGGTAAGGAAGAGGAGTGTGGCTGAAAAGTTAATTGTGTGTGTGTGTATATGTTTATGTATGCATGTATGTATGTATGCATGTATGTATGTCAACCAGTATGTGTGTGTGTATGTATGTATGTATGTATGTATGTCAGTATGTGTATGGATGTATGTCTGTATGTATGTGTATGCCAGTATGTATGTATGTGTCAGTATGTATGTATATATGCCAGTATGTGTCTGTCAGTATGTATGTCTGGATGTATATGTGTGTGTGTGTGTGTCTGTATGTGTGTGCCAGTGTGCGTGTGTGTGAGAGAGAGATTTGGAGGCAGTTGAGCAGTTCTTGATTTCTCCATAAATCTTAAAAAGTTTACAATGCCAGGCGTGGCCGGCTGAGACATCAAACAGATGCAATGCTGTTGGGCTCTGATACAGCCCTGATAAAAAAAAAAAAAAAAAACACTAAAACCGAGTAAACTCACCTTTTTGAAGGCTACTTAGCACCCCTCCACCAGCCGACGCTATGGGGCAAAAAAATAAACGGAACCAGCTCCCGGAGACACACTAACTGCCCGATATCAGGCTCTCATTCAAAAGGCTGACACTCACCAAGATGGCGCCTGAGGCCCAGTGCAGGCCGGAGGCCTCGGAGGACTTAAATAAGGATGAGGAGCTCCCTGACTCACCTCGCCCAGGCGGAGTTTACCAATGCTCCGAATCAGATGATGACTCCTCACCGTCCACAAAGGGTGACATCAAGAGGCACCTAACTGATTTGCAGCAGGTGTGGAAGGCAGATCTCCAGCAGGCTTAAGTAGAGATAGGGAAGGTTCAGAGGACGGTACAGCCATTACAGGAGAGGGAGACCCTGAATGATGCCCAGCTAGGGGAGACTAAGGGACAGCTGGCAGAGCTTTCTAGCCAGATCCAGCAGCTGAAACAAACGGTGGTCTCCTTGGAAGCTAGACACCACTGCCGGAATATACGCATAAGGGACATACCCAAAGAGGTTGGAGGGGTGGAATTGCTCCCATTTGTACAGAGGCTGATTGCCTCAATGGGCCCCACAGGGAGTTCAGACACTCCATGTCATCTCGACATTCCGTGTCCGCAAGTCGGCTATAGAATCATTAGGGGTCTCCAGAGACATCATTACAGTCACCAGAGACATTATGGCAAGGTCTGCCATTCTAAACCATTCCAGAGACATAGGCACAGTGCACTTCGAGGGGTACACTGAAACACTATACAGTGATCTCCCATTCTCAGTTCTCCTGGAGAAGCCAAGAGACTCCATGACCTGTCCATTAGATAACGCTTGGGAGCGGATGGATACCTGATAGTTCCCCGTGGGAAGGAGACGCTTACCCTTACATCCAGCGAAGATACAGAACCATTCTTCAGGGCTTTAGACCTGCCAACCCTGACCAGGGCGGAAAAACAGCAGTCCAAAAGAAGGCATCACCTGAGGCCACTGAGCCCAGAGAGGGCAACTTGAGATCTAACATAAGACTGTCTGAGGGAACAATCCATAGGCTGTCCTTCAGGCCTTAAAGGGACCTCGGCATCAGAGCCATTCAATCTCTCTAGTCACCCGTTGCCATAGGTAAGCATCTGATGAGTTATGAAACACCGTTCTGAGCGAGTTGAGCGTGTTACTTGCTGAACTACACCCATACCCAGTATTTTGATGTCTATTCTGTGATATTCAGATAATGGAAAAGCTAAATGTATTAATGCTAATAAAATACAAATATGAAAAAAAATGTTTTTCAATGCGTTCCTCCCAAAATACACTGTACCGTACAGTGACAAGATCAGGGATTTCCCCTCTTATTAGCCCTGGCAAGTAGACATTTAGCCCTTGTTTAGTGTAACATGGACGCTCCTGGCTTGCATTGCTGAGTAGCTTTTAAAGCCTGCTATGTAGGACTTGATGTAGCCCTGCAATATTGTACTTTTACAATGTGTATGCATGTGAAGTTTGTATTCACATACATAGACACAAACTCTCTCTGCCCTGATACGCCAGGGTCTGCCACTGTCCACATTGCGTCAACGGCAGTGATGAATGGGTCCCAGCTCTCTGATTCAGTATGAGGGAAGACGCACACTATTCCTTGCTTTTTTTATCCGCTAAACATAGACTACTTTTAGCACATTCTCCAACAGAGCATCCCAGTGGTCCTTCTTTCATAAGTGCAGTACTAGCAGCCTGAGCAGACAAGTAGAGAGACAGGAGTCTGACAAACATGCAATCAGAGGTTCGTGGATTGAGGGATTGTAAGTCTTGTTATTTACAGAGATGTCCTACGTAAATGAAAAACTAGATATGAAAACAGGATCAGCCTGTTATAGAACAGAAATACCACGTAATAAATAATGCATTAAATACAAACTACAAACAAAAAGAAAACTTCCCAAACAAACCTCCGAGATGAGTCTCCAAATAAGCCAATGTGGTCAAAACAACTACTGGTCAAAACGAGCCCCATTTTACTCAATGCGGACAAAAAGAGTGACACTAAATTAGAAGACGTACTCATAATAACCAGGGTCGATCAACACCATTTATTTTATAAGACAGATAGATAAACCCCATGATTCACTATAGTTTATATACATTATATTTTATTCTGGTTTATCTGCTCCTTATACTTTGTTGTTTTATCTAGGCGCAACCTGTTTTCCTGCATATTTTGATGCTATTTCATTTTGTTAGGTCTATAGGGGCCCCTATACACAGTGTGTGCTTCCTTTGGTCTAAGTACGTTTCATATTTCCAATGATCTACTCTACATGATTTTAAAAACGTACATCTTTACTAATTTAAGCAAAGATCAGCTAATGGGTTAGTAGAAGGTACTTCATTCCGTCTGATTTCATCTTTTTAATTTAGACACGTTCTAGGCGTTGCTTCCTTCCAGAGAGATTTATGGAATCTGTTGACTAAATTAAGGTAACCGGTAATATTATGACTCAATAAAACCCAAATTAAAACCAATAAAACGTTCTAAGGAGACTTCATGCCCTTCGCATTTACGGAAATTGTCTAGTGACTATTTGTCTTTCATGAATGATTATTTTTTTAAGTAACTAAAAAGCTGCAGATCAGTCATTCAGTCTTACTAACCTAGGAATTGTGGAAAATTGGAAATTTTAGGCAAATTCTACGAATTTGGAAAAGGTTTACAACTCGGTCAAAATTTCCTCTTGAATTTTCTTCAATGTCAGCTAAACACAGATAGTAAATTAATTGTTAAACCAGTACATTTAAAACTACGTTTGAGTTCGAACATGAGAATACTCGGTTATAGTAATACAAATTTTTAGTGACAAGAAAGAAGGGGTTGCTCACTGAAGTGAGAATTCAAAGTGTATTTTAAATTGAGGGCGAAAGTCGTTGAATGGGAAGAATTACGTAGTTAAATACGTTTTCCAGTTCAGTTATATCAGCCTTAAATTTAAAATTCCATTTGAATTCACTTTGAACTTACCTAAGAGAATAATTCACAGTGTTCAATTGTCAGGAATTTCAGGTAAATTTCAACTCAAAGGCCAAAATGTATGCATTGAAAAAATATCCTGGTTACTTACGTTAGTTCATTTTATTTTGTGTATTTCCAACAATGAGGGGTCTAAACGCCGAATGGCAAGCATTATACAATCAATCAAGTAAAACCAAAAACTACTTACCCAAAGACAGCATACAGTACCCGACAGAGAATGCAGTCAAATTTAGCCATTTTTTTTAACCAATTTTTCTCTTCTATGCGGCTGCAATTTATTAGCTTTACTGACCATACGGACCAATAAAATACGACAAACCCAAAGTCGCACAATTTTAAATCACTTTAATGCTACCCTAAATCTCACTTCTCACTCGAAGGATATACCCCACTCTTAAATAATTCCCACACCTGGCTTTTACATTAAGGGTAGTTTTTTTAAAAACGGTTTGCTCCCTGTAGCTGGGAAATTCAGTTAGAATTGCAATTTCATGGAGATATTTTCAAATAGATCTCTCTGTAGCAATGAGATTATCACATTATCACAAACAGCAGGTATCCATTTGGGACAATTCCGTTAGTCTTCTGTTACAAATGCAGAAAGAGTCCAGGCACAGAGATTGCATCTTACTGCAGACGTTTTATTGGAATAAGAAGAACATGACAACCTTTCGGCTGATACGGACAGCCTTTTTCAATTTATACTTTCAAGTCATGCTTCTTGTTTGTTTGTTTGTAATTTAATTTCATTTATGTTTTTTTTTCTATTTTTTTGGATCCTTGGACAAAGTGGGTATACAAAGACATGCACTCAGCCAGATTCAGTAGGAAAAAAATGTCTATACAGTATATGAAATGTATAAACAAAGAGCTCATGTATACACACAGGGATTTAACTCGAACCCGAAATAGAAACTGCTGAAACACAAAGAGCATGTGAACGAGGCAAATCAACGAGACAGATTGACATTCTATACAACGTGGAACATGAATTTAAAACTGCAGACAAACAAACAAGGGAATTGCAAATGTCCAGATTGTCGATTTTGGTACCCAACATCCTCCGAATCATACGTGTGTGCTGCCATCCTAGGACTTCACAGACTAAATATTTGGTAGAATATTTGCTTGTGGTAGTAACAATTTAAGCCAGTAAAATGGCTGAGTGGTTAGTGCACCCACAGCAGTATCTCAAAAGCACAGGTCTGTTTCCCAACAAGGTCATCTCAGCCTTTCTGGTTGATAGAATTATAAATAAAACTAATAATAATAATAAAACATTGAGCTGGGAACTTGCACCGCGACAAACGTACTTTTAACTATTTTCAAATGATTCTAGATTACATTTTATTTTTATTCATATTACGACGTAACACCAATGAATGCCCAACATATCAACAATACAAATGGACATGCGGTGAAATTAACAGAAACCAATGAGCTATACTTATGTGACAGGCACAGATAAAATACCCAGAGGATTTTCACAAATTATGCTTAAAGTAAATTGACAGACTGACACACTAACCACTGTATGTACGTGGAACACACAGGCTGCCTTACAGACACTATGTGACACACAAACGCAAGAGCACAGTGAGTCACCAAGCAATGTCCACACTATGTGTGTGTTATTTCAGTGTCCCGTGCCCCTCCTGGTCTGACCCCCATCATGAATACACAGTCTGTGAGAGCACAAAACCCTCTCAGAGACTAAAGAGGAAAGGGAAAAAGGTAATTTAAGATGGCCAGGTTGCCAATCCACCCAGAGGCTGCTGGAACACCCAGGCCCTATATTACAGCCAGCTCACAAAACTACCATTCTATGACCCACGGAGGCTGCATGCCTCGTAACAGACTGACACTGTTACAGGGGCAACAACCACATTATTCGGTGGACGCCAATGGATGTACGAGACTGACAAAAACACAGCTATACTTCACAATTAGCTGAAAAAAGAAAACCTCATAGTTACTTTATAGCTAATACACTTAGGGAGAGAATGAACTATTACAATATTTTATTTTTATTTTATTTTTTTAAAGGCCATTATATTGAAAAACATTAATGTATCAAACTTTGACCACAAGTTAAATTATTGTAGAAGCTTTTAGATTCATGTTGAGTGCGAATTTCACAGAATTATAATGAACTGAATGTATTTTTTTTTTTTAAATGTCTGGTGCTTAAATCTGTGTCTCCTTTGGTTAGAAAGGCCATTCAGATTTTATCGGACTACACTGCTGTAAAGTAAACGGAAAGGTACTTAGTACAGTGCATCTCTCACATTAGCGAATACAAAGTCATAAAAAAGCTGAAGTCAATACGGACAGTAGTCACCCAGATATTTCCCAATTCCCGTCCCCACTATACCCGATAACATACAATACTTCATTCGAGCCTGGGCTTGAAGGCAAACTACTGCATGCCCCGCAGGAAAAAGCACACATACAACTGAAGGATGTGACCCACGAAGAGAGACTGAAAACACTCTCAGAACTCCTTCCAACCCAACGACACACGGGAATCCAACACATACAGTACAATCCACTGTCACACTTCACTCAAGCCAAGAAATTAATACCCCAATGAGCGAGACAACTCACGAAATTTGAGACACTATGTACCACACAACCACTCAAAATCAAGTTACTTGGTGGTGGCACCCTCAGGGCACTACATACTCGTTTTCCTGGCACTATAGTGGTCCTTTAATGTTACATAACTATGATTGTATGTTTTGGTTTTTTTTTAATTATTTATAAAAAAAAAAAAAGCTGAAGTCAAAAACACAGCAGAATTGGCACAATCTGTTCCGACTCAACTATTTTGGCCTGAAATTTTAAATTCACTTGGCGAAGTGACAATTCTAATATTTGATAAGAAGCCTTCTAGAAATGTTTAAAATATTTGTATTTAGAAAATTGGGTTTCCAACTCTCCACAATTTACTGTTTAGTGAATTCCTCCAATATCCATACTTTAGGCTTAGACAAACCCCCTACTTGTCTCAAAGACATTAATAAAAAAGTAAAATAAAATAAAAGCTTTAACCCCTTAAGGACACGACATGTGTGACATGTCATGATTCCCTTTTATTACAGAAGTTTGGTCGTTAAGGGGTTAAAGTAAGAATAGGCACTTTTATGTATGTGATTAGCTCATTTGATTAATGCACCAACATTAGAGCCTATTCAGACTTTAGTGTTATTGGCTCGTTCTTAGCAGAGTCAACTCAGACATTCATTCTATTAGATAAATAAAATTACATCTATTTCTAAGCGGACCAATATTTTTTTCCAGGTATTATACAATTATATACAATATAATCATGTATAAATCATTATGTTTGACGACAAATTGATCTGTCCAGCGTAGAACACTTTTCAAGTTGCTTCAAACCTGATCGATCTGGTTAAAACAAATCGAACGAAGTTCTATGCTGCAAAAATTGATTTATGTATTATATATATATATTGCTTGGAGTGTTCCTTTAAGGGTATCCTCTTAAACCAGGAGCTGGCTACAATATTTCAGCCAGTCCATGGTGTCCCTCTCCTTTCACTGTAAAAACAAATACTTGGACACTCCGCATTGATCTCTAACAGAAGTGAAATATAATGCCAGTACTAAAATATTTGTGACACCATCATCCCTCGTTCACCCAGGGAGCAAAATTTTTTTTTATTAATAAATGCCACTGGCACGAGCATTGTTCCAGTGACTAATGGCATTTAATAGCAATAATAACAGCACTATATTATGTGTTTTGGGTGCCATCTGCTTTTTTTTATCCTTTTGATATTTTTCACCTACCAGGCATCTGGCATTAGGCAAAAAATAATAATAATATATATATATATATATATATATATATATAGTTATATCAAAGTGATTGGCATGGTTGCATTTCAATTGCTTGAGGCATCTGTTTAACCATTTTGCGTGTGTTCTATATACAATAATGTTTTACATTGTAGTTCAAGTGCCCAGAGCATCTCGTTAATGTATCATTTTCTCTTTGGTTTACAAGTAGAATACTGTATTGCAGAGGTTTCCCATTACCTACTGGAGAGCAAAAATCAATACGTACAAGCAAGGAAAAAGGCTTTCTACATAAATAAATAAAGGCTTTTCTCTTTACATTCTATCGTCTGCTAAAACGAAGGAAGAATGTCTGGTTGGGGTGATTTAGCAGAAATAAGAGATTTAGAGACAAATAATGTCAATAATAATACAGCAAGTATCCCTATTGGGGTCTATTCACTAAACACAAATTGGAGAGAAAAGATAAGCCAAGCTCGGTTTTTAGGCAAAAACTGAATTTAACCAATTACCATAGATATATACACACACACACACACACACACACACACACACACAATTTCTGAAAGCACCAGTTCACAGCAGAGTAATTTACACAGAACAAGTGATGGGTTTAATATTTTTTGTCAATGCATCTGTCAAACAAATCTGTTCATGACTTTTCACCAAATTCTTTATGATCACGAACTAAATTTCAAATGACAAAACCGGTTGTGCATATATACTGGAGAATTTTTCCAGATCAGCTATTTTAGACTAGATTTTGCCATTCAGAATTCAATTGCCAACATTCAGATCTGTGATATATACCATGGTGTTTTATTTTCAGATTGCGTTTCTCAAAACTGCAAGCGCATGCATAGATTGTTTACATTCCCAATTTTAAGATTTTAGTTTAATGTATAGTAATTTTATTTAGCAAACCACTAGCAGGCTTTGCTGTGGATCTCAATGCCGAAATACAAGCACAGCCACTGCAGTGGATTGGTGAATTTAACAGCAAGTCCTCATAACAGTGTTTGTGGTATCACGTGAGGTATCACGTGAAGCAAGGTATGCAGTATGGTGAACATGGATGTCCACTCGGTTTGCAAATTATATCTGATGTAAAAGGCTAAAGGGCCAGTTCAGACAATATGTCGGTTACAATGAGATCGATGTGGTGTCCAGGGGAGAATAGGCAACTTTTTGCATGAGGGGCAGATCCAAACAAAGGGACTTTTTTTTGGCACATGAAAGTCACAGGTGTCCACATGGGCTGCTGGTGTTGCAAGGTGTGCCATCGTATATCCCCTCAACAGTATGAAGAAGCATTCAAAGATCTGTGCGTGTTTGAGAGACGCAGACTCTGTTTTCACGGACTGTTCCAACCACTGACATAATAAATGTCTCATTTCACCCTGTGGTCAATGAGAAAACACCTCGGGAACGTCATAAAAACTCACTGTATTCTGGCAAGTTGGTCTGCCTTAGATAATAGTCTACTGGGAAATAACCCAACAGGTCCACCCAGGTCTGGAGAGCACTGAACGTACAGGACACCAGCCATTCACAAACCCACACAGTGCCAGCCTCGAACGATTCCTACCTGCTGTCTGACTTCTGCAGAACTGTGCAAACAGGCTTTTCAACATCTCCCACTATTTTCATTTTCAGAAGAATAGTTTGAGTATGCATCATACAGCCCCCTGTTTGCCAGCTCCTCCCATGAGTGTTATTTTTATCTCTATGTGCCCATCATTCATTCCCTTTTCCAGGCCATACTTCAGTCTTTGCTCCGAATATACTGCAGCACACGTCATGACGGGTTCTACAACAGAATTACACTACCGCTCCCAGAATCCTTTGCTGTGCCCACAGACCACTGCTTACAGGATAAGCACAGCACTGCTATAGATAATTAACATCAGTCACTTTCTGCAGGAGCTCATTGCAAATCCTGGGCAGGAATTTCAAATGTGTCTATTTTATTACTTTTAATTTAGTCCTTTTGCATACGTTTTAATTTACACTCTGCATAATGCATTAAAAAAAAAAAAGACTGAGCAAATAACAAAAAAAAAAAAAAAAAAATTGTTTTCAAAGAGTTTAGAATTAGAGCAGAGAAGTATTACCATACTATATGTTTTATACAATGTTCTTGTTCACGTTCTTGCTTTGTCATGAGACATGTATCTTTGTTCATACTGATCAAAATGGTTTGCCGCGTGGTATCTGTTTATGACTAAGCTTCCTTGTAGCAGTAAGCAATCTGGCAATGAAAAAACTTTATATCCTTAATTGTAAATCGAAAAGCTACAGTTTCAAGAAAAGGTGACATATTAAAGTATCACTAGTGTTAAAACCGCCATCTAGCCCCCATACCTCCATAAATATAGCTAAATCTTACTGTATACCAGCCAGGAGCTGTAGATCTGCATGCTGTTTGCCTCAAAAAAAAACAAGCAGTCTGCTGACATCATCAGAAGTGATAGCCTGAGCCAATCACAATGCTTCCCCATAGGATTGGCTGAGACTGACAAAGAGGCAGATCAGGGGCAGAGCCAGCATGATTCAAACACAGCCCTGGCCAATCAGCATCTCCTCATAGAGATGAATTGAATCAATGAATCTCTATGAGGAAAGTTCAGTGTCTGCATGCAGAGGGAGGAGACACTGAATGTTTGGATGCATTTTAGGCAGCCATGACCCAGGAAGGATCTCTAACAGCCATCTGAGGAGTGGCCAGTGAAGTTATCACTAGGCTGTAATGTAAACACTGCATTTTCTCTGAAAAGACAGTGTTTACAGCAAAAAGCCTGAAGGTAATGATTCTACTCACCAGAACAAATTCAATAAGCTGTAGTTGTTCTGGTGACTATAGTGTCCCTTTAAGGCATTTCTTCATGTTGTGGTGATCGACTTGGTCGCAATCCGCCAGAGCTTTGTTTTTTATAGTTAAATAAGAACAAAAACAGAAAACCAATAAGTTTAGAAAGTAATTTATGTAACATAAAACATAGGAGCGGGGCTGTGTTTGTAGCAGTGTTATTCAATTTCTTTGGCAGTGTATTGTCATTGGATGTGAAATGCACGTCAGATGTGATCAGCATCCGTTTGCATTGAGTGGGCAACGAACCATGTATAACAATGAAAGTAGTAACCGTGTAATCAGCGTTACATGTCATAATGCCGTTTTATACTGAATGTCATGAGAATTTAACTACTTTACTACATTTTATAAATTTGCTCTAGATATGTATTTCTAATAGTAGTATGCTCTTTATATCCATGTTGTTTTGATTGTTCTGCAACCCATGAATCTATATATGTTGGTCTTTCCCTTTATCCCTCCTCTCCCTCCCTTCAGACTTTTTCAAAGTCAATAACTATTTATAATTACAGGTCCACTGAACATCCCTGCCCCCCAAGAACAGTAGCAAGATTTCTTTAAAAAAAAAAAAAAAAAATGGGGGACTATAACAACTTCATCGGAATGAAATAGTTATGGTGTTAAGAGGTCCCTGGTGCTGGCTTACCTTTAGCCCCGTGTAGCTCTGCCCCTCCCCTTCTGCTTTTGCCCAAGACTTGAATCAGGAAGTCTTAGCTTGGAGCTTCAGCTAACACGCTAACACAAATCAGTGGCTCCACATCCACAAAAACGGCTTGAAAAGCTCACGTATTGTTCTCCAGCCATTTTGTAAATACAGAGCTACTGATTGGCTTAGGGCATCAGTTGAGGCTCTTAGCCAATCAGCGACGGTCCTGTCCAAAGATTCCTGATTCAAGCTTCGAACAAAGTGGAAGGAGAGAGGCAGAACTAAACAATGCTAAATTCAGATTTTTATGGTTAAACCACTTGTTAACGATGAAGTTGTTATGGTGCCACGAGGTTCCCTTTAACCTGGTACTCCCTACTAGCACTTACCTGCAAAGACAGCATGATTAAATGCCTAGCAGTTCTATAAGTCAAGCAGGCTGTCTGGCAGCCGGACTATGCTTTGGGAGTTTTTTTCGTTGTAATCCTTTCAACAATTCCTCGATAACATTCGCACTGTGACCATTTCTGCAATTACCCAAACATCACAAATCTTTCATATTTTATTGCATTACTCAAAAGCACTTAACAAGTGTAATTTAACTTAGAAAATGGTTTCGCTGCTTATGTTTCCTTTTTAAATGAATTTAAAAAAATCACTTCACTTCTTAGATTCTCAAATAGGCTTTATCTGTTTAACATCATGTTTCTTTTAGATAGTAATCCAGAATGGAGGAGACAATTGTCCTGCGGATTCTAAACCTAGCCTGCAGTCATAATGCTTGCAGTCAACCGAACGTAACCCTCTGCAGTGCCACGTAAGCAACCGCTATTGTCAGATATCAGAAGGTACAGCCACAGGTCATCTGTTGCTGTGAAGTTGTCTACTGTACTGAATGAACTAAATAATTAATTGATCTGCTTTAATTAAGTTGTTGAATTTTATTTTTTTTTCCAAAAGTTAAAAGGATACTATAGCATTGCATAAATCTGTATTCCTAACACTATAGCTCCCTCATGCATCTCCTTCTCTCTTGCCCCCACGGCCAACAAAGGGTGAAACACCCTTTATTTACTTACCAGATCCCAGCGCCACTGTCCCTCAGCACTGGGTCAGCACTCCGCCTCCTACCATGACTTTCGATGGGGGGACCTAATGTGCATGCGCGGCAAACACATAAAGCCCTTCCCATAGGAAAGTTGTGAATCAATGCTTTCCTATGGGGATTTCACTGATGCTGAATGTCCTTGTGCAGAGCATGAGGATGTCCAGCGTCAGTTAGGAGACCTTAAGATGCCTAGCAAGCAGGAAGCACCTCTCGTGGCTGAGCTGAAGTGGTCTGGATGCCTTAAGTGTCCATTTAACATACCAGCAAAAACAAGTGCATTTTTTTTTTTTCAAGAACGTGTTAATTCCCCATTAGTCCTTTATGATAATATTATGGAAAGATATATCATTACCTCCAAAAGATGCCTTGCAATTCGGTTAAATCACCAATGAACATTCAGGTGAAAAAAGTATACAAAAAGCTAAAAATGCTGATGCTAAAAAATAAATGATATATTAGAGCAAAACTTTCCTGCAATTTCATGAATGCACAAAAAAAATAATAAAAAAAATAAGATTTTAGAGGTTGAACTTGAAGGAAATTTGACAGAAGGCATTCAAGATGACCCCCTGGTATTTGGGTACCCGTTGCTACGTTAACTCAAGGTTACTATGGAGGATGAAGGAGCCATGGTAACCCAATTCAAACAAGAATGTTCGTAGCAAGCAAAATCCCAAAGTGGAAAAAGTCTATGATGGATTGCCATAGAATATAAATTTTATTTAGTGTCTGAACTTTAGAGGGGGCACGACCTTATGCCACCTGTTAGCACTGAAGGCAAACCCCAACAGGTTATACAACATACAAAAATAGAAAAAAAAAATGATCACTGCAAGTTATCTGTCCAACAAAGGGAAATTGATACTGCAATAAAGTTTTACGGACAGGTTTACGGGCTGTACTCGTAAATATATTTTAAAAAGCCAGGTTCAAAATAAGCTTTGAGAGAATATTGTCTCCCTTGGTAAAATGTAAATTGCCTAAAACTAGCTGTGTGAATCATCCCCAAATTAAAGTTAATAAACATGTACATTTCTTTCTTTCATTTTCCTGCCCCCTGAACTCCATCAATTACAGCTCTCTCATAAAAAGTAAATCATGTAATGTTAAACCATTAGTTTATTTCCTGTTAGCTTTTCCATTACAAGAATTCGCTTAGCCCTGTTTATACAAATCGATAAATGCATATCGTGGAAAGACATGAACTTATTACAAGGACACTGCTGGCTAGAGTCTGTAACATGTTAATCACTTATTTAGTCGATTCTATTGAAAACACATCAACAATTAAAAAAATCACATAAAGACAAATAAGATACTGACATTTTACTTTTGTGTCTGCTTTCCTGCAGTGAACTCCTATCAGACCAGGAAATGCTGAAATAAGCTCAGCCAATCCTGGCCCACCTATATTTTGTAAATGGGAACATTATGCACACTTATTTTGTTTCAAAGTGTTTGCAGTTAAAGTTTCAGTTTTCTATTGAATCCGGTCTGTCATTAGCTTAATACATTGTGGCAAAACAAAAACAAACAAAAGAAAAACACAAACACCAAAAACAAATCTATTCAAGCAAGACAAAAAACCTACTGCAACAAATGTCCCCTTCCGCTTCTACTTCTAATGGGAAAATGGCACTAAAAGCAGGTGAAATAATAATCGCTAGGGATCGACCGATATTGATTTTTTAGAGCCGATACCGATACCGATATTCTGTGAACTTTCAGGCCGATAGCCGATATAATTTGCCGATATTCTGTACATTTACCATTTTGGAAAATAAAAACTATTTCTAAAGGTAAATGCACAAAATATACATGCCACGTGTAGTGGATGCAGTGTGACAGGGGAGCTGTGTGTGTGTGTAGTGGATGCAGTGTGTGTCTTTGTGTAGTGTGCAGTGTGTGTCTTTGTGTAGTGTGTGTGTAGTGGATGCAGTGTGTGTCTTTGTGTAGTGTGTGTGTAGTGGATGCAGTGTGTGTCTTTGTGTAGTGTGTGTGTAGTGGATGCAGTGTGTGTTTGTGTAGTGTGTGGGTTGTGGATGCAGTGTGTGTTTGTGTAGTGTGTGGGTTGTGGATGCAGTGTGTGTTTGTGTAGTGTGTGTGGAGGATGCAATGTGTGTTTGTGTAGTGGATGCAGTGTGTATTTGTTTAGTGTGTGTAGTGGATGCAGTGTGTATTAGTGTAGTGTGTATATAATGAAAGCAGAGTGTTTGTGTAGTGTGTGGGTAGTGTGCGTAAAGTGAATGCTGTATATACTAAATGCAAAGTGTGTGTGTATATAATGAATGCAGAGTGTGTGTGTGTGTGTATTTGTGTAGTGTGTGTATAGTGAATGTAGTGTGTGTTTGTGTAGTGTGCATTATATAAACACACTACGCAAATACACTGCATTATATACACACACTATGCAAACACACTGCATTATATACACACACTACACACACAAACACTGCATTATATAAACACTACACAAACACACACACTGCATTATATACACACACTGCACAAACACACACTGCATTATATACACACACTACACAAATACACTGCATTATATACACACACTACACAAATACACTGCATTATATACACACACTACACAAATACACTGCATTATATACACACACTACACAAATACACTGCATTATATACACACACTACACAAATACACTGCATTATATACACACACTACACAAATACACTGCATTATATACACACACTACACAAATACACTGCATTATATACACACACTACACAAACACACACTGCATTATATACACAGTGTGTTTGTATAGTGTGTGTATATAATGCAGTTTGTGTGTGTTTGTATAGTGTGTGTATATAATGCAGTGTATTTGTGTGCATTGTATACAAACACACACTATACAAACACACACTGCATTATATACACAGTGTGTTTGTGTAGTGTATGTGTATATAATGGAGTGTGTGTGTGAGGGGGGGCATTTTTTATTAAAACATTTTTTTAATATTTAATTATTTTTGTTGTCCCCCCTCCCTGCTTGTTACCTGGCCAGGGAGGGGGGATATGACAGTCCCTGGTGGTCCAGTGGTATTGGCTGAGCTCTGGGGGGGGAGCAGGCATCAAGCGCTTACTCACCTCCCAGCAGCTCCTCCAGCTCCCCAGTGTAACTCTCGCGGCCAGCGTGTCGCGCGGAGCGTTGCCATGGTGATCCATGGCAACGCTCTGACGGCCGCGGGTCTCGCGAGAGTTGCACTGGGGAGCTGGAGGAGCTGCTGGGAGGTGAGTAAGCGCTTGCTCTCCGCCCCCCCCCAGGACCGCTGGGCTTGTAATGAGCCTGGCGGTCCTAGGAGGTATTATCGGCAATATCGGTATCTGAATTGGCCGATACCGATATTGCCGAAAATACCGAATATCGGCCGATTATATCGGTAAAACCGATAATCGGTCGATCCCTAATAATCGCTATAAAAACTTTAATTAAGAGATGTATTCACAAAACACAATTAAAGGAACATTCCATTACCCAAATACAGAATAAATAAAATTCACTGTTTAGCAGATATAGCCCAAATGAAAACATGCATGCATTTAATTATGTAATTTTTCATCTAAAAAGGCTTGCAAAACCTGCAGATCTCTTGTCTGTTGCCTTTACAAGCCCTCCCCTTCTAGCCCCGCCCAGACTTTATGTGGCTGGCCAATCACAGACTTCCTAATGCAGCTCAATGAGAAGTCTTTGCAAGGCAGGTTCTCTGGGCAATTGCTGCCTCTTGAATTTAGTTCCATCGAACTGTACAAACCAGGAAGTTTTGCAAAACAAAAAGAGGACAGACACTTCATGCATAAAGTTATTTAAGAAGCTAAAGTACTACAGGGGTCCATAATGTCCCTTTAAACCAAATTAAAACTTTGATTTGGATAAAATGAATAACAAAATATTACAGTAGTTTAATAAGGATTTAAATCTCCATATTTAGTTTTAAAAGTAAAGATGCAAGTCACTTCCCAGGATTGTTAGTATGATGTTACTTATCACTATGTTTAACAAATATGAATTTGTGAAGTGTGAAACATAAAATGAAAAGAACAAACCCACATCTCTTTATCCTGCAATCCTGTGACACTTCCCCTTTAAGAAGTATTATAGAATCGCAAATCCAGTTCAGAGTGTCATGCGAACATTTTATTTTAAAAGGACAATCTATACACCATAACTTCCACAGTTTATTGTAGTGGTTGTGGTGCAAACAGTATTTGGGTGCCTTCCTTTAAGCTGTAGTCAAACTGTTTTCAAGTGGCTTGACAAAAACAGGCCTCTTTTTGTATACAAAGTCTGCTACCTCTGCTCCTGCCAACATAACCTTGATAAGTGCTTCCAGACAATCATTCACAAAATTTGTACAGAAAATGAGGAAGAGAAAATTGTGCATTATCTAGGCAGCATCAGAAGTGTGGATTTTGGGAGCTATAAAAGCCAAAGGTCTTGTCTATAAAATAGTTTAACAAAAAACAGAGGGGTTGCGCACCCAACGCCTTTTGCACCATAACCACTCTTTACCTTTTGAATTAGTCTGTTTATATCATACTGTCTTTTTAAACCACTTTTACAGCACTGTAGAATATGTTGGTGCGTTATAAATGCCAGTGTGAAAATAAGTTGTAGTTATGGTACTTTGTGTCCTTTTAAACTTTTTTTGAAAAAGAGCATTAGCAGCATCATTATCATATTCCGAAGGAAAAAAAAGAAAAAAGAAATTAAAAAAAAGAGAAAAAAGTTGGAAAATCAGCTGAAATACAGGTTGTTTCAGGGTTTTTTTTTTTGTTTTCAGCTCACTGTGTAGTGAATAACCCCTTGTGAGTTTGAACAGGAATATTTCGGTATGTGCGGAGGAGTTTTAGATATCTTGTAAAAATGTACAAGAATTGTTTAAATTAACTATTTGATGAGTTTGTTCATTTCCTGAATTTCTCGTTTGTTGAACTGCATTTCATACGTCTGTGCAACATTCGGGGATATGGGCTTTTCAGACCAGCCTTCTCGTTGCGAGCTTAGAAATGTGAATATCATACAAATGCACACACATTCACTCCAAAGTTAAGAAACAAAACAAAACAATATTCTTTGTACGATGCATAACTGTATGTGATTAAATAGGGAAAACTATTTTGCTGAGAAAATATAATGCAAAAAAAATAAATAAATAAAATGGTAAAAAAAAATTGGATTTTTAAAAAATATTTCTGTATTATTCCATTATTATGGGCTGGCGTGCATCCCCCCCACCCACTTCTCTCTTTTAAAACTCAGTTTGACCACCTTCTAGTACAGAAAGTATTTTACAAAAGTAAATAAATAAAAAGTTTAAAAACAACGAGATTTCCAATTTGAAGCATGCTGGGAAAAAAATATGCACTTAGCACAAGGAAATGTGAAAAAAAAATTAAAAAAATGTTTTTTTGTTTGTTTTTTAGGTGGAATGCTACATATTGACCAATATTGTCATTCGGTGGTGCCCAAGATGTTATGGGACTACAATTCCCATGATGCATTGACACTTTTTTCAAAGAGCGCCTTTTTAAGTCTCTAAGCAGCACTCAGTGGGTTAATGAGAGATGTGCCGTAAATTAATGCACAGAGTAGAAATGCTGCATGACAGCATGCTTTAACTCCAAACAGCACAGCCAAATGTTTCCAGGCGCACACAGGCAATAAGAAAACCAAGGGGTTAAGAAGAGAAAAGTCAAGCGGATGTGAGAGATTGTCAGTCTACAGCTAATGAACAGGGGCCTGTTCATGTCAGACACAGGTGTGCAGCACACACACATGACAACAGTAGTGTAGACTTGCAGGACTGTAGAGGCAGGCATGTGTTGCACACAGAAAAGGCTAACATTCTCCCACCGCACCGCATTACATGCTGCTTCCTCTGCTCTCAATGTTGGGAAAATAATTACCCTCTGTACGGAAAATATGACCACCTGTGAATGGGAGGCAGTGTTTAAATATCATGTTGTGACTACACTGCAAAATGAACAGAGAATTTACTGATTCAGAAAAGGCCAGGGTCCCAAGAACCCATGAGCCCCCCAATATATTAAATTACACAGGGATTACGTCCCTACGCCAACAGATTGTCATCTCAACACATTCATTGGTTCCTGAGAGACAAGTCCTCAATGGGCACCAACAGTGCCCCACAGATGTTGAGTGGAGTACTGATGTTCAACTGAAAGGCTTACACAGCCCGGGTATACTCAGGACACGAATGGCACACAACTGACAGTGTACAGCACAGCGAAAATACAGCAGCAGAGTATATAGCCAGCATCAAGGATCTTAACCAAACATTAATGGCACACAATTGACACCACTGTCTGACTGTGGGGTCAGACATCTTGACACACCAAAATGACGGCAGCCAGTTTTGTCTGTATGCCTGGAGGGCGATTTGCCTCACTATATATTATATAGTTTGAATAAGCACCTACGACCACTGGATGATTCTGTCCGATACACAAGCTTTGTCATAGTTAAAACCCTGGGCATCCTAAGCCATTACCGAAACGAACACATCAAACTGGCTTCCAATTAGACAAAACGTTGCAACGTTTGCAAATTGCAGGTATATTCTGAAAACTGGCAACACACAAAAAAAATGTGACGTTTAGGCCAAAACAGGCGAGCTAGTAAACTGTGCTATTTATGTCTAAAATTTGCAGCTCTCTGATTAATCTGCAATTAACAAATAACTGTTTAGGTAGTTTTACCATTGGGTACAGCTAAAAACAACAAATGATGTGGTTGAAATTGTTTGACAAACATTTCAATAAAACATGATCTTCCCCAGAGCAGTCAGAATGTATACAGTTTGTATTATTGTATTGTAACAGTGTATTCGAGATGTCATATAGAAGAAATGAGGACGGCTTATGCAAAAAGAACACTAAAGCACGCTCTAAGCCAAATGAAAAAAAAACAATAAAACACCTACACAAACTGGCTGATCGAATATAAAGGAAAAGAGATAAGAGACGCTTACATATTATACAATGTCTTCCGCCATTTATTAAAGGACCACTACAGGCACCCAGACCACTTGAGCTTAACGAAGTGGTCTGGGTGCCAGGTCCAGCTAGGGTTAACCCTTTCTGCTGTAAACATAGCAGTTTAAATGGGTTAATCCAGCCTCTAGCGGCTGTCTCTAAGATGATTTGGGAGGAAAGGTAGCTTCTTAAACATGATACTACCAGAACCCTCAAACTATTAAAGGAACTACAGAGTACCCCAGCTTGCTTGCTTATCTATGTAGAGTGCATCCGCTCTTTTATTTTATAAAAGTTCTGAATTGAACAGAAATTGACACTTTTGTAAATAAGCCCCGTTATAGCTCTCCGGTTTTCGGTTAGACAGTCAGATGGTGTTTATGCTGACTAAATCCCAACTATATGTATCCCTTCCCAGGCCCTCCCAATCCCTACAACATTTAGTATCCCCACAAGCAGTGGTGCCAGTCCTGTTGGGTCTTCTTTCATGGGGACGTGCTCTTTGGGTTTCCATGATGGCAACAGTAGGAAACCGTAGCCTTCGTCCTTCCTAGGGTTTGCCCGTGAAATCACGAACATGCCCAGAACAACGAGAGTCCACACAGACAGCTGAGGACACAAAGCTGCCAGAAGGGACATAGCGCTGGAAGGACATAAGAATTGTATCTTATTCTATAGCTCCACCCTTAAGCAACCTACAAATTATACACAAGGAAAGTGGCAGAGCCGCTTTAAAATCAAAAGGCACCTTTCGTTAATGAATTTTAATAGAAGTCTCTGGTTATTTCCTGGCATCAATGAGAAAGCCTGTGCCAAGAATGACAGAGAGGGCTTGCAATAGCTGCACATACTATATCTACATCTATTGCAAATCATGATTTAATACAGAAGTAAAAAAACACGCAAAAACAAATTAAATTAGTGTTTTCTTTCCATGTATAGATCTACGATACTGTTGAAAAATATTCATGGTGTGTTAGTATACAGGTCATACAGGAGTCCTTATAAAAAGACAATCTAATAGAGGGTTAAACATCAGGTAGCTCTGCGTTTGCTGTGGGACTACTTCTCCCATGATGCTTTCCCACACCACGGTTTAACATAAGGTCTCTCTGGCCAACAGAAAATGTAACCGAAACCTCATTCCACATAGAAGGCACAGATATCTCATAACGCCATCTTGTCTGCATCGCGTCACTGGCCTTGATATCCCCAAATAATTAACATCCTGCATACATGCCAGCACTAAAGCATAACAGAAATCTCTGGTTGTGGATAATGGGACTTGAAATCCTGTTCAGAATGAGAGCTTTACATTTACAAACGCTGGTCTTATCGCACACAGCCACACTAATGTACATGGTTAACGGAACAAATTTACTGTATAAATGTACTCATAGCATTAACATTGTATATGTTTTAAAACGCAAATAATTTACTTCTCTGGGCTCAGACAGACCAGACTGTCTCTAAAACGGAGCTTAACAACTGCTATTATGCTGTAACTCTTTCAAAACCACCGCCTAGGCCAGGCATCTAAACCTCTGGTTAAAAATGGGTTAAGCAAGCAGACTTTTGAAGAAACTAACCAAAAAAGAAAAAAAGAGTCACAGATTTCACAATGTCTCGCTGTCAAGCTGCTAGTTATAATGCCCAGGAAACGACAAACCTTTTCAGTGAGAATAGGAAGTAGCCCCACAGCTCTTTTTATAGTGCAAGTCACAATATGCTATTTTTCAAGCAGAAAAACACTTGAGTTTCAGGAGAGCTTTAGATGCTTCAAACTGCTGGTGTAAGCATCCAAGGTGAAGACTATAAACATAAAAGACATACATAAAACAGGGCCAAGTCATATCTGTATTTCGCAAATACCGCCAGAGCAGAACCGAAAAACAAGGCCTACTTACAGCAAGTTCAAGGCTCAATTAGCAAAATCAGGCTATTGGCATCTCTTTCTGAAGACGTGGGATATAGTGTTAACAGTTAATGTCAAACTGACTAAATACAGATTTTTATTGAAAAGCTAATTTATGCCTACCTACAAACTTACGCTGGAGGTGAATGGATGACGAAGTACAGAGGTTTACAATACACTAGGCATGATCTGTGAATATAACACTAGTCACGTTTATTCGCTAAACTCAGAACTATAGCGATAAGAAATCCAAATAGCCAGATTCAGGCAAACAGTTCATTTTAAGAAATTCTTCAACTCATCGCCTGATTTGAAGTAGTCATGGTGCCTAGAGTCTGAATGTGCCTAGAGTCTGAATGTGCAGAGTTGCTCTACACTGCACATTTAGAGTTTAACTCCTTTGCTGCCAGAGGTGCAACTACAACTGGGGCTGCGTCATTAAGGCATAATTAGCCAGCCAGAGTTCAAGGCTGGCTAAAGTCAATTACATGCATATTTCTATGCACGGTCGCATTGTTTCGCTGAGAGCTGTCAGCTCACGCCCCAACACATGGCAAACCCAGGTAAGGGGGGGGGCCAAAACCGACCAGGGTCTTAGAATCATAACCACTACAGCACTTGTAGTGGTTATGGTGTTTGGAGAACCCTTTAAATTTTGCAAACTGGATTTCAATTCACTACCATTCAGAGTTTAGTGACTACATTTAGCAGTGCAGACTTTATAAAATACTATGAGTCAATAAGACAAGGTACCAAAATATTGATGATGGCAAATATTTTATTGTTTATTTTACAGACTGTAAAAAAATCACTTCTGCTTCTAAATATAGTCCGCAAACTTGGCACTCTATGTTTGTGAACTACATGCCCTATAAATGTAGGCTAGATGAGAATCATGGGAAATGTAGTATGACACATCTGGGTTGACAAAGCCATCACCGACACATGCTGTCTAGCAGCTGAAATACAAACAGAGCCTTTACGAAGCCCGTCATCCTGTTTGCACGCTGTGTATATTCACCACAAAGGGTGTGAGAGATAGTGAAACTGGAATTAAAACAGTTTTATGTTAATATCCTCATGCAATACACTCATGTAAAGTGCTGAAACATTCCCATAAAATTAGTAATAGGATTGCTAGCTCTTGGTGTCAGCATTGAAGATTAACTTGATGTTTTAATCATCAAGTGTTATTTATTTATGACATAACTAACCAGGCTGATTTTCACAACTAACTGTAATACACCAATTCAGAGATAGCTACATAAAAGGGTTAATGTTATTGTCTAGTTATTTAGGACAATGGAAACCAGCTGGGAACACTCTGGGTTCCAAGGGACATTGAAGGAACCGGAAGAAACCGGGGAAGGCACAGGGTTCACAGACTTGCAAGGACTGAGAAGAGGAGAGGAGAGAGGGGAGGAGGTGAGAGGAGACATATGTAAGGGTAGGAATGGAAGGCATGAGAAAAGTTAAAGTGCCGGGGCATTAACAGAGGATGTGAGTGATACAGGCGGTACAAGTGGACCAATGGAGCTGAGTGACAGATCACAGGGGAGTGCAGCATTAGCAACAAGTTAAAAGGACACTGACAAGGGAAAAGCTGCAGATTCAAAATGATAAGTACAGCTAGCAAGAGACACAAGCAGGGCCAGTCTTGACAACAGGTAAAAGAACAAACCTCAAGCACCATAACCACTACGGTTACAGGGCCAGGAGTACTCTCATTAAAATCTATCAAACCAATTTAGTATTGTTTTGACAACTTATCTGGGTCCCCTGCATCATGTTTTCTCCTCCAGGAGAAGCCAGCTATCTGTACTGTTCAGTATGGCCAATTCAGGCCTTGTTTGGCCAATGCGCTCAGTCCTGCGTAATGAAGCTTAGGCAAGTATAGTTAACTGGATTCTCCTACATGAGGATCATGGATGTAGGGTGTGTGTCTCATGGCACCTGAGGGATCCCAGGTAGGTTGTTAAATCGTACTAAAATTTAGTTTTTTTTATATGACAGTGGGACAGCACTAGGGAACTCATGGCACCATAACCACTACAGAAGGCAGTTATAGTGTTAAAGAGTGTTTCTATAATCCTAATCAGGAAGTGAGGTACGTGGAACATGATGCCACCATTGTGGACCAACTTTGACAGCATTAAGAGTAATCTCTGATGGTTAGGATCAGAGCCCTGGTGCCAATGCCCAAACAAAAGGGCTGTGCCAAGAAGATAATAGTAAAGGGACAGAGTTAGAGGGCAGGACCAAGAGAGTGGAAAAAAATGAAAGAGTTAAAAACAGTGTCAAGTCGAGAGGAATGAAGGGATAGTGTTAGACATCATGCCAAATGGGCCAGAATGAAGGGATAGTATTAGAGAAACGAATGGAAAGAGTTGGAGACGCTGCCAAGTGGGCAGGAATGAAGAGAGAGAATTAGAGGTGCTGCCAGGTGGAGAGGAATGTAGGGGTAGATTTGGAATCTGTGCAAAGAAAGCAGTAAAGAGAGAGTGTCAGGCGGAGTGCCAACGGAATCTAAAGATCAGTAAGAGTGTTAGGGGCAGCTCAAAGAAGATACTGTATAACTGGCTATGTCACAAGATCTACAAAGAATGGACAGCTTTAGAGGCAATACCAATGAGGGTAAAAAGGGTCAGGGCCAGTCGGAGCTGGACTTATACCTGAAGTATAGGCACAGAATTGTCAGGAGCCAATGGATACCCCCAAAAATCTTGTTCTCAGCTGCTTGCTCATTGATTTGAAGGGCACTCACAAAATCAGGAAAAAAGGCTCTTACTCATCGATGTGCAAATAACTAAATAGAAAGTGAAAAAGGAAAATAACTATATCTTAAAAAGGAAAACAAATGCACAGTTGCACTTAGGGCAGACACCCGTTGTAGATAGGCCGCTGCCTAGTCAGCATATTTAGCCCTAGTGCCAGCATAGCAGTGTTGCCAATCATTCCGGGTGCAGAATCCTTTACAGCAGGAGTTCCCAATTAATTTTTCGGTGTGTGTGTCAAGGTTTGTGTGTGTTTGTATGTGCCAGTGTGTGTATCTGTGTGTCAGTGTATTTATCTGACACACAGATACACACAACTTGACATACAGACACACACACTGGCACGCACACTCTAACAGATACACTGACACACACAGACACTGACACACATATATACGCACACCTTGACACACAGATACACAAACTGACACAGATACACATATGTTTAACTTACCTTTTTTCTTCCTTCAGTGCTGCTGGCTAAGGATGGTGTGCCAGATCGGCAGCTACTCATTTCCCGCTGCGCTCCCGCAATTCCTCCAGCCGTTGCGTTCTGTATGGGGGGGGAAGTGCTGTCACTTCCTCCCAGCATCCCATACAACAGGGGTCCGGTCGTGGTCTTAGACGCCCACAGCGCCTGACCGGACCCCTGTTTAGTGATACCCATTGGGTCACCATAAAAATGCTTGGGGCACCCGACGGGCAAACCGCCGCGGAACCCCAATTTTGTTCTCGTTGAACCCTAATTGGGAAACACTGCTTTACAGCAAAGTTCATTTTTCAGGTTTACTGACATGAATTACAAAATTTGTGGCATAAAGTTTTTTTGTTTTTTTAAATGCATCAGGCCCTGACCCTGTCTGTCCAAAACATTGCTTTTCATTTTGAATATATGATAAACTGATATTGTCTTCTTTCCAAACGCATTTGCCAAAAGCACATATTCTGTATTTCCTGAGAAGCTGCGTTGTAATGTTTTCATTCAGTCAAGATATATCCTAGATATATTTGAGGTTTCTGATCAAACCACAACTACTAGGTATCGCTATGACAAATATCAATAAACCAAGTATTGAGGGATAATAATACTATAGCGTTGTGCTGGAGATCAGGCCTCAAAATCCCTCACATTGGATGATGTCACACTGTGCATCATCCAATGTGCATTTAAAAAAAAACCTCAACACGTCTCGAATGACACAAAGTAATCTGTAAGTCCGAGTCTTAATGCCGCCCTGGTACAAACATTACATGGGTTATTAGTTGGAAAGAATTACACCGTCTCTGCCTTACCAGCTGTTCTCCCAGCATATCAGTGATGGGAGAATGGCTGAATTAAGGAGAGCAGCTGCTTAACACAAGCGTAATAGGAATTGCGCTGCCCTAAGATTATATACCCTCTCAAAAAAAAAAAAAAAAGCAGGGTTGAATTGGAACTTGGGTTTGATGGCCCGTGCCACAGCTGGCAGAAGACAAAAGTTTGATGCCCAGTGTCGGGAGGGTAAAACTTTGTTTAATTTAAGGAAGAGGCAGTAGTAAGAGATTATAAAATTGAGTGCAGTGCCGGACAGCATGTCAGTGACAGAAGGGCATTATCAGTATAAGGTAAATATAGTCAATGTGAGAACATAAAAAGCGAAAGTGAGCAAACCCTTATCTCATCCACTCCATAGAAGACCAAGTGGTTTACTTATTGATTACACATTAATAAGTTACAGACTGGGAGGAGGTCTATACCTGGGGGAAAAAGACAACAATCTCTTTATATAGCCTAAAAGTAAACAGGGAGGACTATACACAAAGCCTTGTACAAAACAGACACCACACCTCCTGTGAGGCAATACTTCCTACTGAGCCTCCTGATTTATTGCCAGTCCCATCAATCTCAGCCAGCACAATTAATAACAACAACAACAACAAAGTGTTTAACCAGGAAAGGTACAAATTACTCTGGTTTGTCCTGGGGATGTTGCTTTTGTCCGAAATCCAGAGTTAGTGCTCAAAGGGGAGATTCCCCATAATAACAACATCTGAAAAGTGGTGCAGAGTTCTAGAACGTTGAGCAATCACTATGGTGACCAACACAGCCAGCAGAAACAGTCCATTAGTGACTGCTATACTTTAATAACTTTGCACTCACTGTTCAGATTACAACACTTATTGTGCACCTACATTAGTTTAGCTAATGAAATGGAAAAAACTTACAGATCACACAGGGGATCCATGTATTAAGGCTGTATGGTCAAACAATAACCCAAAATTGAGCAAGAGAAATCTGCTAAGAGATTACATCTCCTAGTTGTTGTAGAACTACAATAACCTCGATGATGCAGCTTCAATTCTGACAATGCATCATGGGAGTTGTAGTTCTACAAGAGCCAGGGATCTTCCTTGTGGTCACTCCAGCCTACATAGAAAAGTAATCCATTGCACTGAAAGCAGAGCCACTTACCTCCTGCCTGTGCACAGGGCACCCCGGAAGCTCACACAGGTCCTCTGCACATGGGGTGGGGGGGCTCAGTCTGGGGGGATCATGTAGATCTCTAACTGGGTGAGAAAGTCCCAACACTAGTCTCCAGTTGTCACCAAACTCCAGCCCTGTACAGAGGGAGGGGGGTGGGAGACAGGAAGGGCTGTGTGAGTGTGTTTGGAGGGTGGGACTGCAGCAGGGGGAGGGGAACTGTGAGAAAGAGACCAGGGGAGGGAGTAAGAGACTCAGAACTCAGTGGAGGGGGAAGGGAGAGAGAGAGAGAGAGAGGGGGGGGTCTGGTGAGGGAGGGGTAGAGACAGTGTGAGAGAACCAGCTAGACAGGGCTGGCACAGAGGGAGGGATTTAGCTGTGGTTCGATTTCCTCTTTAGCTCTCTCTGTTTTCTCCCCCTTGTGCCAGTATGGCGATGAAGGGGTTAATTCTGGGTGAGCTACATGTTGGGTGTTAATAAGGTACTTGTTCCCTGTCCCCAATAGAGAAAGGGCTGCTGGCCGAAACGTGTCACATGGCCGCAGCATGCACAATACCCTCCCAGGACAAACTAGCTGAGCTGGAAACATAGCTGACTTAGCAAATGGCCCCTGTTTGGCTTTTTTGGGGCTAAAACCTGCTATATCCCAAGGGTTAGCCACTACATTCTGATTTCTCGAGAATTCAAAGGAGTTTATTTGTTAAATATTGAGAATTTACAGTTCTCCAGGATTCCATAAACACTGGACTTTGGTGAGCTAAATGTGGTCATGTGGTAGGTCTGGCAAACAGTTTATGTTTATATATATATATATATATATATATATATATATATATATTTATAATAATCCAATGGTATGTTTACCAAATTTTAATGTGTTACTGTGCTCTGTTTAGACTATAAACTAATTTTAATTGGATTATATGCCTGATTTACACCTTGTACAGCACTCTGGAATACGGTGTTGCCTTTATAAATAATCATTTGCAGTAGCTACAATAATGGCATGTGTTGACTCTGCCACCAAGTAACCTAGGCCATATCTACCTCAGTAATATCATTTGGTGATTGCACATATTTGCTGTAACACCATCACTTGGCACCATAACTGACTAACTGGACACCTGAGTATCCCAAAGTGGGACCGTTGTAGAGTTATATTTTAAAATGGAGCAGATATAGTGACCAGGGCTTTTTAAAAAAAATATTTATTTTTTATTAGATAATTTTGAAAGTATGTAGCGCTGTACAATAGAAAGCAGGACAAATGTAATTTTTTTTTTCTTACAAAAAGAAAGAGCGGTAAAAATGCATTCGACACAGATTTGCGGTGAGTTGAAAACCGAACTGCAAAATGTAATTTAAATTGTCTGGTTTGGTAAACTCGTCATTTAGTCTCAGCCTGACTATGTTAGCATGAAATTGGCAATTGTCTTTCAGTCTGATGTTTAGTAAAAAAAATGCTGTAAATAATTATAACGCCACTATACATGCGTATTCAAAAGTGCAATTTTACTATGGTGCTAACATTCAGAGGACTGAGATGCGAATGCGCCTCCTAATGACAAAATTCAGGGAAAATCCCCATTTTCAACCAGAAATTTATTATTCCGACAATAGGTAAAGATAATTTGGTGTCAGGTGCGGTGATTATTGTCCAGTTAGCCACCTGCTAAAAAGAAGTCTGGCATCTGTCAAGGAAATAATGCTCACATTTTTATTGAGTTATTTAATTTTACAAAGACATATAGAACTACTGTTAATCTGGAGGTACTCCGCAAAATGGCCTCTCCTGTTCCCTCCCAACATGAATGGCAATTTGAGGGATAATTTTCCAAGAAAATGGGCCTGCTGTAATATGGGAACCCCATACATCTTCTCTAATGTGTGGATAATATAACCATAATCTATAAACACAATTACATCCCTCGTGCAGTGCATTAAAGGGTTACTCCAAGCACCATAACAACTTCAGTGGTTATGGTGCTTGGAGTCTATATGTGTAGAGCTTTACTTTGAAACACCGCACATACAGACTCCATCTCCGGCAGCATCATTACAAAAGTTCCCGGTGGCTATTGTAAATTCTGTGTCTATTGGAAGTTTGAAGTCCGCTATATATAAACTTATACACCCCTCAGTTACCCAAAATACACCAGCACGGCCACTCCAAACACCTCTATGTCACACAAAATATACCTGCACCTCTGCTAGTGAACGCCCCCCCCAAAAAAAATACACACACCACCACCCCCCTCCCCTCGCTCCCTTGCTACACATGTCATGCTTTCCCTGACATCCGTTCCCGTACAGCGCTATGGAATTTGATGGCACTATATAAATAATAAAATAACCAGTGTTGGAACAGAGTTTTAGCTATATTTCAGATATTTTGAAATTCACTTTACCTTAATGGGGTTGTTTACTAAATTGAGAATTGAAAGTCAATTTTAAATTCAAGGGCATTTTGCTTGTTTAATACACTATCTTTGGAGTGTCCAAACATGGCCCCACGACTGTTGTTTGGCCGGTAGAGAATTGTATAGAAATGTTGTCCAACCGAAGCAGCAGTTGGGGAGGCCACATTTGGACATCCTGGACCAATCGAGTCGTGGGTCACGTACCCAGCATGCTGTGTTCTGTCAATGTATATAGTTCTTTTAGATGTTTATTTTATCTATAAGCTTCCACTGCCAACAGTGATCCTGTGTCTAAAGTGTTGAGCACACGGTTTTTGTCTCCAGTAGGTGTTAATGTAAATAATATTCCAACGCAAAATGTCGTAATCACACAAATGCAAATACTGGGTGAGGTTTGAGATTGTAGACGCTGTTAATTCTGGAGAACCGTAGTCTTTGACCTGATCTCGCCTTCGCTAACAGGCGGACACTGCTAGACAAATCCGGATTGTAGACATGTAGAATCTTAGACAGATGTTCTTTAGCATGGTTGAAATCCATCTCTCAAGCTGGAATTCTGTAGCAGCTTTTCAGAGAGCCAGCCAAAGCATGAAAAGCATTAAAGAAAACTGTCATGTCTGGAATTTACATCTTTGAAAACATAGAAAATCACCTGTAACTTGTTTTAACCTTTTTTTTCCCACTTAGATGCTCTGTTTTCTTAGAAATTTGTAATAAAGAGACACTGTTATCCTCTCCCCCCTCCCACTGACAATTAGAATTTCATATAAAGGTAGAATCTTCATGACATACTTATTAAGACTCTTAGAATGTCACTGAAATTCCACCCAGAGATATACAGAGACAAAGTTGGGACTGCTTTGTCTCTGTATTTCTCCTCCGCCTGACTTTCTTTGACATAAGGAGGAGCCTAAGTGTCAATCCCTGCAGCCGTTATCAGTGACAGCTGCAGGGAATTGGCTGTGTCTATGGAGGATGGTTCCCCTTGCGCATGAGCGAGAGTACGGCAGTGATGTCTGTGCTGCGAATGACCAGGCTGCCCTAAGATGGCGGCACCTACGAAGGACAGGTTCAGGTAAGAAAAACATACCTTCAGCTTCTCCGATCGGCCACCAGACTCCCAGCGGCGATGTCACTGTCGAGGAACTTTGCAAATTCGGCAAATTACCCAAACGGTGACAGTGCCGCTTTAAAGTTTTAATAAATTACACCATAATCCAGTTCAGACAAGGCAAAGCTAGGACAAACATTGCAAATGAAGACGAGAAATAGAAACATTGTACAATTTCTCCTCTCTCCTGTATGCTGTCTCTATGGTGACTGCCAGGTGGAAACATAGTTTTAACTGTGATTGGCAGGGAGGACACTATAGGCACCCAGAACACTTCATCTCATTGAAGTGGTCTGGGTGCAGTGTCCCAGGTTTAGATAAGCTGCAATGTTTATATTGCAGGGTTAAGACTGCCTCTACTGTCTCCCGGACAGCCACGAGAGGTGCTTCCTGCATTTCCAGAGAGTTTAACTCCGTAAAGCGACACTGGATATCCTGACGCTGTGCATGAGAATGTCCATCATCTTCAAAAATTTATTGAATTCTTGTCTGTGGGGAAGGGCTTACGCGAGCCACACTCGACATACATGTGCATTAGCTTTTCCCCATTGCTGACGTCAGAGGAGACAGCCAGTACTGTGGGACCTCTGCGCTGGAAATAGGTAAGTGTCTCAATGTTTTGTTTTAACCCTTTCAACACCCAGGGGGGAGGGAGGGCAGACAATAGGTTTATGGTTGAGAGACACTATAATGTTAGGAATACACTTTTGTGTTACTAACGCTATAGTGTTCTTTTTAGGATGGAGGCCTCAATGGAGAGTTCATATTTCTGGAGCAGAGAATTAGACTGGACCCAATTACAAAATTAGTATTTGTGTTTCTGTTCTCTTGGGCCTAAAAGACCCCATCTGCAACTAGACTCTGCAAACATGTTTTAAAATGCTTTCATCCTGCATTAAAAACTGGAAGAACTAAGAATGTATACAATCCATCCTTACAAGCAAGAAGAGAAATACAGAGTGTATTGAATTACCTTTAGCACTTTGGGTGTTTGGATGCTATTTCCCATAAGGCTTAGCCAGTCCAGGAAGGATATCTATAACGCCATAGTCCGTCATCTTTAAAAAATGGCTTTATTATTAAGCAAAACTGTCATTTCTGGGGTACAGAATATCCACGGATAATTCATAAGCGCCACTTGCACCTCACCAAATGCACCGTCAGGTGTGGGATGACCCCTCAGAAAGTTATCAGACAGAAGTTCGAGCTCCAGAGCTTCAAACATTAATATTATGAACAATGGAATCAATAGAGCCTGACTTTGTGAGAAGGTAAATTAATCTTATTTAAAAGATGTCATCTTCTGTACCTAGTCAAACAAATATTCATACGTTCAGCATTCATTGTATGTAATATCATTCAAAATTGGTTCATTATTAAAAAAGTTATGGACTCCTCAACCCCTACTCAGAATTTTGGCCCACCTTGTACAAACAGTAGACATAAGCATCTGGAGTTGGAAGTAAAGACCACCCAAAAAAGGATCGTGAAAATGAGTATAAAAATCAGAAATTGGTAAAACAAGATGTCCATATCTGTCTGCCTACAGCAGAAATTGCTGGGCACATGTTGTTATAACCAAAACACAACCTGAAGTCAGAGAGGACAAGCCAGTACATCAAAGGTTCTGGGGGCTCTGTGCACCTTCTAAAGGCTGTCCCACAAAATGCATGATACATATCATACATGTATGGAATATTTTAATTGCAGGATACATGTGGTATGGATGCAGGGGTGAAGAGAGGAGAGGCAGTTGTCAATATCTGAGAGGGGAGATGTTGGTGCCTGAAAAGAACTTGTACGTCCTGTTGTGAATCAAAAAATCAAAAGCCATTCTACAGCTGTGGCAGCTCTGTAGGCTTTCAAAAAAGAGTGGGAGTGCTGCTGGTGTACAATACTCAAATGTAGATGTCACGTGACAGCGTCAACATATATGGAGCAGAGAGGACTGGTTCAGACCTGTTCCCACATTCTGCTTTTCAGTAGCAAAGCTGAGACTCTTTTGTGACAGTGTAGCACACACACACAGACACTAGTAACTGGTCATGTTTGCGTTTTGCCTTTCATGGATGGGGCAAAGTTTTAGCAAACTCATCACCTCAATCTCTCCAAATAGCTTTAATCATGTATACGTCCTTACATTGCCATTCCACCATGACCTGTATTTTGTATATTGTTGTATGATAGGCCCACACACAGCCATCCAACATACCACAGACTTCCAAGGCAGGATCCGTCAATTTACCAGGGGTATGAAACCATGGTTGGGGGCAGTGATCTATATCAAACAATTGAGAAAAATCACTAAAATATTTCATTATGGAGTGTTACATTGATTCTTTTAAATAAAGCCTGATTTTTAAACTCTATAAGAAATATTTTACTTTTTTTTTTTTAATTATACAAATGAAAAAAATGAACCAAAACCAAGCATTTAAACATTGTATAAATACTAATAAATTAATATATTTTTTATTTTTGTTTAGAAAAAAAAGCAAATATAATGACTTGAAATACACAGAATATCATCAGATAAATAGTAAAACAAACTACATGATTGTATAAGAATGGAAAAGACACAAAGAAGGTTTATGTTGTTGAAAAAAAGGTTAATATTGGCCTAGCATATGTGCACTGTTGGGAAGAGTTGGCTGGATAGCGTAAGGAAATACAACTTTTATTCACTTTTTACAACTGTGAAATGTGCGTCGAGGGCGTCAGTGATTTTTGTGACTATTTCTATTTTGAAGAAGAGATATGTCATACACAGTCACATATCTCAGCAGATAAGGTCATGTGCAGAGAATCTATCTAAACGTAAAATTCATTTTTCATCCAAATGTACCCACACATACTAATCTTTTTCAAGGTTGTTCGGGAATTTCAAATTTAGGCAAAAAAAATTCTTAGTCTGCTATGCTTCCAATTTAGCTACCCTGTTTGAAAAAAAATAACATTTCTGACCCTATCATTTGTCAATTCTTGGTGTTCAATCTGGAGAGCACTTGATGTCCTGATAACAGCAGTTGGACACCGGCCATTTGGCCAAAGGAACCTATCAAAATATATATATAAATATATTGTTATTTTATTGACAAGTGATAGGAAAATAAGGCAGTAATGGCTGTCCAAATGCATATCCTCTTGCACAGGCTGAGACTCCAAAAGGACATTTAAATTCAACCAGTTCTGCTAGCACAAAGGAAAAATTCTATGGAATGCAGATATTTATTCCACAACCTCACACTAATTTACTTTTTTAATATCCAGTCATTCCAGGTCTCCTACCTATTCACCAATTTCCACAAAACGTAAAAGGGACACACTGAGGCCTCAATTTAATTTTTCTGGATAAGCTTTTCGTATGATCACAATCTGTTGGAAAAACTTTTTAACTGATTGATCTACAGAAATCCCCATAGACTTTAATGGTGACTTCTCTAGGTAAATAATTTGAAAAGATTTTCTAACAGATTCTGATCATTTGAAAAAGCATTTCCAAAATAATTAAATCAAGGCCACAATACCATAAACACTAAAACTGTGAAAAACGTAACTGAAGTATTACTTCCATCTGCTATCTAGTTTCAACAATTTGCAACAGTTCTTTGTTTAATTAGTAGGCGAGGGTGTACAAAGACGAATCATTAATATATTTATATCGGTGTATTCTCTAATATTGAGTTATGGTAAACTGACAACCAAACTGTCAATCTGTTGTTTTGGTTTCCCCCCTCCCCCCTCAATAGCATTGTTAGAAAAACTCAATGCGCCAGTTTACTTAAATAGCCCCAGCCTACTTATTTGCCGTATAAAGTCTGCTTGTTAATTAGACTGAGGCACAGTCACAAGCGCTGCTGATAAACGGGTTTATTTTGGGATTCTCTAGGGATCCCTCCAGTTTTGAAAACAGAAAAAGGAAATGAAGGCTGCGAGAGAACACACTGAGAAGGAAAGACACACATTAGTGACAGAATGACAAAAGGACAGCCCTAGGAACTAAGGAAGAGGGACAGCGAGGGGGGTGATGGATAGAGGAGAGGGGGTCAGACATAGGAAGAAGGGGAGAAAAGTTTTGAATAGACATTACCTAGTGGACTGTGGTGAATTGCAATCTATTCAAATAATTTGGCCTACTTTTTAAAACGCCATTTTTAATGCATCTCAACTGTATAATGAATAGACTATAGTGAGTTTATTTATAAAGAAATGTATTGATGTGATGGTAGAGAGGTGTAGGTTATTTAAAGTGACTCTGTTCAGCCAAATAGGACAGTGATGTTTTATTGTGTTCCTAACTGTATCTATATAAATTGATAGCCATGTAGCTAATACATGTGTAACAAAAACAGAACACGAGAACGGGCAAAAGAGTTGCACTTCGGTTAGTCGCCGACCAGGTCTCGAAATGTTTTTTCTCACCTGTACCATTACAAAGAGAAGCTGTACCATTTGCATATCAGACTGATCCCACCTATAAGGGCAGTCCAGATCCCAAGTGACGGCAGGTTCTCTCTGCAGCAACCCCAGACCATTATTTTGGCCTTCTTTTGGCCTCGTTAATGAGATGTAAATAGGACCTCTAGGCCCGGCGAACACCGGATCCACGTCTGGGTTACCCTTTTAGCTTAGGGAGAGCTTAAACAAATGCATAGCAAAAAACAGAGACTATGAGATCTCTAAGAACAGGCAAAAGCTTAGAGAAACACAGTAGCTTGACCTTAGGTTAGTCAGGTCTCAAAATGATTTTCCTCACTTGTTCCATTCCAAAGAGAACCTGCATTATTTGCATATCAGGCTGATAACCAAAAATAAAAAACACTAAATAGTCCTTTGATCCAGTCCATTGCAGCAGCCATCTTAGAAGCAGATGAATTAATATTCTCTCTGTGCACAATCTAGAGCAGGGGTAGGCAACCTTTTAGCAGCACTGGGCCGATATGGGATTGTGATGTCCCGAAGTGTGCCGGTCCTATTTTTTTAAATTGAGGTGTGTATGCTGCCGTATTCTGCTTGTTATTTTTACTGCAGTTGCTTTGTATCGTTGTATTTGTGCGTATATGAGCTATTATATTGTATATGTTCATTAGTAGTTTATGGTATTGTGTATGATACATATGAATGTGGGCTGTATATGGGGGCTGCTGTGGAATTGTGTGTGTGTGTGTGTGTGTGTGAGGATGGATATGTCACATTGTGTGTTTCGTAGTGTGTGGGGGCTGTTTAGGGTATTGCATGTGAGAGCCTGCATGTGGGGTTGTGTGCATGTATGTGGATTGTTAGTGGTGTTGCGTTTGTGTGGATTGTTTGTGGGCTGTTCGTATTATTTGTGTGATGGGAGGGTTATTCTGCATTTCTGTGTATATCTAGCAGTGTGGGTGGCTTCCCTGGGTTCCAGTGGGGACCAGGCTAGCCAGATACAGGTCAAGGACAGGAGCTGCAACAGCAACTGCAGGCTGCTCTACTACAGTGTGGATTCCTAATTAGGGATATCGATATTAGTTTTTAACCATTACCTAACCAGGGATATCAATATTAGTTTTTAACCATTACTATTAAAGGTTACATTTTAATATAATTTGGGCACTCATCTCTCGTTTCTATACTACTACTTCTCTAGCCCTTGCGTTAACCACTATTTTGAGTGTTCCCCTAGCTTCCACCTTCCTGCTTTGTTCTTACAGTGTGGATTCCGATTTACAAGTGCTGGGAGGAAGGGATCTGAGATCACTCACTCTATGTGCTGCAATGCATACATTGAGGATTGTCCTTCACCACCTCTTCGTATTAGCAGATATCTGAGGTTTTACTGGGACTCCTGATAGGCCAGAGCCTGTTTGGCTCTAGCAGCCTTGAGTGCCGTGCAAAGACACCTTGAGTGCCGTGCATGGCACTAGTGCCGTAGGTTGCCTACCCCTGATCTAGAGACTGAATTTGTTTACCCATATGAAGAATATCTTGTCACTTACATGTGTTATGTTTACCAGAATCTATTTAACACATTTTTCATATTCATAATAGATTTGTAAAAATATTCCTGTTACAGTTTAGTGAAATGTAGCTCTTCTCCTACATTTGCTCCATGTTATAAAGAAAACACATGTAGCTACTAAGCTCATACATTGAAAAAGTCTAATTAAGAGTAGAGAAAATGTAAGAGTAGGATAAGACAGAAATATACACGGGGTAAATCTCACTAAGTGAGAATTCAAGGTGAATTCAAAATTTAAAGGCACACTATAGTCACCAGAACAACTTCAGCTTAACAAAGCAGTTTTTGAGTATAGATCATGCTGCTGAAGTTTTACTGCTCAAATTCACTGCCATTTAGAAGTTGAATCATTTTTGTTTCATTTATACAGCCTTAGGCACACCTCCCCTGGCAGTGACTGACACAGCCTGCAGAAAATCAAAATGGTTTTCATTTTCATAAAGTTTCAAAAGTTTTTATTTTTTGCTCTGTAAATAGAACTTTAATCACACACAGGAGGTACAGCAAGGTCTAGCAAGAACTTAACATAGCAGGAGATGAGAAATTCTAAATTAAACAGAATTTACAATACAGGAAGTGTAAACATTAGATGACTCTTTACAGGAAGTGTTTAGGAAGGCTGTGTAATCACATGCAGAGAGGTGTGACTAGGGATGCATCAAGGAAGAGATTTAACTCCTAAATGGCAGAGAATTGAATGGTGACACTGCAGTGGCATGATCTATACACCAAAACTGCTTCATTAAGATAAATAGCCGAACCGGAATAATTCTCTAATTCAGCTATGCTTTCAGGTCAGCTACTCTGGCACACTTTGAATTGTCACTTTAGTAAATAAACCTGACAGTGTTATAATAGTCAATCCTTAGGAATTCAAAGTGAATCTAAAATCGTGGTCAAAATAGCTGAATAGGAAATATTTTTCTCATCAGCTAAATTGTCAGTTCAATTATTCTGGCCTAGGATTTGAAATCCCGTGTGAATTTCCCACAGTTCACAGATTAGTAAAATAACCATCAGAATTGTTTCACTAAACCAGGAATTTTGGAGAACTAACAAAGGAACTGATTTATTTACTATATAGACTAGTCAAGCCAGAAAATATCTATTTTGAAGAAAGTTTCAAGTAATTTTTTCCTTTAAATTCTCCACATTTCTCACTGAAAAGCCGTGAGGTGACACATGGCGATCTTGCAATTATTTTTTTTTGCTTACGATGCTACTTTGGACTAGGTTCTGCAAATCAGTTGACAACACATTACAAATCTGTGTTTAGTGAATATTCTGCTGGGAACAGAAATTCTTGGAGAGAAATGTAGTTTATAAGGAAAAGATGCAGCAAATCATTCCTTATTTCATTTCTAAAGGCTGTGTCACCTTGGGGAGTTGCACTCGGTTGAAGAACAATTTCACAAAGCTATTTTTAGCCTACACCAAAATGGAAAATTTGTGCATTACACAGATGGATCTGCTTGAAAAAAAATATTCAGCAAGATAAAACAAAACAGCTAAAAGCTCCCCATGTCATCTGTTTTCATGTGTTTCATCTTGTCTCAAATTTCGAAAGCATTTTCCCTGTGTACAGTGCAGAATACGTTTGCTTTTTTGGAAATGAAATGTTAAAGGGCTACTCCAACCTCGATGACTGCTTCAGCTTTTAGACTCACCCAGAAGCGCTTGGTGAAGACCCGGATAACCCCCACCGGCTTGGGGAGGGTGAGGGGGGGTGATTATGGGGCTCTTATAGTCAGCAAGTAAATTTGTGTAGCTCCAGACGGAGAGATCGGCCACTTCTCCCGTCGAGGCTACACCAGGCCGCAATAAGCTGGAGGCCTTAGCCACCGAACAACCAGAGTGGCGAAGTCTGTAGCCAGTACCAGATTGCCCAGGAAGTACCAAGCGTATGTGCCAGTGTCTGGGAATCTAATTGCAGGGTAGTTACACCCCTTAAATTACTTGTAACACAGATTATTTCGGGAGCTCGAGCTGGCTGCGACTGTCCAGCTTGGTGTCCAAGCCCGGCCCCTTAACCCTGGCATTTTAACAAAATTCACTCAATCAAAAAGTTTTTAATCTTTTTAGGACTTATCCCTTTTTACACTTGTCTCCATCCATTCAATAAAAAGAGTACATTTTTTATAGTACAAAGATCCATTTCCTAATTTTTTCATCCATGGGAATGTGAAATACCACTTCTATAACTCTCAGTAGTCCTGGATTGAGTGGGGCAGTCCTGAATTAGGCCTCACGTCCCACCGGTTGCTTTCTCTGGTGTCCATTTTTAGGGGATCAAATGAATATCCCCAATAATGGAATGTGCGTCAGCACATCATTAGACACTTTCACACTTTGGACAAGCCATTTATTCTACACAAGAGCACATTAATAGAGCTCCTCACATGGGCTTCCTTGCGTGAGGTGGCAAGTGCGAGTGACAGTCACCCCTGCATGCGCATTCTCTTAATGGGGCTGTGCTAATAGGCACTTGTCTGCCTGCCCTATCATTCATCTTCAATTTATATCTCCCTATATTTTAGGTATGTAGCTTATGTACCAATGAATGCGTTCTCTGTAGACCTATGTATTGGGGTGTCACCATATAAATATACACATGCATACTGACTGACTAACTCCCAATATATAATATTTGTGAATGTTGTTGTGTTTGAAGCTTTTTATTTCTGTTTCTTTTGTAGAAACAGGTATGGATTTGTGTCTATCCCTGAGTGAGCGTAGGTGATTAATTAGTGGTTGAGTCATATTGATTGAGTCATCTAGGAGTATCCCGAAATCCTGGCCCGTCAGTGCCCTTTTAGGAATGGGTTGGAAACTCTGCTGGAAGACCATGTGTAAAGTGTTTATGATTCAATGAATTGAAGCAACAATGCAGTCAGTTGATAAAGTCGATTTGCATGGAAATGTAGTGAGTGTGGTACGTGGGCTGGACACTGCCCCTTTAACTGTCATCAGGGAAACTCAAAGCACCATCTTGTCATCGCAAAGCAGCTCCTATGCACAACTCTCCTGTCTTGCAGTGTGCAGGTTGTGGCAAACCATTGATACCCACAGACAGTCCTTTTTCATGCTACTAAATGCCTTCCAGTGTTTTCTTCTAGTAGACATACCTGCCTTCTTGTCATGGACCTGCCTGCTGTCACTGTCTTCTTGTCATGGACCTGCCTGCTGTCACTGTCTTCTTGTCATGGACCTGTCTGTTACTGTCTTCTTGTCATGGACCTGTCTGTTACTGTCTTCTTGTCATGAACCTGTCTGTCACTGTCATCTTGTCATGGACCTGCCTGTTACTGTCGTCTTCTAGTGGACCTGCCTGTTAATGTCTTCTTGTCATGGACCTGCATGTTAATGTCATCTTGTCATGGACCTGCCTGTTACTGTCTCCTTATAGTGGACCTGCCTGTCAGTATTTCTTACATGAGCAAACTGAATTTAATGCTTTTTCTTTACTCTTCCTTTCTTATGCATTTTTTTTTCTATGGGAAGCTAGTCATATGCTAAAAGCATCAGCTGAAGCTCTCAGCCTATCACCCATGTTCAGTCCAAGGCCCTGGCTCTGACACCAAGCACTATGCTAGATGACAAGGTGCAGAATGTATGGGCACCAGTCGACACAATAGTTTAACTCCAAGGTCTGGGCTCTGGCCCAGCTCGCTCCCCCCCCTCCCCCGTTCTTCTGCTTTCTGAAATTCTTCAAATGCTTCCCGATCCGTTATGAAGAATATACCTTAGGGTAATCCAGCGCCATGACCTCCTGGCACCATAACAACTTCATTTGAATTAAGTTGTTATGGTGCCCACACTGTTTCTTTAATATATAATTAAAGACGTGATTAATTCACAACTCTGCACATGTTCTGGGTACAATAATATGTGACACATTGTTTCCCTGGCTATAATACCAAATAATGGCCCTTTCTGTTTGGTGCACTATCACTTCTATCTGGAAAATGTGTTTTTACTCTTGTGACCCAGGCATGAAAAAGAACCTAATGGGTGGAAACATTGGATTGGCTACTGAGATGGAATAAAATGTTACTGGATGTGCTAAAGGAATTGCAGTTTCATCATTATCTATACTTTTGTAGTTCTTTTTAGCTTAAGAACACACTCTTGGAATAACATCATGTTTCTGGCTTTGGTCCTTGACCTAGATTTTGATTCTGCTGACTCTGACCTTGGCTAGTCCTCGTTACCCTAATTTCTGGCCCTGACTAACTTTTAGTATCCTGACACTGGCTAATTATATGTTCATGATTGCCTCTTGTTTGTTTATAACAGAGATTACCCAATATGAGCACCTTCAAGAGAGCATATTGGTCTCAATACAGGGAGTGCAGAATTATTAGGCAAATTAGTATTTTGACCACATCATCCTCTTTATGCATGTTGTCTTACTCCAAGCTGTATAGGCTCGAAAGCCTACTACCAATTAAGCATATTAGGTGATGTGCATCTCTGTAATGAGAAGGGGTGTGGTCTAATGACATCAACACCCTATATCAGGTGTGCATAATTATTAGGCAACTTCCTTTCCTTTGGCAAAATGGGTCAAAAGAAGGACTTGACAGGCTCAGAAAAGTCAAAAATAGTGAGATATCTTGCAGAGGGATGCAGCACTCTTAAAATTGCAAAGCTTCTGAAGCGTGATCATCGAACAATCAAGCGTTTCATTCAAAATAGTCAACAGGGTCGCAAGAAGCGTGTGGAAAAACCAAGGCGCAAAATAACTGCCCATGAACTGAGAAAAGTCAAGCGTGCAGCTGCCACGATGCCACTTGCCACCAGTTTGGCCATATTTCAGAGCTGCAACATCACTGGAGTGCCCAAAAGCACAAGGTGTGCAATACTCAGAGACATGGCCAAGGTAAGAAAGGCTGAAAGACGACCACCACTGAACAAGACACACAAGCTGAAACGTCAAGACTGGGCCAAGAAATATCTCAAGACTGATTTTTCTAAGGTTTTATGGACTGATGGAATGAGAGTGAGTCTTGATGGGCCAGATGGATGGGCCCGTGGCTGGATTGGTAAAGGGCAGAGAGCTCCAGTCCGACTCAGACGCCAGCAAGGTGGAGGTGGAGTACTGGTTTGGGCTGGTATCATCAAAGATGAGCTTGTGGGGCCTTTTCGGGTTGAGGATGGAGTCAAGCTCAACTCCCAGTCCTACTGCCAGTTCCTGGAAGACACCTTCTTCAAGCAGTGGTACAGGAAGAAGTCTGCATCCTTCAAGAAAACATGATTTTCATGCAGGACAATGCTCCATCACACGCGTCCAAGTACTCCACAGCGTGGCTGGCAAGAAAGGGTATAAAAGAAGAAAATCTAATGACATGGCCTCCTTGTTCACCTGATCTGAACCCCATTGAAAACCTGTGGTCCATCATCAAATGTGAGATTTACAAGGAGGGAAAACAGTACACCTCTCTGAACAGTGTCTGGGAGGCTGTGGTTGCTGCTGCACGCAATGTTGATGGTGAACAGATCAAAACACTGACATAATCCATGGATGGCAGGCCTTTGAGTGTCCTTGCAAAAAAAAGGTGGCTATATTGGTCACTGATTTGTTTTTGTTTTGTTTTTGAATGTCAGAAATGTATATTTGTGAATGTTGAGATGTTATATTGGTTTCACTGGTAATAATAAATAATTGAAATGGGTATATATTTGTTTTTGTTAAGTTGCCTAATAATTATGCACAGTAATAGTCACCTGCACACACAGATATCCCCCTAACATAGCTAAAACTAAAAACAAACTAAAAACTACTTCCAAAAATATTCAGCTTTGATATTAATGAGTTTTTTGGGTTCATTGAGAACATGGTTGTTGTTCAATAATAAAATTAATCCTCAAAAATACAACTTGCCTAATAATTCTGCACTCCCTGTATACCACCAATCTAGTGTAGATACATTTATTTAGAATATAAACCAAAAGTTACTTACACACTATCCCAAATCCCTACACTTATTTTTTTTTTAAAAACTAGAGGTTATTTAGTAACTCCTATGGCTATTAGATGTAAACCCACCTGCCAAATCAAAGCAAACCTTTTAGGTGGGTTCTACACTAACAATTCACCTTGATTGCTTTAGCTTCAGACAAAGAAATCTCTAATGAGACAGAGAGGGGTATTTTTTTAAACCCCTACATACTTATTAACAATTAATAGGGAACACATAGGCTGGGCAGCAGCATTGTAACATAGCTGTGTGATAAAAAAGTAAATACAAATACACAAAAAAAAGTCCTGCGCTCAAACTCTCACTACACCTGGGTGGCAGCAACGATCATAGCACTGTGCTAGAGCGTCGCTGGACGTCCTCACGCTGTGTGAGGACCTCCAACGTGTCACGTATTCATCCGCTTATAGAAATGTGGTTAATGACATTTACTGTCCACACAGGAAAAGTTGTGCCGAGCAGCAACCTAATCCACAGAAGGTTTAATGCTGAGCAGTAATTGTGCAAATGAAACCTGGTGTCATATATTCATCCGCTTATAGAAAAGTGGTTAATGACATTTACTGTCCACACAGGAAAAGTTGTGCCGAGCAGCAACCTAATCCACAGAAGGGTTAATGCTGAGCAGCAATTATGCAAATGAAACCTGGTAACTGACTTTGGGGTCAAAGGCCGGTTACAGCCTATCAGAACTAAAGAAGGGGTATTTAGGCCCAGTTCTCAGCCTGCTCAGTGCCCTTTTGTGGTTTCCCTTGTGGTTGTCCGAGAGCGCGTTCCTGTTTATAGTTTTCTACCTGTTTTTTTTACTTTGGCTTTGTTTATTGACTTCTCTACATTCTGGTATCCTGACTCCTGGCTTTCCTCGTCACTGTGTCCCTTTCTGTGTTCCCTGACCTCGGCTAGTATTTTTGACTATTCTTTGTACTTTAAATCCAGCCATTCTAAGGACCGGTAATACGTTACTTATTTGTCATCCGTGCTGTGCAGTTCTACGTGCTGGATCAAACAGTAATCCTGACACAGCGTCGCTCAATTCCCCACATGCGCATTAGGTTTCCTCAGCCGGCGGGCGGACGGGATCTGTCTCGCCCACCAGCTGACGTGATTACTGGGAGGAGCGACGCCGACCCGAAACCACCACGAGGAACATCGTCGGGGTCTCAGGTAAGTTTTCACCCCTTCAGCTACCTGGGATGGGAGGTGGGAGGGAGAGGGTACGGATTGTTTTCCTGGCACTAGAGTTTTCCTTTAAAAAAATGGAGGTTATTTTGTAACAACAATGGCCGTTAGATGTAAGCTCCCCTGCCATGTCAAGGTAAACCTCTTGTTGGGTCCTACATTAACAGTTCACCTTGCTTCTTTCAGCAGAAAGGGAAAGGGTTAATACATGTTCAGGGGTTTAGAAAAACACCCCCCTCTGTCTCATTTTGCTGCCCAGGAGTAGTGGGCGTTTGAGCGCAGGACTTAATGTTGTGTCTTTACATTTATTTAGAACACAACTTGTCTACTGCCGCCATTTCTATACACTCTGCAGGGGTTAACACATTAATTCAAAGGACCACCTCAACTGCAAGCTTAGAGAACCTAATCTCTGCTACAGACTCATCTGTCCAGAGCCCCAGCTTTCTACTGCGTAATTATCTATCGAGAACACCATCATTCTACTGCAGAAATATCTGTTCAGAGCACCATTATATTACCGCGGAAATATCTAATCATAACATCAGCTTTCTACTGCAGGATTATCTATTGAGAACACCATCATTCTACTGCAGAAATATCTGTTCAGAGCACCATTATATTACTGCTGAAATATCTAATCATAACATCAGCTTTTTCTTGCAGGATTACCTATTGAGAACACCAGCATTCTACTGCAGATTTATCTACTCAGAATGTCATGATTCTACTGCCACAGTATCTAACCATAACACCAGCATTCTACTGTAGAAATATTTATTCAGAACACCATCAGTCTACTGCCAAAATATCTAATCATAACACCAGCATTCTACTGCAGAAAAATCTATTCAGAACACCATCAGTCTGCTGCCAAAATATCTATTAATAACACCATCATTCTACTGCAGAAATATATGTTCAGAACACCATCCGTCTACTGCCAAAATATCTAATCATAACACCAGCATTCTACTGCAGAATTATCTATTGAGAACACAAGCTTTCTACTGCAGAATCATCTGGTCAGAATGCCATGATTCTACTGCAGAAATATCCAATCATAACACAAGCATTCTACTACAGAAATATCTATTCAGAATACCATCATTCTACTGCAGAAATATCTATTGAGAACACCAGCATTCTACTCCAACAATATCTAATCACATAACACCAGCATTCTAGTGCAGAACATATATCAAGAGCACTGTTGTTTTACTGCCGGAATAACTATTTATGGAATTCTAAACAGCTCCACCTTTCTACTGCAGGCACAGCTGATCAGACAGCCATTTTATCCCTGGTGCTTCCAGCCAGAACACCAACACGGTTATTCACTAAACACTGCATTCTAACAAATTTAATTACAAAAATGAAGCTAATATAGCAGGTTTACAAAACAATCTCCAGCTTGGCTATTTCAGTCTACAGTCCCAGCTTGGCTATTTCAGTCTCATTTTTGACATTCATATCACATTCGCAAAAATTTGGTGTTAGTGAATAACCCTTTAGTAAATCAGCACTACCACAAACATACACAGAACATCTCCTGTCTATTGCAGGTAATCTTGGCAGATAATCGCCATTCTACCATAGGCATCTAGAAAGCACTCTATAAATGTCTAAATGCAACCAACCTTTACTTCGTAACATTATTAATTCTCTCTAGAAAATACTATTCACTATAATAAGGCCTTGTTCAACTGAGGACGAAAGGGACTTATTTAGCTGTAGGCAAGTCTTCATTCCGTCTTGGCTCTAGATCAATAACTACATTACCCTTGATGCTGAAAGGTATCCAGAAAAGTTGCTACATTGTTATTGGAAAGGATTACTCAAATGCCTCACAATGTGGAATCTTGTCCATCATTTCCCTCAGCTTCCTGAAGAAAAGCCAAAAAACCCTAAAACGTGTACAGAAAACAAATGTGTTCATCATAATTTCTCCTTTGAAATACACTGAATAATACATAATCTTTTGCCCGTTTTCGGACCACACTTCTAAAATAGATGGACCTCTTTTACTATCAGGTTGAAGTTAGAACAAAACTCAATTTAGGGGTGATGGAGCCTCATCCATAAGTAGATAGCGGCTGCCTAAAGCCCAGGGATTACCAGGGCCCAAGAACTTTGAATTTGCTTGGCCCTATTAAGCATACCTTTGTGAAGAACGATGGGGGGCCCAAACTGGTAACCTACCTACAACCACCCCGTGGGACCTTAATCCTTCCCATGAAGTCTACGCAATGACCTAGAGGTTCCTTCCCTAAGCAATGCATTGATATTTAAATAAACATAAACTTAAATTGCTAAATTTGTGGATTTTTTTCCCCAAAAAGGCTATTTAAGTATAAACTTTGTATCCTGTTTGAATACTTACACAGCTGTCTGTTTATAGAGTGACTTTCCATGTAATTGTCAATATAACTGTTGCTATGTAGGAGGAAGCACTAAGTAGGAACAGTGTGATAAGTTGTGGTATAACACAAGGGGAAACTGATAAGGGTGGTTATGCTGTGTATAGGGACAAGTATAAACACAGTAACGTTATAAAAATTGGAGAGGGCGTCTAGAGAATCACAAAAAAAAAAAGAAAAAAAAAAAGGATGATGATGGGACATGTGAGTTTAAAAGGATTTACTGCAGTTCCCATAAATGCAGCAATAGATTACTACCTACCTATCTTGGTATATTAATCCTGTCTGGTTTATTTGGGGTTAGTTGGCATTTAACTGTCAGGGGTTTTGCAACAAATAATCTAGCAATACGTTTCATCTTTGGAAACTGCCGGTTCATCCTGGGTCTATGGGTTTGCCCAGAGAGGTATACAGCTCCATTCCCAAAATATGAAACTCTGACACTTTCTCCACACAGGGATATCTCTTTATTCCTTGGGGATGATGAATAGAAAACCTCCCAAGTGTCTCTATTTAAGAGGGACAGTCCCTATTTTGGGCCCACATTCTAGGAGCTCCATATTTTTGTTATGTCTGAGTAGTGATGTCCCGAACGGTTCGCCGAAAGGTTCGCGAACGGTTCGCCGCGGACTCATCATTGAGTAAACTTTGACCCTGTACCTCACAGTCAGCAGACACATTCCAGCCAATCAGCAGCAGACCCTCCCATCTCCTGGACAGCTCACTTAGAATGCAGCTTCACAATGAATGTAAAATGGATCCTGTCCAGGAGGTGGGAGGGTCTGGGAGGGAGGGTCTGCTGCTGATTGGCTAGAGTGTGTCTGCTGACTGTGAGGTACAGGGTCAAAGTTTACTCAATGATGAGTCCACGGCGAACCGTTCGCGAACCGTTCGGCGAACCGTTCGGGACATCACTATGTCTGAGTGTTTAACAGAGCTCCACAACAATAATAGAGCCAATTATCTGTCTTTAAACTACGATAAGTGTGTTTAGAAATTAGTCTGGGGATATAAGATACATTATTCTCGTCCCTCTTTGTCCACTAGAAATGTTGGGAGGAATCTTCTCGGGACCCATGACCCCCATCTAAGCCCTGGGCCCTTAGCTCAGTTTATAATTAATTAGGTTAATTAGTGAACTGGTAAATGTCATCACTATAATTAAAGAGGAAATGTGGCAATGTATGCATTTTTTTTCCATTGGGGATATATCTAATAGCTTGAAAAAGCTGCAGCCTTTGCAAGCCCCCGCTCTCTAACCCCGCCCAGACTTTCTGTGGCTGTCCAATCAGAGATCCCAATGCAGCTCAGTGAGAAGTCTTTGCAAGGCAGGTGCTCTGGATGCGCTCACTGTATCCATGCAGAGCGTGATGATGTTGACCGTAGGTGCACTGTGCAATACTGGACTAGGAAGCACCTCTAGTGGCCGTCTGAGTGACTGCCACTGGAGGTGCCCGTAGCCAGTAATTTAAAGCGTTTACATTGAAATGCTTGCAGGGACTGACTATACTCACCAGACCAACTACATTAAGCTATAGTGATTCTGGTGACTATAAATGGTGAATAAATAGTGAAAAATAATAAATGCAGAGTTCCCGTGTGTTTTCTTCCATTCTAATACAACAACGATCACCATCTAGCCATTGACAAATGTATGGGAGAACCGGCAGAAACAAATTAAACCTGAACTATCCTAGCTTATCATTTCCTCCTAAGCTAAATTTCATTACTGTGATGGTATGCTTCTAAGCCATCAGTATGCATTCCTGAAATCTGCTGGGCACAGGGCCATGCACTTGTGCCACCCAAAAGCTGTACGGTTTTGTGAGAAAGGGTTAAATATCTCCCAGAGGAGGTAATGCAGTCTCGGAGTTAGATATATGACAGGTTTATATTTCTGAAACCTTGTATTGTCTGGAATCTCTGCAGGTCAGATCTTGTTTTATTTCTTACATAAAAGTAGAGGATTTAGGCGTTTCTTTATGAAGCCCCCGCTTGGCTCAGTCGATGGGTCATGCTCACATTTTGACAAATCTACAGAGGAAGACAATGACATAAATATAGACTGTGGCGTTTTACACCTGATAAGAAGACACCTACACTAAAACATAATATGCAAACTACAAAACCAGTTTCATTTTATATATAAAAAATAAATCACTGTTTAGTTCGTACCCCCCCTCCTAAAGAAAACATACATTTAATTATATATATTTTTTCAATGAACTTATATTTATAAACCGCTTGAAAAAGCTGTAGATCACTTGTCTGCAGCCTTTGCCAGCCCTCCCCTTCTAACCCCTCCCAGACTTTCTGTGGCTGTCCAATCGCATACTTCCCAATGCAGCTCAGTGAGAAGTCTTTGCAAGGCAGGGTGTCTGGTTAATTGCTGTCTATTGAGTTTAGTTCCACTGAACCAAACAACCAGGAAGTAACAGGACCGGGGTGTGTAACAAGGTTAACTTATATACGTTTAATTTTCTATTTAAAACTGCTTTTTTTAATAAACAAAAACGAGGACATACTCTTTACACGTGAAGCACTTCAACAAGCTAAAGTTCTTTAGGTATTTGGATTGTCCCTTTAAGGTTTTTAATCAGTTTACATTTTTTGCCTTAAGTACTAATGTTAAAGAAGAACCATTACACCATCGAATAAAAATATTAAAAATCCCATCTAACATGTGTTGACTCTTTCTTCATGTGAAGCATTATTTTCTTTAAAACATATACAGGCAGTCTTCACTTACTGACCGTGTTCCCTTCTTACAACTCAGTCGTAAAACAAATTGTAGGTAAGTGAGGCTGCGCTAGCAAGGATGCGCAAGAGAGCAGGTCTACATTTGGGGGAATTCTTCAAACATAGACCAATTCACTAGCGCAGGGAATACTGCGAATCTAGAAAACTTCCCCGAACATAGATTAGCTCACTGGTGCAGGGAATCTCTGAAATCTATGTTTGGGGAAAATCCATTGAATCCCCATGCTAGAGAGTAGGTCGTTAGTGCAAGCGGTCGTAAAACAGGTTGATCATAAAGTGAGGGACACCTGTATTACAACCTCCCTATCGAGTTCAGTCCATGCACATCCAGGACACACTTTGAATTTAAAGGGAAACTGTAGTGACAGGAAAACAATGTTGTTCTGACACAATTACTTCCTATGGTGCCCCCCCTACCTCCATGGTGCAGAAGGGGTTGAAAGCCCCTTCTGTCACTTACCTGAGTCCAGCGTCGATGTCCCTCGGTGCTGACTCGGACTATGCCCCCGCTCCTCCCCTGGCCGCGCTTGCATTAGAACAGCCCCATGGGAAAGCATCATTCAATGCTTTCTTACGTGGTTTCGGGTGACGCTGGATCAAAAAGTCGCCTAACGACCCGTAACTCCCTCTACTGGCTGTCTGGTAGACAGCCACAAAGTGGAGTTTACCCATAAAGATAATATTTGCAGTTAATTGAAAACTTGGGAATATGCACTCAGACCACTTCAATGAGCTGAAGTGGTCTGGGTACCTATAGTATCCCTATAAACAGAAACATTGTATTTTTTTCGCCTCTACTGTCTCTGCTTTCTCTGTAATGACTGACCGGTACAAAGGGCTTGCACTCAGTTCCAGGTTAGAGGTACTTATACATGGTGTGAATTTCTACATTTAACTATATTTTTCATACCTCATGCACACATGTATATTAAATTTAGGAGATTATTACCATAATAATGTTAAATGTTGCATGCCCTTAAAATCCAGACATTCCAAGCAAAACATGTACCCTTTTCCTCCCCTATCCTATCTAGATTAATATTACCTAGATTGCTTAAAATCAAGCTTTCTGATTGCTCGTTAATTTGTCAATCTTGTACAATACCAGCGTTATCTAGATTCTCTTGCCTATCATCCTGAGGACATTGGGGATATATTGGGATTTTTGATCACCCTTTGAAGCTGAGTCGTTAGCAGCCGTGAAACCTTTCAATAACACAATGGGATTGAGAATCATTACACAAAGAAGGGCTTCACACAACGTTCATTGATTGTTTAACTTCCTCTTCAACAATGTACAAACAAAATTGGTTTCATTTCAGTTTGTGTTTATGAAACAGAGGTTAGTAAAAAGAGTCAATAAGGATTTGATTAGAAAAAATATTAGCAAAACTTGCTCCCTGTAAATAATGGTTTTATAATGGATAAACAGACCTTAATCTCTGAGATGTGCAAAGTACAGAATCAAAACCTACTAGCCTGCTTCTTGTTATTTATAGAGCACCAACATATTATGCAGCATTGTACAAATCAATTTACAGTCTAGCGTTCATCTCTGATCCATGGAATGAGACACAGTCAGTGAAAATAAGTGGGGATCACAATTTTACTTGGATTTATCCTGATTCATAATTCCATTTAAAATATTTTAAGTGGATGGTTTTAGCTCTTCCAGCGTTTAAGGGGCCACAATATTGGAGTACTACCCAAGCTGGCATAATAGGCATGCCTAAACTAGTGTTCTGGAAACCTGTTCTCAAGATTCACCTCTTGGCTATAACGTCTTAATAGTTCCTGCTTTATCACAGGTGAGTTAAAATGTCTCTGGATGATTCTCTAAGTTTTGTTTTGTTGGTTAAAAATGTACAACTGCTTTGCAATTCTGATCACTTACATGTCAGTTTGGAATGGCCACCAACAAATTAGAGTATTTCACTTCAATTGAAACGAGAGATTGTCTATTTTGGTTGCAGACATTAATGGGGCTTTGTCATCAAAAATTCACTTAATCTAATCTGCTCACTTTTTTAATCTGAGCTCTTGGTTTGTAAAGACTACTTTTCCACAGATATAGAGGTTAAGGTGGCAAAACTTGACAATGGGAGGAGCTTAAAACAAAGATCTCTTTTAGTTGCCAATTAAATTTACCCACAATCCATCAGTAAAATCAATAAATCAATCCCACAGAGGGGCAATCAACAAACGTCAACAACACAGTAGAACAAAATGGCTGCACCCAGATATTGAGATCTAGCACAAGGAATAAAAGAAAATAAATATAAATAAATACAAGTGGAAGAGAAAGTATAATCCTTAAGATACAAGAGGCAAAAGGAAATGAAAGCTAAGAGAAATATATTTAAAAAAAAAAACATAATAGGGCTGCTTTAAGGAGTGAACCTAGTGAGGAATCTTCTCTATTGATGACTTATGAAGATCACAGTGGGAGGGGGGGCAATATTGCCTGAATTATTAATATTCTAGCAAATGTCTTGCATGTAAAACTGGACCTACTTATTGCTATGAAAGAGCATGTACATGGTGCTAATGCTTTCATTTACATACCAAATAATGTATAATGTCTATATTACACACCAAATAATGTATAATGTCAATATTACACACCAAATAATGTATAATGTCTATATTACACACCAAATAATGTCAATATTACACGCCAAATAATGTATAATGTCAATATTACACACCAAATAATGTATAATGTCTATATTACACACCAAATAATGTCAATATTACACGCCAAATAATGTATAATGTCGATATTACACGCCAAATAATGTATAATGTCAATATTACACGCCAAATAATGTATAATGTCTATATTACACACCAAATAATGTATAATGACAATATTACACGCCAAATAATGTATAATGTCTATATTACACACCAAATAATGTATAATGTCAATATTACACGCCAAATAATGTATAATGTCGATGTTACACACCAAATAATGTATAATGTCAATATTACACGCCAAATAATGTACAATGTCAATATTACACGCCAAATAATGTACAATGTCTATATTACACGCCAAATAATGTATAATGTCAATATTACACACCAAATAGTGTACAATGTCAATATTACACGCCAAATAATGTATAATGTCTATATTACACGCCAAATAATGTACAATGTCAATATTACACGCCAAATAATGTACAATGTCAATATTACACACCAAATAATGTATAATGTCAATATTACACGCCAAATAATGTACGATGTCAATATTACACGCCAAATAATGTATAATGTCGACATTACACGCCAAATAATGTATAATGTCAATATTACACACCAAATAATGTATAATGTCTATATTACACACCAAATAATGTCAATATTACACGCCAAATAATGTATAATGTCGATATTACACGCCAAATAATGTATAATGTCTATATTACACACCAAATAATGTATAATGACAATATTACACCCCAAATAATGTATAATGTCCAAATAATGTATAATGTCAATATTACACGACAAATAATGTATAATGTCTATATTACACACCAAATAATGTATAATGTCAATATTACACACCAAATAATGTATAATGTCTATATTACACACCAAATAATGTCAATATTACACGCCAAATAATGTATAATGTCGATATTACACGCCAAATAATGTATAATGTCAATATTACACACCAAATAATGTATAATGTCAATATTACACGCCAAATAATGTATAATGTCTATATTACACACCAAATAATGTATAATGTCAATATTACACACCAAATAATGTATAATGTCAATATTACACGCCAAATAATGTATAATGTCAATATTACACGCCACATAATGTATAATGTCATATTACAAAATAATGTACAATGTCAATATTACACACCAAATAATGTATAATGTCAATATTACACGCCAAATAATGTATAATGTCTATATTACACACCAAATAATGTATAATGTCAATATTACACGCCAAATAATGTACAATGTCAATATTACACACCAAATAATGTATAATGTCGACGTTACACGCCAAATAATGTATAATGTCAATATTACACGCCAAATAATGTATAATGTCTATATTACACACCAAATAATGTCAATATTACACGCCAAATAATGTATAATGTCGATATTACACGCCAAATAATGTATAATGTCTATATTACACACCAAATAATGTATAATGTCGACGTTACACGCCAAATAATGTATAATGTCAATATTACACACCAAATAATGTATAATGTCTATATTACACACCAAATAATGTCAATATTACACGCCAAATAATGTATAATGTCGATATTACATGCCAAATAATGTATAATGTCTATATTACACACCAAATAATGTATAATGACAATATTACACACCAAATAATGTATAATGTCTATATTACACACCAAATAATGTATAATGTCAATATTACACGACAAATAATGTATAATGTCAATATTACACACCAAATAATGTATAATGTCTATATTACACACCAAATAATGTCAATATTACACGCCAAATAATGTATAATGTCGATATTACACGCCAAATAATGTATAATGTCAATATTACACGCCAAATAATGTATAATGTCTATATTACACACCAAATAATGTATAATGACAATATTACACGCCAAATAATGTATAATGTCTATATTACACACCAAATAATGTATAATGTCAATATTACACGCCAAATAATGTATAATGTCGATGTTACACACCAAATAATGTATAATGTCAATATTACACGCCAAATAATGTATAATGTCTATATTACACGCCAAATAATGTATAATGTCAATATTACACACCAAATAATGTATAATGTCAATATTACACGCCAAATAATGTATAATGTCTATATTACACGCCAAATAATGTACAATGTCA